AGGCTTGAGCTACCGTGCTCGGCCGACCCTGTCTTTTATCTTCAATCTGCTGTTAAACCCATTTAGTAAATATTTTATTTCTGAAATTATATTTTTTATTTCTGTAATTTCCACCTGGTTATTTTTTATAGTTTCCATTCCTCGGCTGAGATTTCCCCATCTGTTCACTCTATACTTTCCTCTAAATTCTCAAATATTTGTATAATGGATAGATCCTTTAACTTTTTTGTCTGTTCATTCTAATATCTCGATAATACTGGGATCTGTTTCTTCTTTTTTTTTTCTGAGTCTGCTTGCTAGGGAATGAGATCTGTTTCTTCTGACTTTTTTTTTTTCTTTTCCTAGCTATCACATTTTTGTATCTTCTCATGTCATGTGGATTTTAAAAAATAATTAATTTTTTGATCTCTGTCATGTATTTGTTTGTTCTTGTTTGAGATGGAGTCTCACTCTGCCACCCAGGCTGGAGTACAGTGGCCTGATCTTGGCTCACTGCAACCTCTGTCTCCCAGGTTCAAGCAATTCTGCCTCAGCCTCCCCAGTAGCTGGGACTACAGGTGCATTATCACCACGCCCTACTAATTATTATATTTTTGGTAGAGATGGGGTTTCATCCTGTTGGCCAGGCTAGTCTCGAACTCCTGACCTCAACTGATCCACCCACCTTGGCCTCCCAAAGTGCTGGGATTACAGATGTGAGCCACCACACCTGGCCTTTCTTTTTTTTTTTTTTTTTTTTTTAAATTAGATGGACTCTTGTTCTGTCGCCCAGGCTGGAGTATAGTAGCATGATCTTGGCTCATTGCAACCTCCGCCTCCTGGGTTCAAGTGATTCTTCTGCCTCAGCCTCTCAGGTAGCTGGGATTACAGGTGCATGCCACCATGCCTGGCCAATTTTTGTATTTTTTTTTTTTTTGAGACGGAATTTCCTCGTTACCCAGGCTGGAGTGCAATGGCGCGATCTCAGCTCACCACAACCTCCGCCTCCTGGGTTCAGGCAATTCTCCTGCCTCAGCCTCCCAAGTAGCTGGGACTACAGGCATGCACCACCACGCCCGGCTAATTTTTGTATTTTTAGTAGAGACGGGGGTTTCACCTTGTTGACCAAGATGGTCTTGATCTCTTGACCTCATGATCCACCCGCCTCGGCCTCCCAAAGTGCTGGGATTACAGGCATGAGCCACCGCGCCCGACCCAATTTTTGTATTTTTAGTAGAGACATGGTTTCACCGTGTTGGCTAGACTGGTCTCTAATTCCCGATTTCAAGTGGTCTATCCACCTAAGCGCCTCCCAAAGGGCTGGGATTATAAGATATAAACCACCATGCCTGGCCAGCCATGGGTTTTTGAAATTTCATACCAGACATTGAAAACAATGTGTTGTAGTGTCTGGATTATGTTTTTTTTTTTTTTTCCTTTAAAGAGCATTGGGCCAGGTGTGGTGGTTCACACCTCTAATCCCAGTAATTTGGGAGTCTGAGCTGGAACGATTGCTTGAGCCCAGAATTTCAAAACCAGCCTAAGAAACATGGCAAGATCCCATCTCTAACAAAAAAAAAAAAAAAAAAAAAAAAAGCCAGGCATGGTGGCACACTCCTGTGGTCCCAGCTATCCAGTATGCTAAGGCAAGAGGATTGCTTGAGACTGGGAGGTCAAGGCTGCAGTGAGCTGTGATCACACCACTGCATTCCAGTCTGGAAGACAGCAAGACTATTTCAATAAACAAAACAAAATTAAAAAGAGTGTTGACTTTTGTTCTGGAAAGCAGTTAATTTACTGCCAACCTCTTTTTTCCTATTGAGGCTTGGCTTAAAGGTTTGTTGAGGCAGATCTCAACTGGTCTTTAATCTAGGACATTCTTTCTCCAATGGGATTTCTCATCTGATTTACAGAAAATAATTTGAGTCCCTATTTTATTTTATTATTTTCTTCTTTTTCCAGAACAGTCTCATGGTAGGCATGAGTTACTATTTTCTTTCTTTTTTTTTTTTTTTTTGAGACAGAGTTTCACTCTTGTTACCCAGGCTGGAGTGCAATGGCGTGATCTCGGCTCACTCACTGCAACCTCCGCCTCCTGGGTTCAGGCAATTCTTCTGCCTCAGCCTCCTGAGTAGCTGGAATTGCAGGCATGTGCCACCATGCCCAGCTAATTTTTTTTTGCATTTTTAGTAGTAGAGATGGGGTTTCATCATGTTGGCCAGGATGGTCTGGATCTCTTGACCTTGTGATTCACCCGCCTCGGCCTTCCAAAGTGCTGGGATTACAGGCATGAGCCACCTTGCCCAGCCATGAGTTACTATTTTCTAAGTTCTAAGTTCTCTAAGAATGGTTATACTAATACCATTCTATTCATAGACAAATGAGAGAAAGTAATGCATTTCATACAGTGGCTGCTTTAATGCATTAGTACTTAATTCTCATGCTACATCCCTGTAGAGAAAGGCTACTTTAGGGTATCATCTTTATCTCTAATGATGACCTTTCTGTTGTCTGAGATGAATGTATTTGAGTATTAATGAGGTCTTTCCATTAGGATGCACCTGAACTCTATTGTCTGATGGTGTTTTATGACTTTTAGCCTCTTCCTTCTGTTCTCATCCCTTTAGCAGCTGTTCTCTTCTAGGCCTTCTATTTTGGACATAGGCAACCTATACGTAGGCCAGGGAACCATGGGGTACTTCCACCAGGCTTGTGAGGTGCCCCTCTCCACAGTTCCATTTTAGAACTGTGCTCCTAAAGATTCCCTACTTCTGCAGCTTAGTTGGAGTGCTGTACCATCCTTGGCCTTCACCTCCTTTTCCTTGGTTAGGAAATTGAGCCCAGGCAGCCAATCAAGGTAAACATGGGGACATCTTGTCTGTTTTTTTTCTCTTCATGACTGTAGTCTTGCTCTGTTGTCCTTTGTTTGAAAATAATTGATGCATATATTTTGTCAGTGTTAAGTCATTCGTGGTGGAGTTGGGTATGTAGGATATGTCCATAATGAGTTACTTTGTCAAGGCCCAAAGTGGTATTATGGGATTTATTTTGTGATCATGGAATTTGGCCTGCACTGGTTCTTCCTACGAAATCATTGACTAATTTCAATACATTCTTCAAGAAAATTTTAAATTGTTCTGAATTATCTTGCCAATTAAGTAAAATATGAAGTAGCACTGTTTTAGAATTGAATGCTTGAAGCCTATTGGTATTTCTTTTAGGACATTTAATTTAGTGTTTATAGCCAATCACTTTTTGGGGAGTTAACTTTGTTAACTTTTGAGGAAATGTTTAAATCATAGTATGATCTTTTAAGGCAAAAATAAGGTTATCCTTGAAAACTTCTGTATTGGTAATGAGTTTTATGAAGAAAAATGAAGAAAAGAATGGGAAAGAAGAGTAACCTGTATATTAAAAGATGTTAAAGTCATATCAGGTTTTAAAAATATGGTGAAGGCTAAACTATAGCATCTAAGAATACACACTTGGGTCATAAGCAATAAGGAAATATAAGAAAGTGATTGCTTTAAAGATCATATTAGTGATGAAGCTCTTCTTCTTCTTCTTTCTTCTTTCTTCTTCTTTTTTTTTTTTTTTTTAAACACAGTCTTGCTCTGTCACCAGGCTAGAGTGCAGTGGCGTGATCTTGGCTCACTGCAACCTCTGCCTCCTAGGTTCGAGTGATTCTCCTGCCTCAGCCTCCTGAGTAGCTGGGACATTTACAAGCACATGCCACCATGCCTGGCTAATTTTTGTATTTTTTAGTAGAAACGGGGTTTCGCCAGGTTGGCCAGGCTGGTCTCAAACTCTTAACCTTGTGATCTGCCTGCCTGGGATTATAGGCGTGAACCACTGCTCTTGGCCTTGTTAAGTTCTTTTGAAGGGAGGAAGCGGGCATGAAGTACTTCATTTGTTTTATGTGATAGTCTGTCTGTCTCTCTCTCTCTCTCCCTCCCCTTACTCTCCCCCTCCCTCCCTCCCTCCTTTTTTTTTTTGCAATAAAAAGCTTTATTTTTATACTTTTAGTAAAAGTACTTTAGATCTAAAAGTGATCTAAAAAAGTACTTTTAGATCACTGACCTATAGATGGGAAAGACTGGCTAATTGTTTCATCTCTTACAATGTGTGTGCATGAGACATCTTTAGACAGAAACTCATGGTCTCAGTCTTCCTAATGACCTTAGGATGGATTGAACTGAGGACAGGGGGTTTTTTGTTTGTTTTTTGAGACAGAGTCTTACTCAGTTGCCTAGGCTGGAGTGAAGGGGCATGATCTCAGCTCACTGCAACCTCTGCCTCCTGGGTTCAAGCAATTCTCCTGTCTCAGCCTCCTGAGCAGCTGGGACTACAGTTGCCGGCCACCGTGCCTGGCTAATTTTTATATTTTTAGTAGAGACAGGGTTTTACCATATTGGTCAGGCTAGTTTTGAACTCCTGACCTCCTCGGGTGATATGCCCGCCTCAACCTCCCAAAGTGCTGGGATTACGGGTGTGAGCTACTGCGCTTGGTCAAGGACTGGAATTTTTGGGGCTGAGAAAATGAGTAAATGTGCCTTAATATACACAAGATTGTCAAGATAAACTTGGCCCACTTCAAAATCTCACTTAGTTGTTTCTCTGTAGTCTTCTCTCCATGCCACTTGAAATATATTAGAACACCAATGTCAGAGGTTCAACCTGATATGAATGCTTAATTTTTAAAAATTTAGGACCAGTTAGCTTAATCGTAGGTTTGATCTGCTTCCATGTTTGTTGACTTCATTTTTTTCTGTTCTCTGTAAATCCAGTTTCCATTGCTGATTCACGCTATTGGTAATGAGAATCAGGAAGCTCAGTAAAAATCTTTCATCCTTATTTTTAAAAAGCTAAAGGTTTAAGTTTTAGCCTCTTGCAAAGATGCATTGAGTAGAGAACAGTATGTTGTTCATAAGAGTTTCATTTTAATGCTTGCTGTATTTTTTTTAAAAAAAACCTTGTTTTATGGGAGAAAATTACCATAGGGTTTTTTGTTGCATTAACAGAATAAATTTAAACGTGAAGAGAAAACCAATGGATGGAGAATAGACAAAGCATTCCGTAAGTATTAAGACCTCTTTTATACAGTATTACTTGGAGAGCTTGAAAAATAACCAGTCTTTTGTCTTTCGCTCTAGCATGTTTTAGATTTGTTTTGTCCCTGTAGTGGCGTAAGAGGAAACAGTCTGAACTTTTTCTGTGTAGCAGTATGATTCTGGAAGTTGCTGCAAATATATAGGCAGGAGATTATCCAGAACATCTAGGTGCAGGTAAATAGTTCTAAGTCCAAGAAGTTATAGAGGGATTGATGCTACTACTTCTAAGTGTTATTTATTCTGAAGAAACTGTATTGGAGGAGATAATTGTTTCTGGAAGACAGTAGTATCAGTATACAGATGGCTCTTTTTGGTTCTGAATGACTAATCACTCATTCAGTCAGTAACACTGACCACCTGCTATATGCTAGTCATTGTTCCAGGTATTGAGTATGTAGTGGTGGAATATACATGACAGATGAGAATCCTGAATTTAGAGCCTTAAGTCTAATTGGAGGGGAAAGAAATATAGGAGATAAGCATAATTTTAGGTAGTCATTCATTTCTAAGAAGAAAAAAGAGAGAGGGTGAATGTTTAGATCTCTTTTTCCTACTGATCATTGGATCATTAGGGAAGTTCTGTCTGAAGACGTATGCTAGCATTTGAATTTAGATCTCATCTGAAGGAATGATAGATACCTTTCAATTTTTAACTAAAATCCTGATTAAAATTAACATACTTTTCTTTGAGTCTGGAGAAAGACATCAAAGGATCTGTAAAGGAAAATAAATTTACTGTTTAAAACAGTTCTTGTATTTTTAGATTGGAAGATATGTCTTTTTCTTTTTTTATCACCACACTTATGGACAGGAATATATTTTTCGTGGATTTATAATTATCAGTATTTTATGATTAAAAAATGTATTCAATGTCCGTTTAGTCATAAGATTAGCCATAGTGCTAATTTTAGAAAAAACAATCCAAATGTAGAGAGTTCCTACATTATGTAGCATGTACATTTATTTTACGAGTAGACACTAAGGTAGGTGGGTGGATCCTGTATCCAGTGTTTTATTGGGTCTTTAGGGAACCTGCTTTTTGGAATGGCTCTTAGAAGATCTGGAATATTGTGATCCTCAGCCCATTCCATGTTAGAGAAATGATCCTGGAACTTTTCATTAAGTTTAACACATTATAGTCAGAAAATAATTCATGAATCTATAAACTGTCTATTTGGAGTTTGGAGCCTTTTAAATAGACCATTATAATAGATATCTTTAAAATGTATTGATCTTAGGCTGGGCGTAGTGGCTCACGCCTGTAATCCAAGCACTTTGGAGGCCAAGGCGGGTGGATCACCTGAGGTCAGGAGTTCAAGACCAGCCTGACAAACATGGTGAAACCCCATCTTTAAAAAAAAAAGAAAAAAGAAAAAAAATGTATTGATCTTAAACAGGATACAGTGTTGTATGCCTGTAGTCCCAGCTACTCTCAGGAGTTACTGAGGCAGGAGGATCCTTTCAGCCTAAGAGTTCGAGCCCAGCCTGAGCAACACAGCAAAACCCTATCTCAAAGCTAAAAACAACTCACTGATTTTGGGGTTTTGTATTGGAAATCTTCTAAAAATTTAAGACCCATTTAGGCTTTTTGAGGGAACTTAGGTTTTGAGTTTCTCTGCGAACCATGTGGAAATCCTTTATGATTCTTTGAGTGCTATGTCTTTCAGAATCATTGTGGAGAGTCAGAACAAATAAGTCTGGGTCAACATTGAAATAAGGCCTTCAGGAATCCCAGATTTGGGTTTCGTTTCCTGAGATTCTTTTTGTTTTAATATATACCTTCTTTTCTGAGGCTGTCTTGCAGTCAAACCAGTCTTCAGCTTATGTGTATAGAGCACTATTTTCTCTACATTCACTATAAGAATAGCTGTAAAGTTCAAGCAAGGATTTGTGTCCTGGCCTGGATTCATTCCTCGAGTGATTACTTTCAGATACAATGATTACTTTCAGATACAATGCTGTTGATAGGTATTTAGTGTTCCTGATTAAATTCATTTACTTCACACTTGATACTTATAAGAGCAAGTGGTGAAATGGTTGTGATAAAGGTAGGGCAAATGGTGGTGAATAGGCATTCGAGGACTTCTCAGTCCATAAAAAAATTAATTTATACTTACACATAGCTCAAAGTGTTAACGAGTTTTGACAAAGAATATATGCTATCCTAAACAATAGAGGAAATGTTTTCATTACTTCACAAGGCCTATTATGTTCCTTTCTAGGCAATCAAATGTTGTCCTCCTGGCCCAAGGCATCCGCTATTTTCATTTTAATTACCATAGATAGCTTAATGTATTCCAGAATATCTTATACATGGTATCATGCAGTATGTACCCTTGTATCTGTTTACTTCCACTCAGTATATTTTTGAGATTCACTCATATGATTGCATGTATCAGTAGTTCCTTTAGTTTTAAGCTAATTTATTCCTTTCATTGATGAGTGGTGGTCTGATATGTAATTATCTATTTCCCTGCTGATAAGACACACCTATTTTATTGCTGAGTAGTGTTCTTTTGTGTACTTGTTTATCTGTTCTCCTAGTGATAGACAATCCCATTTGCTTTTTTTGTTATGATACTTTAAAAGCTAAAAACAGTTTTTTAAAATAAAAACTTGAAAGCTCTTTTCTTTTTTTTTTAAACAGAGGAAAAGCGCCCTTTTGACTTCGATTTTTTTGCTCATTTGCTTCAGAAAGTTCTTGCTGAAGAAGAGAAAAGAAAACAAAAATCTGTTAAAAATCACAGTTTAAAGGAGAAGAAATCCACTAAACCACGGAAAAATGTAAAAGGTATTGATTTTAAAGAAAGCGTGCTAGTTTACTTAGTAGTAATAAACTTGCAATATTATTCCTCGGTATTTGAGAGTTAATGTGTAGCTCAGGTAGTTAAGATCATCAAAGCATCCAGTTGGAGGGAATGTATCTTTTTTCAATCCACTAGTTAACTGGTCCAAAACAATAGCTTTCTTTTAAATTTTTTAACAGGTATGATTGGGTTATTTGACATCTTTTTAGTATAGAGGATAGTTGTAGCCAGTCAATGAACATCAGAATTTGGAGTGTCTTATTTCATGTTTGGTTGTTTATTATCATTTTCCTCTATGAAACAAATCTGGTATAAAATTGTAGTTTTAAAAAAATGGAACTCTTATCTTTTGGAGTTGTGACTAGACTATTGGTTGAGTATAACTTATTTCTGAAAGCTAATGTTGACTTGTAACAGGTAGAAAATTGTATATGTGTGCGGGTGTGTGTATACATATATATATATATATATATGTATGTATTTATATGTATTTTTATTTTTAGGCTTATGTTTTCTTAACTATTTGAACTCTGGTCTAGGAGGACAATGTTTAGCTATAATCACATAAAGAAGATGCTTGGAACTGTAGGGAACATTATATGTTATTTAGTTTACATTTTAACCCCTTTTCTATTGCTTTTAATCACCAAGAAATAGCCCCAGAGGTTGTAAGACAGTTTTTCCTAAGGACTCACAGTGTGAGTAGTGGCAGAGGCAGAACTGAAACCTAGGATTGTGAGAGCCTATGTTGGGGGTCCCCATGACCATCTCCCAGGGTTTAATTATTCACCAAGAAGACTCAGGATTCAGCTTCCTCTGCCTGGAACATATTACACTTTCAGACTTCCAGAAGGAAAGCAGTTTGGCATAAACCACATTGTACAACTAAGGCACAGTAAGCCACTAATAATCAGGGTGGTAGGAACCCTTCCCAGAACCAAATTCTGAGACATGGCCCAAGGGCCAACCTTATAAGAAGGATTTTCAAAGGATAGCAGTCAAGCCTGCTAAATTAACTCTTTTCTGTTCAAAGCCAGGCTAGAATTTCTTCTTCTGGGGCATGGTGCCTATATCGTTTAAAAAGTAGTATTGGCCGAGCGCTGTGGCTCAAGCCTGTAATCCCAGCACTTTGGGAGGCTGAGGCGGGCGGATCACGAGGTCGAGAGATCGAGACCATCCTGGTCAACATGGTGAAACCCCGTCTCTACTAAAAATACAAAAAATTAGCTGGGCATGGTGGCGCGTGCCTGTAATCCCAGCTACTCAGGAGGCTGAGGCAGGAGAATTGCCTGAACCCAGGAGGCGGAGGTTGCGGTGAGCCGAGATCGCGCCATTGCACTCCAGCCTGGGTAACAAGAGTGAAACTCTGTCTCAAAAAAAAAAAAAGTAGTATTGATAACTGCAAAATATCTTTATTCTTAATAGTCATTTTTTTTTTTTTTACATATTATACATTATCCTAGAAGATTAAAATATATATCTTCTTGTGATTATCATGTTACAGGTGATAACATGAGTAACTCACTGTTATCCTATTTAATATGAGGACTTTTTTTTTGAGACAGGGTCTTACTTTGTCGCCCAGGCTGCAATGCAGTGTCAATCTTGGCTCACTGAATCCTTCACTGCTAGGGTTCAGGCAGTTATTTCACCTCAGCCTCCTTAGTAGCTGGGATTACAGGCATGTGCCACCATGCACCAGGCTAAATTTTGTAATTTTTGGTAGAGATGAGTTTTCATTATGTTGGCCAGACTGGTCTTAAACTCCTGACCTCAAATAATCTGCCCACCTTGCCCTCCCAAAGTACTGGAATTGCAGGTGTGAGCCACCACACCCAGCCAGAAAGTTTTTTTGTTGTTGTGGTTGTTGTTTTGAGATGGAGTTTTGCTCTTGTCTAGGCTGGAGTGTAATGCACAATCTCAGCTCACTGCAACCTCTGCCTCCTGGGTTCAAGCAATTCTCCTGCCCCAGCCTCCCAAGTAGCTGGGATTGTAGGCATGCACCACCACACCTGGCTAATTTTGTATTTTTAGTGGAGATGGGGTTTCGTTATGTTGGTCAGGCTGGTCTCGAACTCCTGATCTCTGAGGTGATCTGCCTGCCTCAGCCTCCAAAAGTGCTGGGATTACAGGCGTGAGCCACCACGCCCAGCCAAACTTTTTAGATATGTTATTATCTCTCAGATTTTTAAAAATGATTATTCTTATAAAATAGATTTATTTTCTCAATTTTAAAATCCTAATCTTTTAAGTTTAATTTTGTTTACCATTTACTTTTGAGATAGAGTCTTGCTCTTTTGTGCAGGCTAGAGTGCAGTGATGCACTCATAGCTTATTGCAGCCTCAAATTCCTGGGCTCAAGTGATCCTCCTACCTCAGCCTCCCGAGTAGCTAGGACTACAGGTTGTGTGCCACTATGCTCAGCTAATTTTTTTTTTTTTTTTAGATGGGGTTTCACCATAATGGCCAGGCTGGTCTTGAACTCCTGACCTCAGGTGATCCACCCACCTCGGCCTCCCAAAGTGCTAGGATTACAGGCGTGAGCCACCGCGCTTGGCCTATGCTCAGTTAATTTTTTTTTTTTTTTTTTTTTTGAGACGGAGTTTCACTCTTGTTACCCAGGCTGGAGTGCAATGGCGCGATCTCAGCTCACCGCAACCTCCGCCTCCTGGGTTCAGGCAATTCTCCTGCCTCAGCCTCCTGAGTAGCTGGGATCACAGGCACGTGCCACCATGCCCAGCTAGTTTTTTTTTTTGTATTGTTTTTAGTAGAGACCGGGTTTCACCATGTTGACCAGGATGGTCTTGATCTCTCGACCTCGTGATCCACCCGCCTCGGCCTCCCAAAGTGCTGGGATTACAGGCTTGAGCCACTGCGCCCGGCCAGCTAATTTTAAAAAAATTTTTGTAGAGTCAGAGTCTTGCAGTATTGCCCAGGCTGCTCTTGACATTGAATGTCATTACCCTTTGAGATTAGATATTTTTAGAGAAAATGTCTGATCAACCATGTCTATGAAGTTAAGGTTGCTTTTGCGTTGGAGACTGACTTAGTTTTAGGCTGCTGTATCAGGTAATTTACAGAGAACATAAATTTATTTCTCTAAGATGAAGGCACTGTCATCTGGCAAGGGTATTCTTGCTGTGTCATCACATGACAGAAAAGCAAAGAGAGAGCAGGAGGGGGCCAAACCTGCCCTTTCATAACAGCACTAATTCTAATGAAGGCAGAGCCCTCATGTCCTGTCACCTCTTAAATGTTCTACCTCTTAATAATGTTACAATGGCAATTAAGTTTCATCATGCATTTTGGAAGGGACATTCAAATATAGTAGATACTGTTTCTTGGTGATCTACAGTTTTTTTAAAAAATTAATTCATGTTTTCACCTTTTGATACAGTTGATTATTAATAGACCTTAACAGGAAGGGCAGTAGAATTTATTTTAAAATATTTGTTCATTGAAAAAAAGTATACAGAAGATAAAATTCTTAAACTCTCCCTACTATCTCCTGTCTCTGAAAGGAAATTCTTCAGATTTCCCAGAGATAACTATTGTGAAATCCTTTTCTATGCATATGTATGTATTTATGTGTGTGTCTTATAATATAGACAGCCCCCAGCTTACGATGGTTCAGCTTATGCATTTTCAACTTTACAGTAGTGTGAAAGTGATATTCATCAGTAGAAGCCATACTTCCACTACTCATAAAGCCATTCCATTTTTCACTTTCAGTATAGTATTCAGTACTTACATGAGATATTCACCATTTCGTTTTAAAATAGGCTTTCTGCAAGATGATTTTACTCAACAGTAGGCTGATGTATGTGTTCTGAGCACTTTTGAAGTAGGCTAGGCCAAGATGTATTAAATGCTTTTCTTTTTTTCTTTTCAGACAAGAGTTTTCCTCCTTTTTTTTTTTCTTTTTTTTGTTTTGAGATGAAATCTCATTCTGTTGCCCAGGCTGGAGTGCAGTGGCATGATCTCAGCTCACTGCAGCCTCTGCCTCTCTGGTTCAAGCGATTCTCCTGCCTCAGCCTGCCAAGTAGCTGGGATTACAGGTGCCTGCCAACACACCCGGCTAATTTTTGTATTTTTAGTAGAGACAGGATTTCACCATGTTGGCCAGGCTGGTCTCAAACTCCTGACCTCAAGTGATCTGGGACTTCAAGTGATCCACCTGTCTCAGCCTCCCAAAGTTCTGGAATAACAAGTGTGAGCCACCACACCCAGCCCAGAGTTTTGCTTTTATTGCCCAGGCTGGAGTAAAATGGCATGATCTTGGCTTGCTGCAACCTCCGCCTCCCAGGTTTCAGTGATTCTCCTGCCTCAGCCTCCTGAGTAGCTAGGATTACAGGTGCCAAGCAAATTTTTGTATTTTTACTAGAGATGGGGTTTTATTATGTTGGCCAGGTTGGTCTCGAACTCCTGACCTCAGATGATCTGCAGCCCTGGCATCCCAAAGTGCTGGGATTACAGGCATGAGCCACTGCATCTGGCCTGTGTTAAATGGATTTTCGATTTACAGTATACTCAACTTATGATGAGTTTATTAGGATGAAACCCAGTGTAAGTCAAGGAACATCTCTATATGTAATTGTTTTTGTTTAATAAAAGAGATTTTATGTGTATCTGCCACTTGATTTTTTTTTTTTTTTTTGAGACGGAGTCTCACTCTGTTGCCAGGTTAGGGTACAGTGGCGTGACCTCTGCTCACTGCAACCTCCACCTCCTGGGTTTAGGCAATTCTGCTGCCTCAGCCTCCCAAGTAGCTGGGACTACAGGTGTGTGCCACGAGACCCAGCTAATTTTTGTATTTTTAGTAGAGATGGGTTTTTGTCATTTTGGCCAGCATGGTCTCTATCTCCTGACCTCGTGATCTGCCTGCTTGGCCTCCCAGAGTGCTGGGATTATAGGCATGAGCCACCACACCTGATTGCCACTTGATTTTTAAAAATGCAACAATATGTTTTGAAATTTTCCACATGAGTATGTATAAATTTACCTCATTATTGTTTTTGGCTGCATGGATTTTTATATATTAGTTAGTCATTTCCCATTGGACATTTTAGGTTGTCTTTAGGTTTTTTGTTTATATAAATAAGTACTACAGAGGACATCTTTGAGTATCTCCTCCACCTTTACAAATTTTTCTTTAAGTTGTTTACATATTTATAGCCATTTCTCTTGTTTTCAGTGAAAAAAGTTGCCTGTGAAGGAGTGAATGATGATCCAGATGAGTCTATGAGTTCTAGAATTTCAGACACAGAAAGATCTCAGAAGGATGCTCAGACAGTTGAAGAAGAGTTTCTGACTTCATCAGGGGAGGATGCAGAACAGGTTGCATTAGAAATAGACCTAAATCAAAAGAAACGAAGAAGGAAGAATCAAGATAAGGCTAGTGAACTGGAAGTAAACAATCTTTTAGAAAATGCCCCTGGTGAAGCGGGTCCTTCTAAAGGAAAAAAACACAAGGGTAAGTTATATTTAAAAAGCTTTTATATGACTTGAGAAGACGTGTACAATAATATGGTATGTAACTTAATTTTCTGTCCAGATAGCAATTAATGATGCTTATTAATTGATTCTGTATTCATGATACTACACTAATGCTTTTTATTTTTAATTAAAGGAAAAAAGGGTTATTGTAAAAAAAAAAAATTAAAGGAAACAAATTAAAGTGGGGAGATTTTTCTCTAAAGTTTTCTTTTTTTTTTTTTTTTTAAATGACCCCCGCACCCAACCCAGCTGCCTCGTGGGGCGGGGCGGAGGCCTCTAAAGTTTGTTTCCAGGATGTATCACCTCCTGTGCCTTCTCATTAACTATGATTAGAAATCACATGTCTGTATATTTAAAAGTATGTCGCTTATATCTGTTAATGAAACACAGGTTTTCATGTTGTACCTCTACAGTGCACCTCTGTGAACTCACAAGGGATTGTTTAATTCCTATAAAAGAACTAATTGAATATGTATTTCTTCCATTTTTCTTTTTTACTCTTCTAATGCAAGTATATTGCCACTTAGGAGTTGCTTGGGGATGAGGGCCAAGAGTTTGACAGGGAGTCGTGGTCCCTTTTCTTAAGAGTTCATATATAGATTATTTAAAGCTGGTAAGGAAAAGGTAGGAGCAGACCAGAACAACCTTTCTACAAAATTTGTATTTTCCATAGTTGAGATTTACCCATCTGATTTTATTTTTATTTATTTTTATTAATATTTTTGAGATAGAGTCTGGCTCTGTTGCCAGGCTGGAGTGCAGTAGCACGATCTTGGCTCACGGCAACTTCCACCTCCAGGGTTCAAGCGATTCTCCTGCCTCAGCCTCCCAAGTAGCTGGGACTACAGGCGTGAACCACTGTGCCCAGCTAATTTTTGTATTTTTAGTACAGACGGGGTTTCACCATGTTGGCCAGGATGGTCTCAATCTCTGGACCCTGCAATCTGGCTGCCTCAGCCTCCCAAACTGCTGGGATTACAGGCGTGAGCTACCATGCCGGGCCTACCCATCTGATTTTAATAAAAGAGTCCTGGTAGCTAACTTAATATGCTTTGTAGACATCACAGTATTATGCTCTTTTTTTGGCTTACCCTTAGAGTCATTACATACAGTGCAGAAGAGCTTAATGATTCACAAACAGGTTTTAGAAATCAAACAGACCTTGCTTTAAATTCCGGCTTTTTTACTTGCTTAAGTATCGCATTGGGCAAGTTTTTAAGATCTCTGAACTCCGGTGGTTCTCTATGAGATTAATATTAATACCTTTTAATAGGATTATTTCAAGTATTAAATGAGATAATGTATCTTATGGACTTAAGGGTTCCTGCCACTTAGTAAGTACTCAATAAGTGATAGCTATCACTGTGTTATTAATTAGTACACTTCTAAAAAAAAAAAGTGCACTTTTAAAGGAACAAAAAAATAGTTTAAATCAACTTTTAGTTTCCTTACTTGACATATAAAATAAGTCACTTTAAATACTTAAAATTTAAGATAAAAGGAAGATGCTACAAATTGCCTAAGAAGCTTGGACTGATCCTCATGTATGTTAAGTTTTTATTATGGTCTAAAAATAAGATGTGTGCCTTGCAAATAGGAACTTGAATGTTGAATGGATTAAGGTTTTGTAGGAAAGGACCGTGTTATAGGTAAATTCCTTTGTGCCTTAAAAAAGGTGTTTTTGCTGTCATTTTTAGAATAACATGCATTTTATATTTGTAGATAAATGTCAGTCTATAAGTCCTGATGTAAAGGAAGGTGAATGCAGTAAGGAACAGATGCCTTCCATAGATGGCATTGTGGGTTCTGCCTCCAGTGAAAAAACTGAGAAAGGAACTGACCCCATCCTTTCATTAAGGTATTTTCTACGTCTGGTTTTATCCACATCTGTTGATTACTGAGAAAGGAGTGTTGAAGTCTCCATCTGTAATTGTGGATTTGCCTGTTTCGTTTTTTCAGTTTTATTTGTTTTTGCCTTATCTATTTTGAAGCTCTGTTGTCAGATGTGTACTGTATCTAGGATTGTTTTGTCTTCTTGGTGAAATTCCCTTTATCATTGTGTACTGTCCTTCTGGTATTGCTCTTTTTTTCTGATGTTTACTTTGCCATTGTAGCTTTCTTTTGGTTGTGTGTTTGCATGGGTTTATCATTTTCTGTAACGGTTTTCTCTATCTTTGGTTTTCATTAGTTTGAATATGATGTGTCCTGCTGTGTGTGTGCTTTATAATTTGATTTAGTTTGTAAAATAACAACATGAGATTTACCCTCATAACAGATTTTTTTTTTTTTTTTTTTTTTTTGAGACAGAGTTTCGCTCTTGTTATCCAGGCTGGAGTGCAATGGCGCGATCTCGGCTCACTGCAACCTCCGCTTCCTGGGTTCAGGCAATTCTCCTGCCTCAGCCTCCTGAGTAGCTGGGATTACAGGCATGTGCCACCATGCCCAGCTAATTTTTTGTATTTTTAGTAGAGACGGGGTTTCACCATGTCATAACAGATTTTTTTTTTTTTTTTTTTTTTTTTTTTTGAGACAGAGTTTCGCTCTTGTTACCCAGGCTGGAGTGCAATGGCGCGATCTCGGCTCACCGCAACCTCCGCCTCCTGGGTTCAGGCAATTCTCCTGCCTCAGCCTCCTGAGTAGCTGGGATTACAGGCACACGCCACCATGCCCAGCTAATTTTTTGTATTTTTAGTAGAGACGGGGTTTCACCATGTTGACCAGGATGGTCTTGATCTCTCGACCTCGTGATTCACCCGCCTCGGCCTCCCAAAGTGCTGGGATTACAGGCTTGAGCCACCGCGCCCGGCCCAGATTTTTTATGTGTAGGATACACTATTGTTAATTATAAGCACAGTGTTATATTGCTGATCTCTGGAATTTTTTTTTTTTTTTTTACCTTGCATAACTGCACTTCTATACTCATTGAACAACTCCCATTTCCTCCTCCCAGCCCTTGGCAATCATAATTCTTTCTTTTTCTCTTTTGTTTTGTTTGTTTTGTTTTGTTTTTGAGATGGGGTCTCACTCTGTCACCCAGGTTGGAGTGCAGTGGCACGATCTCAGCTCACTGCCACCTCAGCCTCCCAGGCTCCCAAGTAGCTGGGACCATCAGCATGCACTACCACCCCAGCTAATGTTTTGTATTTTTAGTAGAGATGGAGTTTCACCATGGTTTTCAGGCTGGTCTTGAACTGAGCTCAGGTGATCCACCTGCCTTGGCCTCCCAAAATGCTGGGATTACAGGCATGAGCCACAGTGCCTATTGGAATATTTTTCTGTAACTGCTTATTTCACTTGGTGTAATATCTTGAAGTTTCATCCATGTTGTAGCATATGACAAGATTTCCTTTTTTTTGAGACTTGAGTCTTGCACTGTCTTCTGGGCTGGAGTGCAATGATGTGATCTTGGCTCACTGCAACCCCTGCCTCCTGGGTTCAGGCAGTTCTCCTTCCTTAGCCTCCTGAGTAGCTGGGATTATAGGTGCACACCACCACACCCAGCTAATTTTTTTTTGTATTTTTAGTAGAGATGGGTTTCACTGTGTTGGCTAGACTGGTCTTGAACTCCTGACCTCATGATCCACCTGCCTCGGCCTTCTGAAGTGCTGAGATTACAGGTGTGAGCCACTACTCTGGGGCAAGATTTCCTTTTTTATGACTGAATAATATTCCATTACATGTATATGCCACATTTTCTTTATCCAGCCATTGGTTGACAGACATTTAGGTTGTTTCTGTCTGTTGGCATCACTGAAAATGGGAGTGCAAATCTCTCTTCAAGATCCTGATTTCAATTCTTGTAGATAAATATCCAGAAGTGGGTTTGCTAGATCATATGGTCATTCTACTTTTTAATTTCTTGAGGACCCTCATACTGTTTACAATAATGGGTGAACCATTTTACTTAACCACCAACAGTGTTCAAGGGTTTCAGTTTTTTTCACATCCTCTTCAATTAATACAGCCTTTCATTTTATTAATAATGTCTGTCTGAACAAATAGAAGGTGATATCTTATGGTTCTTTTGATTTGCATTTCCCTGATTATTTTTGATGTTGAACATCTTTCTGAGCTGTTAGCCATTTGTGTGTCTTCTTTGGAGAAACGTCTATTGAGGTCCTGTGCCCAATTTTTAAATTAGGTTATTTTATTTTTTGCTGTTGAGTTTTGAGAATTATTCATATGGTTTGGATTTTAGCCCCTTATCAGAAATATGACTTGCACATTTTCTCCCATTTCATAGGATGCCTTTTCACTCTATCTACCATTTCCTTTGGTGTACAGAAGCTTTTGAGTTCAGTGTAGTCCCATGTCTAATTTTGCTTTTGTTTCCTAAACTTTTGGGTGTCATAACTAAGAAACTATTGCCAAAAACAAACTTAAAGTTGTTAATTATTTTTAAGCATATAATTTAGTGCCGTTAGTTACATTTACATTGTAGTGCAGCCATCAACACCATTTATAAATCTATTTTTATTACTGCAAACAGAAAACCTGCACACTTTATGCAGTAATTTCTCATTCTCCCCTTGCTGCAACCACTGATAATCTCCAGTCTGCTTTCTGTCTCCCATCCAAGTGCTAACCAGGCCCAGACTTGCTTAGTTTGAGATCAAATTAGACCCATTCAGAGGGGTAAGGCCGTAGACTACTTTCTGTCTCCATGACTGTCTAATCTAGATATTTTACGTAAGTGGAATCATATGCTATGTCTCATAGTTGTTTGTTCCTAGTTGACAGATATCTAAAGTGTGACTTCAGAGATACACCTAATTTCATAAACTACACAAAACTGTACTCATGGCTTTTTCTAATTTTTAAAATAATTTTAAAAAATCATCGTTAATGGCCGGGCGCGGTGGCTCAAGCCTGTAATCCCAGCACTTTGGGAGGCCGAGGCGGGTGGATCACGAGGTCGAGAGATCGAGACCATCCTGGTCAACAAGGTGAAACCCCGTCTCTACTAAAAAAAATACAAAAAATTAGCTGGGCATGGTGGTGTGTGCCTGTAATCCCAGCTACTCAGGAGGCTGAGACAGGAGAATTGCTTGAACCCAGGAGGCGGAGGTTGCGGTGAGCCGTTGCACTCCAGCCTGGGTAACAAGAGCGAAACTCCGTCTCAAAAAAAAAAAAAAAAAAAAAAAATCATCGTTAATTTTAATAATAGCCTCCCGAGAAGCTGGGACTGCAGTCATGGGTCTCCACGCCTAGCTAATCTTAAAAATATTTTTTAAGGCCTGGCGCGGTGGCTCACACCTATAATCCCAGCACTTTGGGAGGCCAAGGCGGGTGGATCACGAGGTCAAGAGATCGAGACCATCCTGGTCAACATGGTGAAACCCCGTCTCTACTAAAAATACAAAAAAAATTAGCTGGGCATGGTGGCGCGTGCCTGTAATCCCAGCTACTCAGGAGGCTGAGGCAGGAGAATTGCCTGAACCTAGGAAGCGGAGGTTGAGGTGAGCCGAGATCACGCCATTGCACTCCAGCCTGGGTGACAAGAGCGAAACTCCGTCTAAAAAAAAAAAAAAAAAAAAAATATATATATATATATATATATATATATTTTAATAGAGGAGTTTTCCAGGCTGGTCTCAAACTCCTGGGCTCAAGCAATTCTCCCACCTCATTGTGAGCCACTGTGCCTGGCCCCAACTTTTTCTAATTTAGGAGAAAAAACAACCCTTTAATGACCGTTGAAGTCCTACTTGTTTTTGGAAAACAAAGAGTTTATTCTAAAATTACCGTGTACACAAGAACAAAGGCTCACCAATGATAGACAGTTTTAGAAAACACCAACTTTGGAGAGGGACTCCCTGTCCTAGACTAACGTTCAAGCTAGAATAACTCCAACAGCATGGTATTGGTACAGAGTTAGACAAATTGACTCAGTGGAACTGAATATAGAGTTTAGGAAGAGACATTTAGGAATCTGTCATATGGCAGAGGTAGCTTTAGAAATTGGGGGGCAAAGATTGAACTAACTATTCATTAGATTGTGTTGAGATTTGAAAAATATAATATTTTATCCTTGGTTGGATTACCATAGCCACTAACTTCCTGATGGATTGAAGACTAAAAACAAATCTTTACAACTTTTAGAAGAAATGTAGAAAAATATCTTTGTAATGTCAAGGATTTGTAATGTCAAGGATTTATTAAGACATAGAAAACACAGACTTTAAAAGATAAGATTGATAAGTTTGATGGTAGTAAAATTAAAGAGGTCTGTTAACAAAGGCTCCATAAAGAAAATAAAAGGCAAGTTACTGATCAGGAGGTTTTATGTGTAACATCTAGACAATAAAAATATATAGAAAACTCTTGCTGATAAGTCAGGAAAAGATAAATAACTGGTAGAAAAATTGAGCCAAAAAAAAAAAAAGCAGTATGGTTAAATGTGAATATGTGTTTAAAATGGTAGTGTATGGCCATCAAATATGTTATTGTTAGTTGAAATTTATTTTGTGACAGGATCTTGCTTTGTCGCCTAGGCAATCTCAGGTCACTGCAGCCTTGACTTCCTGGGCTTAAGCAATCCTCTCACTTCAGCCTTCTGAGTAGCTGGGACTACAGGCATGTGCCACCACACCTGGCTGATATTTGAAATATTTTTTAATATTGTAGTTCTCACTTTGTGTAGGACTATGTTAACTGCAACTTGAGCTTATTGGAGCTGTGTCCTCCTCACTTTATATGACTTGATTACACAGTACCCTGCAAAGCAAGGATTGCCTATATAAATTTTAATGAAAGCTAATTCCTAAATATTACTATTATTTTACACGTTTGATTTGTAAACCCCATTTAATAATTTCTCATTTTGAAGCCTTTTTTTTTGAGATAGAATCTTGCTCTGTCACCCAGGCTGGAGTACAATGGTGTGATCTTCACCTCCTGGGTTCAAATGATTCTTGTGTCTCAGCCTTTCAAGTAGGTGGGATTATAGTTCCGCACCACTATGCCCAACTAGTTTTTGTATTTTTAGTAGAGATAGGGTTTAACCATGTTGGCCAGGATGGTCTCAAACTCCTGGCCTCAAGTGATCTGCCTGCCTCGGCCTCCCAAAGTACTGGCATTACAGGCATGAGCCGCCATGCCTTCCATTTTGAAACTTGAGCATGTTCCTAAGCATGTAAATTTGTGGCTGTTGCTTCTCTGGTGGTACGGTTTTTAATAACATGATGCAAGATGGATCATAGAAAAGCGAATACAGCAGTTTGTATTATTCTATAATATGAAGGAGCATCTTGCAAAATGGTGATTTTGTGTGTTTAAAATTTTTAAAAATAATTATTGTAAAATATGTATTATTAGGAAATCTCTCTCTGATACAGTTTCTTTTTTTTTTTTTTTTTTTAAGTCATCAACAAGATGTCACATCAGTAGCAACTGCTGAGGCTTCAGAATCAAGCACTCTAGATTTGCCTTCATTAGAAGTTGGAATTAGAGCATTGTGTGAAGTAAATAATGCTGTAGGTAGCTGTACAGAAGAAAGAAATATTGACCTAAAAAAAAATTCACTGTAAGTATTTTATATAATAGGATTTATTCTAAAATTTTGATAAGGTTCTTAAATGATAATAATGTTGCTTTATTTAAGGATTAGAGGGGACCATTAATACATAGTTTATTAATAGTAGAGGGGATTATTTAATATGTAACTATACTGTGGTCTGTTAAGAGTGTAACATCAGGTGTTTAACTTTGTATTTCATTGCAGAAAAATTCTCTTTCATATCTGATGTATAATATGAATTTTAGGAAGGTGGTAACTTAAGAAATTCTAAAACTATTTGGAAGCCTAAATATTTACCATGAAATTTTACTTTTACTTGATTTGAGTTTTTTTTTAATGCTTGGTGTGAAAATAATGGATTTTGATATTAGTGATTTCAAGGAAGTATATCTTCTAATATGTAGATACTTGTTAAATTAATATCTTCCCAAGAAACTATTTTTTTTTTTTTTTTTGAGATGGAGTTTCGCTCTTGTTACCCAGGCTGGAGTGTAATGGCACAATCTTGGCTCACCGCAACCTCCGCCTCCTGGGTTCAGGCAATTCTCCCGCCTCAGCCTCCTGAGTAGCTGGGATTATAGGCACGCACCACCATGCCCAGCTAATTTTCCGTATTTTTAGTGGAGACGGGGTTTCACCATGTTGACCAGGTTGGTCTCGATCTCTCGACCTTGTGATCCACCCGCCTCGGCCTCCCAAAGTGCTGGGATTACAGGCTTGAGCCACCACGCCCGGCCCTCAAGAAACTATTAACAGCGTTATAAAAATCTCCCTTTGAAGAGATACCTGAAGATTTTATACTTACTTTTAATATTCCTCATAACTCTTCATCTCATATGGGCTTAAAGGGTGTTCAGTTTATTTTTCAGCAAAGTACTGTCACAATAGAAATCAAACCTTTAAAAAATCAAAATGTAAATTAGTCTTTGAGATAGGCAATACATTCATAGGGTTCAAACATCCAAAAGTATAAAAAGATATGATTGAACTCTCCCTCTTACCTGTCCCCTTACACTCAGTCCATGTAATTTCTTATATTCTTTCAGAGATTAGAAAAAACTACATTCAAGCTAATACAAATTTGTATTTTTTGCTCTAATGATAAACCTAATGACAGTATACTATATATAACATTTTGTAGTTGTTGTCTTCTGTCTTTTCATAGTCTTACGTAGATACTCTCCTTGTTTTTTGTAGATTAATAGTGTTCTGTGTATGTATGCATCATAGTTCGTATTATCAGTGCCCTATTGACTGCTATGTAGGTTGTTTTGCTAAACAATGTTTATAGTCTTGCACCTCTGTCTTTTCGCCTATATACAAGTATATTTGTAGGATAAGTTCCTGAGCTGACAGAATGTATGGTGTGTACACACACACATGCACCTTTAAACATTTATGGTATTTATTTATTTGTTTATTTGAGACAAGGTTGCACTCTGTTGCCCAGGCAAAAGTCCAGTAGTATGATTTTTAACTCACTGCAACCTCAACCTCCCAGGCTTAGGTGATCTTCCCACCTTAGTCTACCAAGTTGCTGGTGCACACTACCACATCCAGCTAATGATTTTTTTTTTTTTTTTTTAATTTGAGACAGTCTTACTCTTGTTGCCCAGTCTGGAGTGCAGTGGCGCCATCTTGGCCTACTGCAACTCCGCCTCCCGGGTTCAAGTGATTCTCTTGCCTCAGCCTACTGAGTAGCTGGGACTACAGGCACGTGCTACCACATCTGGGTAATTGTATTTTTAATAGAAATGGGTTTCACCATGTTGATCAGGCTGGTCTCAAACTCCTGACCTCAGCTTCCCAAAGGTGATCCACCCACTTCAGCTTCTCAAAGTGCTGGGATCATAGATGTGAGCCACCGTGCCCAGCCTTCCCATCTTCATTTAATCTTAGTTAGTATTTATTAATTTTATCCTCACTGTATTGTATTGCATTTCATCTAATCTTCCTTATTGTGAGATGCTACCTTCAGTATATGCCAAATTCATGTCTATTTTGGAGTCATTTTTTGGATTTTAAATTTGTTTTATTTGTTTATTCATCTAATAATAACACTGTTTTGATTTCTAGTGATGAATAGTATATTTTTAATATCAGATAGAACAAGTTGTTTTCTTCTTTTTAAGTTTTTTTGCTACTCTTATTCTAAGTAAGCTCTTAAAGGAGTTCTTCCTGGTTCTCAATAGGTTATTTTAGAAGTTCATTTAGACATGATTGTATGTTGGATGCTATTTAAATAACGTTAATTTTTCAGGGAAATTGATCAAACAGAAAATGTTAAACCTATGTTGAGAGGTCACCTCCAGAGACCTAAACCCAATTTGTCAAGGGCTGGGAAGAAATCAGTTCTTTCAGAAGGCAAAACAGAGGCAGAGAGCAAGAATTCACACTCAGAAACTTCAGTTGAAAAGGTATGGAATAAGAGACTTTATGGAAATTAAAATTATAAAAATTTTCCCTAAATAGGAATACAGATTTTTGACTTGTAATTACAAAGCACTGTTACTGATATTAAAACAGTTACAAGAACTTAACATTAGATTTGTTCCTATCTTAACACTTTTACACTATTGGTAGGAGTATAAATTAGTCAACCAGTGAGGAAGACAGTGTGGTAATTCCTCAAGGGTCTAGAAATAGAAATACCATTTGACCCAGCAATCCCAATACTGGGTATATACTCAAAGGATTATAAATCATTGTAAAGACATATGCATACGTATATTCATTGCAGCACTGTTTTCAATAGCAAAGACTTGGAACCAACTCAAATGCCCATAAATGATAGACTTAAAGAAAATGTGGTACATATACACCATTGGAATACTATGCAGTCATAAAAAAGGATGAGTTCATGTCCTTTGCAGGGATATGGAAGCCATCATTCTCAGCAAACTGACACAAGAACAGAAAACCAAACACCGAATGTTCTCACTCATAAGTGGGTGTTTAACAAGAGAACACATGGACACAGGGGCCATCACACACTGGGGTCTGTTGAGGGGTGCAAGAGCTAAGGGAGGGATATCAGGGGGTGGGGGAATTGGGGAGAGATAACATTAGGAGAAATATCTAATATAGATGATGGGGGGGATAGATGCAGCAAACCACCATGGCATGTGTATACCTATGTAACAGTCCTGCACAATCTGCACATGTACCCCAGAACTTAAAGTATAAAAAAAGAAAAAAGATTTGTTCCTATCTTACTAGTTTTTTGTTTATACCTTTTTTTTTTTTTTTTTTTTTGAGACAGTGTCTTGCTCTGTCACCAGGCTGCAGTGTAGTGGCATGATCTCAGCTCACTACAACCTCCACCTCCTGCATTCAAGCAGTTCTCCTGCCTAAGCCTCCCAAGTAGCTGGGATTACAGGCATGTGCCTCCACGCCCAGCTATGTTTTGTATTTTTAGTAGAGACAGGGTTTGACCATATTGGCCAGGCTGGTCTCAAACTTCTGACCTTGTGATCTGCCCGCCTCTGTGTCCCAAAGTGCTGGGTTACAGGTGTGAGACACTGCACCCAGCCAAAACCTTTTGAGCTGACCACAGTGGTGCACACCTGTAATCCCAGCACTTTGGGAGACCAAGGCAGTTGGTGGATCACTTTAGGCCAGGAGTTTGAAACCAGCCTGGCCAACATGACAAAACCCCATCTCTACTTAAAAACACAAAAAAATTAGCAGGGTATTGTGTCACACACCTGTAATCCCAACTACTCGGGAGTTTGAGGCATGAGAATTGGTTGAACCCAGGAGGGAGGAGGTTGTGGTGAGCTGAGATAGTGCCACTGCACTCTAGCCTGGGTGACAGAGTGAAACTCTGTCTCAAAAACATAAAAAATAATAAAAACCTTTTTCTCTGAAACTATTAATTTACACTTTTTTGGGTCCCATTGATCTTTTTAATAGCTATATCAGGTTAACATAGTATTGATTTACATAATCAGTATTCACATGCTACATTATTCACATGCTACTGATGGATGTTTAGGTTGTGTCTATTTTTGTTTGTTTTTTTAAGTCTTGTATATTAGAAGCAAACAATTTCGTAAATAAGGCTTTCTCAAGGATACAGACAAAGGATAAACTTCTAGAGATGATGGGATTGTTGGGTCAAACAATATTTTAAATTTTTTTTTTTTTTTTTGAGACAGAGTTTCGCTCTTGTTACCCAGGCTGGAGTGCAATGGCGTGATCTCGGCTCACCGCAACCTCCGCCTCCTGGGTTCAGGCAATTCTCCTGCCTCAGCCTCCTGAGTAGCTGGGATTACAGGCACGAGCCACCATGCCCAGCTAATTTTTTGTATTTTTTAGTAGAGACGGGGTTTCACCATGTTGACCAGGATGGTCTTGATCTCTTGACCTCGTGATCCACCCGCCTCGGCCTCCCAAAGTGCTGGGATTACAGGCTTGAGCCCCCACGCCCGGCTCAAATATTTTTATGACTCTTATGCATTGTCTTTTATTGTTCTTTGTATTACTTTAGAAAATTTTCTGATGTCTGAGTTTCCTGAATTGTTATGCATTGTCAAACTGTCTTAAAGAATCTATTTGCTGGCCGGGCGCAGTGGCTCACGCCTGTAATCCCAGCACTTTGGGAGGCCGAGGTGGGTGGATCACAAGGTCAAGAGATCGAGACCATCCTGGTCAACATGGTGAAACCCCGTCTCTACTAAGAATACAAAAATTAGCTGGGCATGGTGGCGCACGCCTGTAGTCCCAGCTACTAGGGAGGCGGAGGCAGGAGAATTGCCTGAACCCAGGAGGCGGAGGTTGCGGTGAGCCGAGATCGCGCCATTGCACTCCAGCCTGGGTAACAAGAGCGAAACTCCGTCTCAAAAAAAAAAAAAAAGAATCTATTTGCTAAAACACTTTTTAAGATGTTGCTTTGCTTCTTTTCCTGTTATGTCACGTATCTTTTATCATGATCTTTATAGTATAGTTATATTATTTCTAATCTTATAATTATTGAATTCTAGAAAATTTGGAAAATGCAGATTCATGTAAAAGTTAAAAATTAGTTGTAATTTTTTTCTTTACCTTTTTTCTTTGAAATGTTGTAATCTTGTTCCTTCTAATACTTGTAATTTCATTATTCACATGTAATCAGTCTTTTCACATATATCCTTACAGATTTTCTTTCACAAATCTGAGCCATGGTTTGTTTGGTTTTGTATGTTTGTTTGTTTGTTTTTCCAAGATGATATCTCACTCTGTTGCCCAGACTGGAGTGCAATGGCATGGTCTTGGCTTGCTGCAACCTCTGCCTCCAAGGTTCAAACAATTCTGCCTCAGCCTCCTGAGTAGCTGAGACTACAGGCATTTGCTACCGCACCTGGCTAATTTTTATATTTTTAGTAGACAGGGGATTTCACCATGTTGGCCAGGCTGGTCTTGAACTCCAGACCTTGTGATCTGTCCACCTTGGCCTCCCAAAGTGCTGGGATTATAGGCATGAGACACCACACCTGGCCTGAGTCATGGTTTCAATTTAGTTTTGTATCCTTTGGTAATTAACATTTCAGAAATGTCTTTCTGAAATATTTAGTGTGATTCCATTTTTGTTCAAAAAAAAAAATATACACCAGGTGTTGTGGCTCACACCTGTAAGCCCCGCCCTTTGGGAGGCTGAGGCGGGCTGATCACCTGAGCCCAGGAGTTTGAAACTAGTCTGGGCAACATGGCGAGATCCCGTCTCTACAAAAAACAGAAAAAAACTAACTGGGCATGGTGTGCACCTGTAGTCCCAGCTACTCAGGAGGCTGAGGTGGGAGGATCATCTGAACTTGGGAGGTTAAGGCTGCAGTGAGCTATCACTGTACTCTAGCCTGGGCAACAGAGTATGACCCTGTGTTAAAAAAAAAGAAAAAAAATTCTCATCTGCATTTAGGAGTTTTAGAAAATCTATTCTAGTTAGAAGTACAAAAATTGTAGTTCATATTTATTTATTTTTGGAGGCAGAGTCTCACTCCGTCACCCCTGCTAGAGTGCAGTGACGTGACCTCAGCTCACTGCAATCTCTGCCTCCCAGGTTTAAGCAATTCTCCCGCCTTAGCCTCCCAAGTAGCTGGGACTACTGGGACACGCCTGGCTAATTTTTTGTGTTTTAGTAGAGGTGGGGTTTCACCTCGTTGCCCAGGGTGGTCTCAAACTCCTGAGCTCAGCCAGTCCACCTGCCTTGGCCTCCCAAAGTGCCAGGATTACAGGCTTGAGCCACTGCTCTGGGCCAGTTCTGTTGTTTTAATTTATATTTATTACAAAGTTTGAACTTTTTATGGTAAGTAGATAAATTGTAGGAAATTAAATTCACAGAACCACATGGAAAAGGATAAAACGAATATGTTGGACAATCTGAGAACGGAGACTACAGAGAGAGAGACTCCAGAAGCTGAAACCGTATCTATGTAAGTATTCAGGAAGTAGTATGAAAATAGTATCTCTTAGGAATGATTGTAATAATTTATTTTCTACTTAATAAGGTCTGAATTTTATTTTCAAGTGGTGTACCTTGTTTATTTTCAACAACTGCTGGTTTTGAAACATTAATAATTCTCTGATATTGCTTGTGTAAATTTTATGACTCTATTGAGTTAGCTGTTACATTTCAGTGGTTACAATATATGTTCTTGGATAATTTTATTTATAGCAAGGGATTTCAAAAAGGAATATTTAACTTGAAATGGAAATCTAGAATAGGCTTCACTCCATTGTGAATCTGACTGGTGGATTCTGGGCTGTTCCAGGGGTTACCATTTATATCATGATTTGTGATTATTCCCCTGGAGTTGTACATTATCCTATAGCATCCTTTGGAATAGTATTATATGTTTGTCAGTTGTAGATTTTTCCAATTTTGTAATAAAATTCTATTTAAAATTGCTTTTTAAAATAGGCTTCCAGGATCATGTCTTGTCTCTTTCTTTTTCTTTTTTTTTTTTTTTTGAGATGGAGTCTTGCTCTGTCTTGAAGTGGTTCAGTCTCTGCTCACTGCAACCTCTGCCTCCCAGGTTCAAGCAATTCTCTTGCCTCAGCTTCCCAAGTAGCTGGGATTACAGGTGCCCACCACCATGCCTGGCTAATTTTTGTATTTTTAGTAGAGAAAGGGTTTCACCATGTTGGCCAGGCTGGACTTGAACTCCTGACCTCAAATGATCCTCCCGTTTTGGCCTCCCAAAGTGTTGGGATTACAGACAGCCACTGTGCTTAGCCGGATTATGTCTTTTCAGGACACTTGTGAATTATTTAATATTCCAAATGGTTTATTAATTCATGCCAGGGAGAAGGAAATTTGTGACTTCAAAATAAACATTTATTTTACTCCTTTGTGGTTCTAGTTTGGGTGAAAAAAAGTGTCTGCAGGAAGGTAATCAACTAAAGGCGTTCAAACCTGCACAAGTGAGGGGCCGATTGCAAAAGCCAAAGCCAAATGTAGGTAAAGCTGCTGAAAGAAGAGAAATTCTCATATCACAGCAAGAAATTGGGGCCAATGTAGAAAAGAATGAAAATGAATCCTGCGTTGATAGAGATGAAAAGAATCAAAATGAGTCATGTGTTGGTAGAGATGTAAGTACTCTGATTCCTCCTCACATTTCTGTTAGAACAAGTACATGAGCCTTAATAAAAGCTTCCCTTCACCCTTACTTACTTATTTTTTTGAGACAGAGTCTCTTCTGTCACCCAGGCAAGAATGCAGTGGCACGATCTTGGCTCACTGCAACCTCTACCACCCAGGTTGAAGCGAATTCTCCTGCCTCCAGCCTCCCTAGTAGCTGGAACTACAGGTGCACACCACCAAGCCTAACTAATTTTTGTATTTTTAGTGGAGATGGGGTTTCGCCATTTTGGCCGGACTGGTCTCAAACTTCTTACTTCATGTAATCCACATGCCTCGGCCTCCCACAGTGCAGGGATTGTAGGCGTGAGCCACCATGCCCAACCCTTCTACACCCTTTTAAAAACATTACCTCACAATTTGTGTGAATCATTTATTAAATTTATAGTCAAATCTCATAGCCAGCAGCCTTGCTGATTGTAAAGCCATTTTAGATTTTGAGCATTTACATGATAGGTAACCTGTGTCACCTGACCTCATATTTGGATTTGGTTTCTCCTGTCACTTAGTGGATATTTGAATTAACCTCCTCTTTTGAAGAGATTAGTACATATGTGAGTTTTAACATTGGCTTAAACAGCATAAAATGTTAAAAGCTCCCTACTAAGATACAATTCCAAGAACAGACTGTGAATTTTAGATTATTTACATAATCTTTGTGATAAAGGTAAAAGTTGACATGTTTTGAGATTTCAGTTTCTTCTCTTATAATTTCCATGGTCCATAGGCCAGGCATGGTGAACTCATGCCTGTAATCCCAGCATTTTGGGAGGCTGAGGTGAGAGGATTGCTTGAGGCCAGTGTCTGAGACCAGTCTGTCAATATAGTGACATTCTGTTTCTACAAAGTAAATTTTTTTTTATAATTATACTTTAAGTTCTGGGGTACATGTGCAGAACTTGCAGGATTATTACATAGGTACACACATGCCATGGTGGTTTGCTGCCTCCATCCCCATCACCTACATCAGGCATTTCCCCCAATGTTATCCCTCCCCAACCTCCCCACCTGCTGCTATCCCTCCCCTAGCCCCCCACCCGACAATAGACCCCAGTGTGTGATGTTCCCCTTCCTGTGTCCATGTGTTCTCATTGTTCAGCACCCACCTATGAGTGAGAACATGAGGTGTTTGGTTTTCTGTTCTTGTGTCAGTTTGCTGAGAATGATGACCATCATTCACAGCAAAAATTTTTTTTTTAGTTACCTGGGCTCGGTGATGTGCTCTTAGTCCCAGCTACTTGGGAGCTGAGGCGGAGGGTAACTTGAGCCCAGGAGTTAAAGCCTTCAGTGAGCTATCTATGATCATGCCATTGCACTCCAATGTGGGTGACAGAGTGAGACCCTGTCTTTAAAAAAAAAAAAAAAAAAAATACCATGGTCTATGATGCAATTACAATAATCAAAAGAATTCAGAAAAATAGGTCCCCATGGGGTATTTCTAATAGATAAGACCAAAGTAGTTACTTTGATTAGGAGGAAAAGAATGGGGCTTTGAGATATACTAAAAGGAGTAGCTCATGAAATTTTCTCAGAAAGCTAAAGTAAAAGCATTAAAAGTATTTTACAGTCACCATTTTATAATTTTAAATTTATTGCCGTTTTATACTTAAATTGAACAACATTTTCAATGAAATCTGTTATGCCACATTGTGAAACCCAAAACATTAAAAAATGTTGTTTGTTTTCAAGACTCCTCAGTACATGGAATATCAATTGTGTAAAGATTTTGAAGAGGAAGATGTCATATTACAGCCTGAGAAAAATTATTCTTTGCAAAATGTGCAGCCAGATGAGCCCAAAGTTCTTAGTGAATATCTAAGGTAAGCATCATTTTTGTTGATTATATAATCTTTGGATTTTTGTAAAAAGTTTTAGAACTCTTTAATCAGGTTTTTAAAACAGAATCAAATTAGATGGATTTGTTATCTGTATGTCTAGTTAGTGTTTTAAAATATAACTTCATCTTTCAAGAAAATTTATGTCATAGCCTTTATGTGAATTTCTCAGATGGTTTGAAAAAAGCTACTCATCATAAATTAGTACTTGAATTAACATAAATAGCCTTTTTACTTGTTTTTTTATTTTTTGAGACAGAGTTTCACTCTTACTGCCTTGGCTGGAGTGCAGTGGCACAATCTCAGCTCCCTGCAATCTCCTCCTCCTAGGTTCAAGCGATTCTTCTGATTCAGCCTCCCTCGTAGCTGGAATACAGGCGCCTGCCACCACGCCTGGCTAATTTTTGTATTTTTAGTAGAGACGCAGTTTCACCATATTGGCCAGGCTGGTCTCCTGACCTCAGGTGATCCATCCGCCTTGGTCTCCTAAAGTGCTGGGATTACAGGTGTGAGCCACTGCGCCTGACCAGCCGTATCACTTAACATGCATATTAAATTGTATGTTTATGTTCAAATGTAAAATGGGACTTATTTTTTTTTTTTGAGACGGAGTTTCGCTCTTGTTAACCAGGCTGGAGTGCAATGGCGTGATCTCGGCTCACCGCAACCTCCGCCTCCTGGGTTCAGGCAATTCTCCTGCTTCAGCCTCCTGAGTAGCTGGGATTATAGGCACGCGCCACCATGCCCAGCTAATTTTTTGTATTTTCAGTAGAGACGGGGTTTCACCATGTTGACCAGGTTGGTCTCGATCTCTCGACCTTGTGATTCACCCGCCTCGGCCTCCCAAAGTAGCTGGGATTACAGGCTTGAGCCACCGTGCCCGGCCAAAGGATTTTAGACAGCTCACATATATCTTTTTTTTTTTTTTTTTTTGAGTTGGAGTTTTGCTCTTGTTACCCAGGCTGGAGTGCAATGGCGCGATCTCAGCTCACCGCAACCTCCGCCTCCTGGGCTCAGGCAATTCTCCTGCCTCAGCCTCCTGAGTAGCTGGGATTACAGGCATGTGCCACCACGCCCAGCTGATTTTTTGCACTTTTAGTAGAGACGGGGTTTCACCATGTTGACCAGGATGGTCTCGATCTCTTGACCTCGTGATCCACCCGCCTCGGCCTCCCAAAGTGCTGGGATTACAGGCTTGAGCCACCGCGCCCGGCGCCGCGACTTATTTTTTAAATATTTGTTTCTTTGGAATTAGATTGAGCACATACTGCCTTTGTTTAAGATAAATAAATTTTATTTAAAACTTATGTATAAAAACCCATACTGCTCATAGCCAAAGCCTTTTCTGCTTTTTATTTCTTCCTTGGAGGGTACCAAGCCAGGCTGATGGAATTACTAGTTTACTTTTTAAATTTTCGTTTTAGAAATGTTTCATGTGTGTGGAAGTGCAACCATGGACTCCCATATGTCTGCTATCCAGTTTCAGTACTTAGTATTTTACCAGTCTTTACGCTTAAAGGCTGGCTTATGCTATACTTTCTTCCAGCTGTATTAGCCTATTTAAATAGTACGTAGCTGTGCATGGTGGCTCATGCCTATCTAGCTACATGGAAGGCTGAAGGAAGACGATTGCTTTAGCCCAGGAATTTGAAGCTGCAGGGAGCTAAGACTGAGCCACTTTAGTCCAGCCAGGTCAACAAAGTGAGACAGACTCCTGTCCCCCCAAAGAAGAAAAGTACCTAACCTGAGAGTGAAAGCTAGGTTCCCTGAAGTCTTTGTTGGAAGACAGAAAAATTTATTTCATGTTGCCTTCACTATTCCTTTGCTTCTTTGTCCTCCCCACTGTCCCAATTATTTTACTAATGAGCACATAGTCTCTAGATAGAAGCTTGTATGACTACATTGCTTGTTACATGTCTCTGATACAGATTTTAATTACAGATAGCTAGCAAATTATTCTTTTTATTTATATCTTTTTAGTTTAAGCTAGAGTCTATTACTTGGTACTATGGCTTAGTAGAAAATTGAACTTTTCTGAGTGGCCTCTCAGTTTTAGAACACTGGTGGATATTGTCTGTAACTAATATTCAGTCTGATCTCAACAGCTTTCTTATCTATGGGCAGTGTCATTTCTGCTTTATCATGTCGTCTTTGTGGCCTTAGAATCTCCAAAATCCTCAAAAACAATTCTAAGATGCTGTGTTTTTTTTTTTGTTTTTTTTTGTTTTGTTTTGTTTTTTTGAGACAGAGTTTCACTCTTGTTACCCAGGCTGGAGTGCAATGGCACGATCTTGGTTCACCACAACCTCCGCCTCCTGGGTTCAGGCAATTCTCCTGCCTCAGCCTCCTGAGTAGCTGGGATTACAGGCACGTGCCACCATGCCCAGCTAATTTTTTGTATTTTTAGTAGAGACGGGGTTTCACCATGTTGACCAGGATGGTCTCGATCTCTTGACCTCATGATCCACCCGCCTCGGCCTCGCAGAGTGCTGGGATTACAGGCTTGAGCCACCGCGCCCGGCCAGATGCTGTGTTTTATCAAATTATATACCTATGTCTAACAGAAAGTTTTCCTCCTCCCCTACTCCAAATATGTTGGCCTGTTTGAGATGCTATGTAAGAGAAAGAGATAGTAGGATAACAGTCTCTCAGAGAATGCATTAAAAATTCTTTAGGCTGGGCATGGTGACTCACACCTATAATCCCAGTACTTTGGGAAGCTGACACGGGAGGATCACTTGAGGCCAGGAGCTCAAAACCAGCCTGGACAACATTGCAAGGCCACATCTCTATAAAAATAATGTATTTTATTAGATAAACTAGTGGATATTTCTTTAAAATTTAATCTTGTAGGTTAATTTTGCATCTTATCTATTCCATATAAACATTTTGAGGTTTTTGTCATGATTAGTGATGTTTCTTTCAAATACACACACACATACACACACACACACACACACACACACACACATTTATATATACATACATATATATTTGAAACAGACACACACAAACACACATGGACATTTTTTTTAAGACAGGGTCTTGGCCAGGTGCGATGGCTCACGCCTATAATCCCAACACTTTGGGAGGCCAAGGCGGGTGGATCATGAGGACAAGAGATCGAGACCATCCTGGTCATCCTGGTCAACATGGTGAAACTGCATCTCTACTAAAAATACAAAAATTACCTTGGCAGCTACTCGGGAGGCTGAGGCAGGAGAATTGCTTGAACCCAGGAGGCAGAGATTGCGGTGAGCCAAGATCACGCCATTGCACTCCAGCCTGGGTAATAAGAGCGAAACTCCCATCTTAATAAAACAAAACAACAACAACAACAAAAAGACAGTGTCTTGCTCTGTCACCCAGGCTGGAGTGCAGTGGTTCGATCATGGCTCACTGTAACCACAACACCCGGTCTCAAATGCTTCTCTTGCCTCAGCATCCCAAGTAGCTGGGACTACAGGTGCATGCCCCCCACCTGGCTAATTTTTTAATATTTTGTAGAGACAGAGTTTGCCATGTTGCCCAGGCTCGTCTTGAACTCCTAGGCTGAAGTTATCCTTTTTCCTTAGCCTCCAGAAGTGCTAGGATTACAGATGTGAGCCACCATATCTGGCCATGAATATTTTATAGATTCTTAAACTCCTTGTTTTAGAAAAACACATATACAGACCTTGAAGCAGATTTATAGTTTTCTGCCCAATCCATATCTTATTTTCTCCGTTCTTGAGAGCTTGTTTGGAGGTTCTAGCAGGGGAGCACAGCTACTCATATACCCTTGACCGAAGACCAGTCCTCCTCTATTGGGGATAGTCATCCTCTTCGACCGAGCACACAGCTTCGGGAGAGACGCACATGGAGCGGTGAGGGAGGAAGGGGGCATCTGCCTAGCCAGACAGATCAGCCAAATCAACCCTGGCGATCAATGGGGTGACAGATGTCGTAGCCAGATCACCCTCACACCCGATTTTCTCCATTCTTAATCCTCTTGCTTTGCTTTTATTCTCAGATTTGTGATCTGAGGAGTTTGTGGATCCACTATATATTTTAAATTGAGAAATAATCTAGTTCAATTTCGTATCTGATATCCAGTCTCATATACTGCCCTTCAGTTAATTGTACATCCCTTTTGTTACTTAGAAACAATCTAATGCTATGCTGTAATGGCAGTTTTAAAAACCTAAGCACATAGAATACAATTATAACATTGTATATCTGTATCTTATCATCTGAACCAATATCAAAATAATGAAATTATTAATAAAGCCTTTGCTTCAAGCATTTACATGTTTAAAGAATATGCCTGTTTTCAAAATGTGACTTTATAAAGAGTTTATCTTTCTTCCCGTGATACCCAAACCAAAGATTGCTAGCACAGTAATTTCACTACAGATGTTTCTGGATGGTGATGAAAAGTATCATAAATCAAATAATGGAATGCAGTCCATTTAGGACTGATCAAATTAAATTTCCTCTATGGATTGCTATTAATTTTACATTGAATGTTGTCAGTTACTAAAGTTAATGATAGATATAAACACTTAAGTTATGTAAAAAAGTATAGTTTGACATCTTATTCCTAAGGACCTGCCTTATATTATCAAAAATTGCAATATTGAAAACAGTTATTTCAGTGAGGAAGGATGGTTTAGGACCTAGAGAAGTTGAAACAAGCAATAGCATACTTTTTTTTTTTTGAGACAGAGTCTTGCTCCGTTGCCCAGGCTGGAGTGCAATGGTATGATCTTAGCTCACTGCAACCTCTGCCTGCTGGGTTCCAGCTATTTTCCTGCCTTAACCTTCTGAGTAGCTGAGATTATAGGCTTACGCCACCACCCCTAGTTTATTTTGTATTTTCAGTAGGGACAGGGTTTTTACCTTGTTGGCCAGGCTGGTCTTAAACGTCTTACCTCAAACGATCCACCTGCCTCAACCTCCTAAAATGCTGGGATTACAGTCTGAGTTACCACGTCTGGCCTAGCATACTTTTAAATAAATATTTTGCTTATTTGTTTTGAGATGGGATCTTGCTCTGTCGCCCAGTCTGGAGTGCTGTGGCATGATCGTGGCTTACTGCAGCCTCATCCTTCCTGGGCTCAGGTGATCCTCCCACCTCAGCTTCCTGAATAGCTGGGACTACAGGTGTATGCCACCACACCTGGCTGATTTTGGGTCTTTTTTTTTTTTTTCGGTAGAGATGGGCTGCCTCAGCCTCTCAAAGTACTAGGATTACAGGCATGATGAGGCATCGTGTCCAGCCCAATACATCTTTTTTTAAGCTGTTGAATGTATAGTTATATACCTGTTCAGTCTGACATGGCTGAATAAATCTAGTGTTTCATTTGATCTAGCTTTTGCCCAATATTAACTTTTCTGGTGAGTCATTTTAAAGCTCTTTCAGTCATTTATATGTTTATTGATTTTCCTATCTATTGTAATAAACAGAACACAAAGCAAAAAGTGCTGCTGCTTTTCTGGAGAGCAAGGTGCTTGCTTTCGATAGTGATTGTGTGCCCAAAGCATTCAGCAAAATATTGTGTATTTAATCTGTCCTTTTATTTTTGACTTGTGTTATCAAATACTTGTATTATCAGATAACAAGCTCTTAGAGAAATATCTGTATAGAAAATCTCATTTAAAATTAGTTTTGTTTTTTTTTTGAGACGAAGTTTCGCTCTCGTTACCCAGGCTGGAGTGCAATGGCATGGTCTCGGCTCACCGCAACCTCTGCCTCCTGGGTTCAGGCAATTCTTCTGCCTCAGCCTCCTGAGTAGCTGGGACTACAGGCTTGCGCCACCATGCCCAGCTAATTTTTTGTATTTTTAGTAGAGACAGGGTTTCACCATGTTGACCGGGATGGTCTCGATCTCTTGACCTTGTGATCCACCCGCCTCGGCCTCCCAAAGTGCTGGGATTACAGGCTTGAGCCACCGCGCCCGGCCCTAAAATTAGTTTTAAAAGGTGAGGAGAGCAGACCTCATTGTTGTCATAAGATTTAATCTTAGTCAAGTCATACTTGTATCTAGGTATTTGAGGTGGTCGGGTCTATTATGGCAAAGCATTTGTCTGGGTAAAAGATAGAAGGGATGAAGAGGTAGAAATAGCAGACATAACATTGATCTAGCTCTAATGCAGAGAACTGGAGAGTGTTTCCCAGCCAGTATTTACAAACAGTGGTATGAATGACAATTGGAAAGAGACTATTAGAATTAAATAGCTTCTATACCGATTGACCTTACTAGATGTATATGTTTAACATTTTTGCTGTGATTTTGAAAGGGTGGGATGTTTTTCTTTTAATTTTTAAATTTTACCCGGAGATTCCTAGGGCTTCCTTAATTTTTTCGAATTTGAGAGTTTCTGTAGTGATTTCTCAAACATCATCTCTTTCAGCAGGCAGTCTGGTTTAAAACTTGATTGTGTGCCCCCCCTCTTTTTTTTTGTAGCATTCAAGAGAATAATAAAGCAAATAAACATGACCAAGTCTCAATTCTAAGGACTCGATTTCAGAAACCAAAGCCAAACATAGGAAGAAGAACTGGAAGAAGAGAAATTTCCTCAAAGGAAGAGGTACTAGAGAAGATTGCTGTGTCTGGGGAAATGACAGCAGCATTGAGAGAAACTATAACACCAGATACGTCACCAAGGGAGATGGGACCAGCAGATACTAGTACTACTAAAGAAATGCAGTCAGATTTAAAAGAATCGGGAAGAAGAGCCATTTCTCCCAGGCAGAAGATTGTAGATGTGATTGATGTCACCATGGAAATGGAGACAGGTTTGAAAGCAGCTGGAAGGGAGATTTCCCCAAAGGACAAGACACCAGAGGTGATTGATACCACTAAGGAAATAGACAATTATTTGGAAGAAACTGGAGGAAGAGAAATATCCCCAGAGGAAAATGGCCCAGAGGAACTCAAGCCTATAGGTGAAATGGAGACAGATTTGAAAGCAACTGGAAGAGAGAGTTTCTCAAGGGAGAATACACCAGAGGTGATTGATGCCACTAAGGAAATAGACAAAGATTTGGAAGAAACTGAAAGAGAAATATCCCCCCAGGAAAAAGGCCTAGAGGAGGTCAAGCCTGTAGGTAAAATGGAGACAGATTTGAAAGCAACTGGAAGGGAGATTTCCCCAAGGGAACAGACACCAGAGGTGACTGATGCCACCAAGGAAATAGACAAAGATTTGGAAGAAACTGGAAGAAGAGAAATATCTCCACAGAAGAATGGCCCAGAGGAAGGCAAGCATGTAGGTGAAATGGAGACAGATTTGAAAGCAACTGGAAGAGAGAGTTCCTCAAGGGAGAAGACACCAGAGGTGGTTGATGCCACTAAAGAAATAGACATAGATTTGGAAGAAATTAAAAGAGAAATTTCTTCACAGGAAAAAGGCCTAGAGGAAGTCAAGCCTGTAGGTAAAATGGAGACAGATTTGAAAGAAGTTATAGAAGAAATTTCCCAAAGGGAAAAGGGGCTAGTGGAGATCAGTGCTGTAAGGGAAAGGGAGATTGATTTGAAAGAAACCGGAAAAGGCATTTCCATGATGGAGAAAGTATCAGGAGAGATGGCTGCCATTGAAGAAATGAAGGCAGATTTGAAAGAAACTGGAAGAGAAAATTTTAGAGAAAGTGGATCTGAAGAGATCTGTGTTACTGAGGAAACGGTGGCAGAATTGAAAAAAACTGGAAAAACAGACATTTCTCCAAGGGAAAATGAACTAGAGGAGACCAGTACCTCAAGACAAACTGAGACACATTTAATGCAGAGTGGTAGCAGTGACTGCAGCGCTATGCCTTCACTAGATACTAAAGTATGTATTTTTCTGTCCTTTAAAATTTTTTTGAGTGCTTTTTTTCAGAGAAAAGTTACCAAAATAGTTCCATTATTTTGTCCTTAAGTCCAACAACACTTAAAAATCTCTAAAAGTCTAGCCTTTTATAGCCCTAAGTTTCTATGTTTCAGTGCCTTGAAGAGTTTTCTGAATTTCAGGTTTTAACATTTGGAAGTTAAATTTTATTTAAAAATTAAAAACTTCTAAATGTTTAAGGAAAGTGTTTAGAATATATTAGACTGTTGTTTTAAATATATGAGATGTTTAAAGAATATTTTATTTGTGCTGATTTATTTGACTGTTTTTCTAGAACATCAGCAGCAAAGTACTGTCGATAATGCATACACCTGTAGAAGAAAAAAGAAATCCTGAAAAAGAAGTATCAAGTTGCTTAAGTCATTTCAAGGTTTCTTCACAGACTCATGAATCTGATAAAACAGAAGTCCAGGGGCTTCAATCTCCAGATGTTCCAGAGCAGTTTTCAGATATTAATTTAAGGTACAAGTGTGTTTTTGAAGACACAGATATTAAGCTATATTTGCAGATTATGTTTAAGTGAGATTTCAAGGTATAACATATGCAAGATAGTGTTGGAGATTTAAGATAGTTTTGGGGTCTATGGCCATACCACCTTGAACGCGCCCGATCTCGTCTGATCTCAGAAGCTAAGCAGGGTCAGGCCTGGTTAGTACTTGGATGGGAGACCTCCTGGGAATACTGGGTGCTGTAGGCTTTAAAAAAAAAGATAGTTTTGGGAAGACTGGGAGAGGATTGAGGTCACTCTGACAGTTGTGAAAGTTACTGACATACAAAGTTGTATGTAACAGTCTTAAATTGATACAGGTTTGACAGACTCATATTTTTTTTGTGCAGAGATGATATAATTCCTAAGCTCATACCTGGATTGTACCACTCATGTTTTTCAGGATTACCAGATAGTTCGATTTGTTTTCCTGTTAAGAATTAGAATTAGGCCAAGTATGGCGGCTCACACCTGTAATCCTAGCAGTTTGGGAGGCTAAGGTGGGTGGATCCTTTGAGCCGAGGAGTTTGAGACTAGCTTGGGCAACAGGCTGTAGAAACCCATCGCTACAAAAATACAAAAACTAGCTGGGTGTGGTGGCATCCCAGCTACTTGGGAGGCTGAGATGGGAGGATCACCTGAGCCCGTGGAGATCAAGGCTGCAGTGAACTATGATTGTGTCATTGCCCTCTATCCTGGGTGACAGAACAAGACCCTGTCTCCAACAAAATAATTAAATGTTTACTGCCAATCCCTAAGGTTGTCCTGAGACTCCGTTGCCACTGTCCCTTCAGTTCATTCTAAAGCTTGATAATCTTTGTTCCAAAAGCAAATCTCTTCCTCAAGAACAGAAGCCACTTGAAATTAAACCAGCACCTTTTGTGAGAAGTCGATTCAAAAGACCAAAACCAAACTTAGCAAGGGCAGCTTTGAAGAGAGAGACTGCAGAATCAGAAAAATATGTATCTGGGAAGAAATCAGAAACCAAGAAAATGGAGACTATTGTGTTGCAAGAGAATAATGAACAACTTGATATGGTCCCTTCTCAATATGTGAGTGATATTTAAGATGGAAGTTCTGTGTGGGTATTTTTTTTTTTAAGGTAAGGGCTACTAAAAGCACCTGGCATTAAAATTTTACAAATATTTCTGTGTAATTTTTTGATATTATTCCCATGCTTAATGTGCCTCATTATTACACGTAATTTATGTAAGAATATCAGATATCTGATAATAGGCAAGCCTGTTGTGGGAAAGCGTTTAGGAGGTCTGGGCTCTGGTTCCAGTTCTGGTTTTGTGACCATTGATGAAACAATTTTCTTCATAGGAAAAATGAGAATAATAGTTTTTTATTGGGAGATGGAGGCAGCAAACCACATTGCCATGTATATACCTATGCAACAATCCTGCATGATCTGCACATGTGCCCCAGAACCTAAAGTACAATAAAAAATATATATGTATATAAATAGTTTTTTATTTATTTTTATTTTTTGAGACAAAAATCTCACTGTCACCCAAGCTGGAGTGTGATCTCGGCACACTGCAACCTCCACCTCCCGGATTCAAGCGATTCTCCTGCCTCAGCTTCTTGAGTAGGTGGGACTACAGGCATGTGCCACCATGCCCCACTAATATTTTCTTTTTGTATTTTTAGTAGAGACAGGGTTTCACCATGTTGGCCAGGCTGGTCTTGAACTCCTGACCTCATGATCTGCTCACCTCAGCCTACCATGGTGCTGGGATTGCAGGCGTGAGCCACTGTGCCTGGTGACAATAATAGTTTTTTATTTCACTCTGTTATGAAGGTGAAATGTAAGTTTGATTTGAGTTAAAGGTAATATTTTATTTACTTTGTTGACTTTCTCCATAACAGATTAAGATTGTGTAAAATATCATCAAAAACATTGAAATGAATAATTAAAAACTGAATGTTGTCCACATATAAAGTCCTTTATAGAATTAAAATTCTTAATTTGACTTTTTTTTTGTATTTTTGGTAGAGACGGGGTTTCACTATGTTGACCAGGATGGTTTCGATCTCTTGACCTTGTGATCCACCCACCTCAACCTCCCAAAGTGCTGGGATTACAGGCTTGAGCCACCGCGCCCGGCAATTTGACATTTTTAAATAGCTCAGTACTTTACTGTGTATCAATATTTATACTTTTTTCTCCTAAGCTTATAGTCATAAAAGATAAGTTACGTTTGTATTATATTTTCTGATTATAGCAATTTCTTTTTTTTTTTTTTTTTTGAGACGGAGTTTCGCTCTTGTTACCCAGGCTGGAGTGCAATGGCACGATCTCGGCTCACCACAACCTCCGCCTCCTGGGTTCAGGCAATTCTCCTGCCTCAGCCTCCTGAGTAGCTGGGATTACAGGCACGTGCCACCATGCCCAGCTAATTTTTTGTATCTTTAGTAGAGACAGGGTTTCACCATGTTGACCAGGATGGTCTCGATCTCTTGACCTCATGATCCACCCGCCTCAGCCTCCCAAAGTGCTGGGATTACAGGCTTGAGCCACCGCACCCGGCCGATTATAGAAATTTCAGTTTGGAAAATTATATGTATTCTAAAAAGTGAGTCTTTTATATCACATCCCTTTCCCCCAAGTTAATCATACAGCAATTTGGAATATATCCATTTAGGCTTTTTGGTATGTTTATAAAATAATAAAATGGGCAGATATTTTTATTGTTTTCCAAAATGACACTAATTCTTGCCTTCTGATTTTTCCAGTTAAAATATTGTGAGCTTCTTTTTAGATCAGTACAAAGAGACTTATCTTCTTTTAAATGGTTAGATACTATTGCATTCTAAATAAATTAGAATTTATTTATTTAGTCTCTTAATGACAGATCTGTCTTATTTCTGATTTTTTTGTCTTTTCCAGTGGGGGAGGTGGCATTTAAATTATTACAATAAATATTTTTATATGTATGTTTCTACTTGTTAAATATTTATAAGATACATTTCCAGAAGTGTAATTGCTCGGAATTTAGAATTTTGGTATAGACTAACTACCCTATTGTTTTTTACAAAGATGATATCAGTTTATACTTGTATGAATAAAATAAGAAAGTTCTTATTTCTTTATACTTTTAGCAACCCTGGATGAAATTTTTTTCCTGCCTTTTAGGATGAAACTTCCCTAGTGATACCAAGAGAAAAAGACACATTGGGCCACAAGAATGAGGAAGCTGTTATATTGCCATGTATACAGCCTGAAAATAACCTTTCACCTTCAAATTCTCCTGAACCTAAAGAGGACTCTCAGTCAGCACAAGCCCAAGAAAATGACTTAGTTGTTTCTGTGGGGTAAACAGTTACTTTCTTTGAAAATATAAAATAAGAGAGACACTTCTTTTAAATATTTCTCATTTTTATTGAGATATGTTAATGCATTTAAAAAGTGAACATAAAGAATATTATTGATTTAGCAGACTGCCTAAAGTATAATATCGGATTTAATTCAGTGCCTTCTAATGGTTGCCTGCTGTGTGCATTGTTACCTGCTTAAGAGTCTATATGAAGCAATGCATTTAAAAAGTACAGGTTGAGCATGCCTAATCAAAAATTCTGAAATGCTCCACAGTTTAAAACTTTTTGAGAGCTGGCCGGGCGCGGTGGCTCAAGCCTGTAATCCCAGCACTTTGGGAGGCCGAGGCGGGTGGATCACGAGGTCAAGAGATCGAGACCATCTTGGTCAACATGGTGAAACCCCGTCTCTACTAAAAACACAAAAAATTAGCTGGGCGTGGTGGCGCGTGCCTGTAATCCCAGCTACTGAGGAGGCTGAGGCAGGAGAATTGCCTGAACCCAGGAGGCGGAGGTTGCGGTGAGCCGAGATCGCGCCATTGCACTCCAGCCTGGGTAACAAGAGCGAAACTCCGTCTCAAAAAAAAAAACTTTTTGAGAGCTGATGTGGTGCTCAAAAGAAATTGGAGCATTTCGGATTTCCAAAGTAGGGATGCTCAGCTGATAAGTATAATGCATATTTTTCCAAATCTAAAAAAATCTGAAACCTGAAACATTTCTGGTCCTAAGCATTTTGGATGAGGGCTACTCAACCTGTATGTATATAAGCTGTATATATCCATTACCTTTTAAAAATTGATGAAATACATATAACATAAAATTTACCATTTTAACTATTTTTTATTTTAACTGTTTCTTTTTTTTTTTTTTTTTTTGAGACGGAGTTTCGCTCTTGTTACCCAGGCTGGAGTGCAATGGTGCGATCTCGGCTCACCGCAACCTCCGCCTCCTGGGTTCAGGCAATTCTCCTGCCTCAGCCTCCTGAGTAGCTGGGATTACAGGCACACGCCATCATGCCCAGCTAATTTTTGTATTTTTAGTAGAGACGGGGTTTCACTATGTTGACCAGAATGGTCTCGATCTCTTGACCTCGTGATCCACCCGCCTCGGCCTCCCAAAGTGCTGGGATTACAGGCTTGAGCCACCGCGCCCGGCCTTAACTGTTTCTTAATGTACAGTGGCGTTGTGTATTCACATAGATGTCCCATAGCCACCACCATTCGTTTTTAGACTTTGTTTTTCATCTTTGTAAAATGAAACTCTGTACCCATTAAATATTAACTCATTCTCCTCTTCTTCCAGCTCCTGGCAACCACTATTTAGCTACTCTAGGTATATCATATAAGTTTATTACCTTTTGAGAATTGAAACAACTGCTTTCTTTTGTAAAGTAAGATGTTTATAATGAGAAAGCAATTTCCCTTTAATGGTACAAAGTATTTTTTAGAGCCTTTATTAGAGGAGATCCAAATTTTACATTTCTACATTAGTTTTCAACTTTTTACAGTCAAGTGCCCTGTCTTTCTCCCTGTCCCCTTGTTTAGGACTAATAATATAAACACTTGCCAGCAAGAAATGAAGGAAAGTGTCATTCCAACTGCTCGACCAGTAAGGGGTCGACTTCAGAGACCAAGACCAAATGTAAGAAAGGCAGGACAAAGGCAAATAGAAAAAAGTGAAGCCAAAGACATAATTCAGGAAGAAAGAACAATATTACAAAGGGATGAAAGTGAAAAGAAAGTCTTAATTGTGGTGAGTTATTGTTATGTAATTAAATTGAGCCTTTTAATGCATTTAGAATATCAAGTTACAGCTCAGATATGGCTTAGAAATACAGGCATCTGACACTTACTCTGCTCAATGAATACAGTATCCAGTTTTTGTCAGATTTGCTCTTCTGGATTTTTTTTTTTTAAGTGAAAATAGATATATGTCTTTTTTAACTAATGAAGCTATTCATCTTGAAGTGTTCCATTAAGACAAAATAATGTAATAAATAACACAAATCTCACTCTGAGATAACCACTGAAAATCTTTTGATATATCTTATGGGATCTATTTCCATGCACACATATATGCACACTTATGCAAATTTAAACAATAAAATCATTACATATTATAACTTTCTGTTATTCACTTAATACTATGTTAAGTGGCTTTCTGGATTAAGAAGTATGGAGTTGCATTGTTTTTGCTGGATAACGTTATGCTGTTTTGAATGACAGTTTAATCTCTTATTGATGGGTCTTTTGGTAGTAGGAAAAAGGCCTAAGCAGTATAATGCCTAAAAGTGCTCACTTTAGGTAGTTCTTTTCTGTTCATTTCTCTACTAATGCAAAGTCTAGATTTAAAATAATCTTTATTTGAACCAAAAAGCTCTTTCTTAAAAAAAAAACAACCATTAGACTTTTATTTTTAGTTTCATATCAGGTCACTATTACAATTTTCAAAGTATTATATTAACATATTATTGCAGTAATCTTTGAAACTTTTCTCTGAACTAGGCATCCTTGTTTTGGCAACAGAATATAAACATTATATATCTAGTTTGAATCTAATTTTAAAGAATTAACCACACATGGTGGTATGTGCCTGTAATCTCAGTTACTCAGGAGGCTGAGGAAGGAGGATCACTTGAGCATAGGAGTTTGAGACCTGCTTGGGCAGCATAATGAGACTATCTCAAATAAATAAATACATAAACATTTAAAAAAGAAAAGGAATTCTTCAAAACTAAGTATCTTTCTTAATGATGGAAATATTTTAAGAGGTATATTCTGCTGTAAAAATAACATACGAATATGATTTTGTCTTTTCAGTCAAATTCTCAAGTTGAAACAGAAATTGAAATTCCATCCTCCACAGTTTCAGAATACAGAATGTATGAAAATCAAAGTCAGGTGGTTCTTGTAGAAAACCTTCATGTTAACAAAACAAACAAAACAGTCAGGTGAGTTTGCTTTTAATGAAACACAAGATTTTTCAAAGACAAAAGTTATGTTTTTGCATAATTGATTTTATACATTAGTAACTTCACATCATGAAAATGTTAAAAGGATAAAGTAATAGATACTTTTGATGCTACAGTCTTTTAAATCTGCTTCTTGAATACTGTATGAATTGCATGGCTGATATTCTCTGAAGTATATTCTCTTAAGTGTATGATATTCTTTTTTTCCTTCTTTTTTATCTTTTAAGTTGGTACAAAAGCAATGGTGTATGATACTCTTAAGTATATGATATTCTCTTAAGTATATGTAATTTCTCTGAAAAGTTTGATCAGCGCCCTCATTTTTGGTACCAAAACTAAACTTTTAATATTAGGCAAAGATTCTTAAGTTCTTTTTATCTTTTTTAGAAATTTAGGCCAGGTGCGGTCATGCCAGTAATCCCAGCACTTTGGGAAGCCAAGACAAGAGAATCACTTGAGTCCAGGAGTTCAAGACCAGCCTGGGCAACATAGTGAGACCTCGTCTCTATAAAAATAAAAAACAAAAAAAGAGTTTATAACCTACTGACTAAAATTCCTCAATAGGGAGTTGTATGAAGTACTTACTGTATGCTATATTTAGAGGTAACTAAATCAAAGCCAAATGGTAAGAATGGTGTCTTTTAAATGAGATGAGCTAGTAGGGTGAGGAAGTTTTGACATTACTACTTTTATTTATTATTTGCGCTCTGCCTTATTATTATTGATATTAAAGCAAGATGTGTTCTTTAGTAAAAACCTTTCTTTTCTTTATATAGTTCATGGTCCATCTAATTTACTGTCTTTGTAACTAGAACATGTTTTAGTGAAGTATTTACTAATTTTCATTCAGGATGTTTTAGCACTTATGAATATACTTTAAATATTTCAGCTTCCTTTAATTAGGTAGACTGGCCTTCTGGTAAATGCAGAGGAAATGTTATTGTATCCTTTTTCACCCTCTCTGGTTAGGTGAAGCTAGAATTTGGGCATGTTAGGTCATCTTTCAAAATGTGGTGCTATTGATTTGTATTTTCTTTTATTATGTTTACTTTTTTTTTGTTTTTAATAGAGACAGAGTTTCACTGTGTTGGCCAGGCTGGTCTCGAACTCCTGACCTCATGATCCATCCGCCTTGGCCTCCCAAAGTGCTGGGATTACAGGCTTGAGCCACCGTGCCTGGCCTTATTATCTTTACCTTTTGAGACAAGGTGTCTCACTGTGTTGCCCAGTCTGTAGTGCAGTGATGCAGTCACGGCTTACTGCAGCCTCAATTTCCTGGGCTCAAGTGATCCATCCCCCTCAACCTCTTGAGTAGCTGGGACCACAGGCGCACACCACCACACCTGGCTAATATTTTTGTATTTTTTTGTAGAGATGGGGTTTCACCCTGTTGCCCAGGCTGGTCCTGAACTCCTGAGCTCAAATGATCCACCCCTCTCAGCCTCCCAAAATCTTGGGATTACACGGTGACCCACTGTGCCCAACCTCTGTTAATTTTAGATGATTGAAACAGTTGTCTTTCATTTAGACAAGCTTCTAATGTGAAGCTTTTATTTTAGTATGGATTACTTTTATTTTTTTATTTTTATTTTATTTTATTTTTTTGAGACAGAGTCTCTCTCTGTTGCCCAGGCTGGAGTTCGGTGTCTCCATTGTGGCTCACTGTAACCTTCCACCTCCCTGATTCAAACGATTCTCATGCCTCAGCCTATGGAATAGCTAGGACTACAGGCAGGCACTACCACACCTGGCTAAGTTTTTGTATGTTTAGTAAAGACAGGGTTTTACCATGTTGGCCAGGTTGGTCTCCAGCTTCTGACCTCAAGTCATCTACCTCCTTGGCCTCCCAAAGTGCTGGGATTACAGGTGTGAGCCACCGTGCCCAGCCTTTTTAGTCTCACTCTGTCACCCAGGCTGGAGGTGCAATGGCATGATCTCGGCTCACTGCAACTTCCACCTCCCAGCTTCAACAATTCTCCCTGCTGAGTAGATGGGATTACAGGCACCTGCCACCACACCCTGCTAATTTTTGCATTTTTAGTAGAGACAGGGTTTTGCCATGTTGGCCAGGCTGGTCTCAATCTCCCACCCTCATGTGATCCGCCCACTTCGACCTCCCAAAGTGCTGGGATTACAGGGGTGACCCACCTTGCCCAGCCTGGATTACTTTTATTTTCAATATCACAGCCCCTACCGCACCACCCGCCCCCGAGCTTTTTATCTTAAAAAGCCTTAAAATTTTTTTGGATATATAATAGTTATACATACATATTTTTGGACTACATGTACTATTTTAATGCGTTATACACAATATGTAATTATGAAATCAGAGTAATCGGGATATCCATCACCTCATACATTTATCTTTGTATTGACAACATAATTTTCTAGCTATTTTGAAATATATAATAAGTGATTGTTAACTATAATTTTCCTGCTATACTATTGAATAACAGAACTTATTTCTTCTATCTACTGTATTTTTGTACCCACTACCCAGCTTCACATTACTCCCTTCCCTCTTGCCTTCCTAGCCTCTGGTGAGCACCATTCTAATCCCCACCTTCGAGAGATCCACTTTTTAAGCTGCTACGTATGAGTGAGAACATACAATATTTGTCTTTCCATGCCTGGTTTATTTCACCTAACATAGTGACCTCTAGTTTCATCTATGTTGCTATATACCACACTTTCTCACTTTCTTTACTCATTTGTTGCTGGCTATTTAGGTTGGTATTATGTATTGGCTATTGTGAATAACACTGCAGTAAACATGAGAATTCAGATATCTCTTTGATAAACTGATTTCCTTTCTTTTGGACATGGCTGAAAGGATGGCTGAATCAAATGGTAGTTCTATTTTTAGTTTTTTGAGGAATTTCCATACTTTTTTCCATAATGGCATTTCTACTTTATATTCCTATGAACATCATATGAGTTTTCCCCTTTCTCCACATCCTGACCAGTATTTGTAATTTTTTTGTCTTTTTAATAGTAGCCGTTTTAACTGCAGTGAGACGATATCTCAGTGCAGTTCTGATTTGCGTTTCCTTGATGATTAATGATGTTGAACATTTTTTCAAACACCTTTTGGCCATTTGTATGTCTTTTGAGAAGTGTCTATTCAGATCTTTTGCACATCTTTTTTTTTTTTTTTTTTTTGAGAGAGAGTTTTGTTCTTGTTGCCCAGGCTGGAGTACAATGGCATGATCTTGGCTCGCTGCAACCTCTGTCTCCCGGGTTCAAGCGATTCTTCTGCCTCAGCCTCCCGAGTAGCTGGGAATACAGGTGTGCACCATCATGCTCAACTAATTTTGTATTTTTAGTAGAGATGGGGTTTCTCCATGTTGGTCAGTGGTCAGGCTGGTCTCGAACTCCTGACCTCAGGTGATCTGCCCACCTCAGCCTCCCAAAGTGCTGGAATTACAGGAGTGAACCACTGCTCCTGGCTTTGCCTGTTGTTTAATCAGGTTATTTGTTTTTTGCTATTGAGTTGTTTTTGTTCCTTATATATTCTGATTATTAACTTTGGTGAGATGGATAGTTGGGAATTCCCTTCTCCCATTCTGTAGGTTGTCTCTTCACTTTGTTGATTGTTTCCTGTTCTGTGCATTGAAAAGCCTTTCCATATTGCTTTCATTTTAAGATTAAGGCCAATTTTTACTTCACATGAATATTTAGGTTTCCTTAGCCATTTTTCAGTTTTTAAAACTGGATATTTAAATGAAATGATTTTTACTGAAATGCATTACACTTGTATTACAAATTCTACGTAGGATTATGTTGATGAGTAATTTAACTCTGATAATATCCAGGAAATGTTACAGGTGAATTTGTTTACATCATTCACTTCTCCTAGTTACTAATTATGGGATTATTCGTATGATCCCTTTTTGGTCCTTTATGATTATTTTGGCAAACAATCATAAAAATTTGCCACTGAAAATAACTTTACATATTCATTTCACAAACATTTTAGTGTCTGCTATGTTTCAGGCGTTGTTCTAAGTGCTGAATGATATAGGAGTGAACAAAGAAAAAAATTCATCACTGTGGAGTTTATATTCTAATTGGGAAACATTATAAACAAGAGAAATAAGTTGAATAAATAAGTAATAAGTAGAGAAAAGTAAAGAGTTTGAGTAGGGAGTATTGTGATTGGGGATTCAGTTTTTAATCAGCAGTGACCAGAGTTTGCTTCCTTGAAAGGGTATAGTGAAAAGAAGTGAAGGGCCAGGTGTGGTGGCTGATGCCTGTATTCCCAGCTTTTAGGGAGGCTGAGATTGACAGATCACTTGAGCCCAGGAGTTCGAGACCAGCCTGGCCAACAAGGGGAAACCCTGCCTCTACAAAAAAATACAAAAATTAACCAAGTAGGGTGCTGTGTGCCTTTAAAAAAGGAAGAAGAAAGAAGTAAAGGAGTATGTTGAGTCTAGGGGATGTCCTGGGGAAGGGGGAGCAATTCAAAGCACTAAGGCAAGAGAAGAATATGCTGGCATGCTTAGAGAACAGCAAAGAGGCCAATGTAGGACAGAGTGCAAAAGAGGAAGAATAGTAGATGTATGAGATGTAAAGGCTGAGGGTGAAGATGGATAGATTATATAGGGCCATTATAAGGATTTTGATTTTGATTCTAAGTGAGCCTTTAAAACACTAGAGACCTCGAGGTCAGCCTTCCCTAATGCTTTCATTAATAATTGACTAAATAGATCTAGGGCACTTAAGTGACTTACATAAAGTGATATTGGCAGTTTAGGTTTTTTTATTTTTTATTTTTATTTTTATTTTTTTTTGAGACAGAGTCTTGCTCTGTCACTCTGGCTGAAGTACTGTGGCATGAATTCAGCTCACTGCTACCTCTGCCTCCTGGGTTCAAGTGATTCTCCTGCTTCAGCCTTCTAAGTAGCTGGGATTACAGGTGCCCTTCACCACATCTGGTACATTTTTGTAGTTTTAGTAGAGATGGGGTTTTGCATGTTGTCCAGGCTGGTCTCAAATTCCTGACCTTAGGTGATTCACCCACCTCGACATCCCAAAATTCTGGGAATAAAGGCATAAGCCAGGCCAGGCACGGTAGCTCATGCGTGGCACGGTAGCTCATGCCCAGGCCAGGGTGGATCACGAATCAGGAGTTCGAGATCAGCCTGGCCAATATGGTGAAACCCCATCTCTACTAAAAATACAAAAATCAGGTGGTGTGGTGGCATATACCTGCAGTCCCAGCTACTCAGGAGGCTGAGGCAGGAGAATTGCTTCAACCTGGGGGCACAGAGTTTGCAATGAGCTGAGATTGCACCACTGCACTCCAGCCTGGGCAACAGAGCAAGACTCCATTTCAAAAAAAAAAGAAAAGCATGAGCCACTGTGCCTGGCTTCTTTTCTTGTTTCTTTTCTTTTCTTTCCTGTTCTTGCTGTGTTACCCAGGCTATAGTTTAGTGGTGTGATCTTGGCTCACCGCAAACTCTGCCTCCCAGGTTCAAGTGATTCTCCTGGCCCAGCCTCCTGAGTAGCTGGGATTATAGGCGCCTACTTCCACACCTGGCTAATTTTTGTATTTTTAGTAGAGATGGGATTTCACCATGTTGGCCGGGCTGGTCTTGAACTCCTGATCTCATGATCCACCCTCCTCTGCCTCCCAAAGTGCTGGGATTACAGGCATAAGCCACTGCGCCCACCCTCTTTCCCTCTCTCTCTCCCTCCTTCCCTTCCTCCTCTTTTCCTTCCCCCTACTCCCCTCCACTCCTGTCCCCACCCCTTGCCTGTCCTCTCCCCTGTCCTGGCCCTTCCCCTCTCTTCTTTCTCTTCTTTCATCTGTCTTTTTTTTCCCCACAGGATCTCACTCTGTTGCCCAGTCTGGAGTGCAGTAGTGCAGTCATGGCTCACTGTAGCCTCAATCTCCCAGACTCAAAACGATCCTCCTGCCTCAGCCTCCCAAGTAGCTGAGACTGCAGGTGTGCACCACCACACTTGGCTAATTGTTTTAGTTTTTGTAGAGAAAGGGTTTCACCATGTTGTCCAGGCTGGTCTTGAACACCTGGGCTCAAGTGATTCCCCTGCCGTGGCCCCCACAAAATGCTGGGATTACAGGCATGAAATTGTTGTGTCTGGCCAAGCAGTTTAGTTTTAAATTTAAATTTTCAGGATTTATAACTTTCAGACTAGCAAATTCTACAGTTACATAGACAGTGTTTCTTGAAACAGACTTTTCGTGTTTCAGATTATTATGCTTAGCCTTTGTATTTCTTGATGAGATAGCCCTAACTTTAAAACGTCCTATATGGAAACCTGTCACGCTCCTTGTCCCCCCCCTTTTTTTTTAACCTTTTCTAGTTCGTGAAGTATATTTCAGCTGTTAGCTGTACAGTAATTGAAAGTAACTATCTCTGTACAGTTTTTGTTTGTTTGAGACATAATCTCTCTTGCCCAGACTGGAGTGCAGTGACGTGATCTCAGCTCACTGCAACCTCCATCTCCTGGGTTCAAGCAATTCTCCTGCCTCAGCTTCTTGAGCAGCTGGGATTGCTGGCGCCTGCCACCATGCCTGGATAATTTTTGTGTTTTTAGTAGGACAGGGATCTGACCATATGGTCAGGCTAGTCTTGAACTCCTGACCTCAAATAATCCACCTGCCTCAGTTTACCAAAGCACTGGGATTATAGGCATGAGCCAGTACTCCTGGCCTCTCTCTGTGTAGTTTTTAAGTTAGCTTATTCTTAGGTTCAGCAGCTTGTGGTTGTTTTGTTTTCGGACAGAGTTTCACTCTTGTTGCCCAGGCTGGACTGCAGTGGCATGATCTTGGCTCATTGCAGCCTCTGCTTCTCAGGTTCAAGCAGTTCTCATGCTTCCGCCTCCTGAGTAGCTGGAATTACAGGTGCCGACCACCACACTCGGCTAATTTTTGTATTTTTACTAGAGATGGTGTTTCACCATGTTGGCCAGGCTGGTCTCAAACTCCTGACCTCAAGTGATCCACCTGCCTCGGTCTCCCAAAGTGCTGGGATTACAGGCGTGACCCACTTTGCCCAGCCTGGATTACTTTTGTTTCCAAGATAACAGATGTGAGCCACTGCACTCGGCCAGGTTCGGTATTTTGTTGTCCCTTTTGACTTCAGTAGCACATTGGGCTTATTTATATTTTATTCTTAAATACCTCTGCAGAATCATACTTGATTGTAAATAGCTTATACTTAAATATGATTGTTTTACCAAATGCATTAGTCTACATGAGCCAGCATTGTAACCTTGTTAGAACTTCCTGTGAAATTTTATGTTGTTTACTGCCAGAAGAATGTAGGAGGGTTAGTACATTTGGAAATGTGCTAAGTACTCCTAGGTAATTTATTTAGAAATATTGCTTAAGATTAGTTTTGGCTGACTCTAGACACACTGCCTATGAGTTAGCCCTGCTAAAAGAAGGGAAAAAAAAGATTAGTTTTTAATCTCTCAAGGGTGGATTCCCTATTTTAGAAAGAAAAAATAAATAAATGAAGATTAGTTTTTAATGCAGATCTTTCAGAGAGCTCATGATAGGTACTTGTATACTCAGTCATTCTTTATAAATATCCAGATTTATATTAGTTTTTAAGCTTCCTAATTTAGATTCTTGACAGTTGCTAAAATATTTTCTAGGAAACCTTTAGATAGCTATTGAGGTTAACTTGTGAGCTGTGGCTACCTATTGAATGCTAAAACATTGTCTTTTTCTGATTTGGCAGGTATAAACTGATTATATTGAGAACATTATTATATTGGCTGTCAGTAAACCCTTCTTCATGAGATTTCAGGCATGTGGTGGGAGAATAGACTCTAGCCTTCAAGCCTACTCTTGAACTAGAAGGACCAAGTTGGTTATAACTGTCATATATTTGTTCATGCTTTGGCAGCCCAATTGAAAGCATTTGTTTAAAGTACCATTATAAAATCCATCTTCAGCTACTGGCATTTTTTTGGTATCTTGTGATTTCTGTGAAAATTAAAGTAGGATGAAATCACATAATAGAATAAATAAAGTTTAAAAAGATTAATATAATTAATATAATTAATATAAATGTAAAACCTCCTCAAGCTGTATAGAAAATGGAATATAGGACCGGGCGTGGTGGCTCACGCCTATAATCCCAGCACTTTGGGAGGCCAAGGCAGGTGGATCACAAGGTCAAGAGATCGAGACCATCTTGGTCAACAAGGTGAAACCCCGTCTCTACTAAAAAAAATTAAAAATACAAAAATTAGCTGGGCGTGGTGGTGCACGCCTGTAGTCCCAGCTACTCAGGAGGCTGAGGCAGGAGAATTGCTTGAACCCAGGAGGCAGAGGTTGCGGTGAGCCGAGATCATGCCATTGCACTCCAGCCTGGGTAACAACAGCAAAACTCCGTCTCAAAAAAAAAAAAAAAAAAAAAGAAAAACAGAAAAATAAAATGGAAGCTATAAAAGCTTTATTAGTTCTTCCTTTCATATCAGCAATGTGATTTCACTGTACATGCTTGATTTTATTGCTAATTTATTTATAGTCCTTTGAACATAGAATTTATTTGTATCCAAAATTGTTTGATGTAACAGCTGTTTTATCAACAAGAAATTCTGATTTTTGTTCTTCAACATGATTTGTACTTCATTCTAGCCATGAAAATAAACCGTATGTTCCTAGTGCAGTACAAATGACAAGGAAATTCCAAAAGGCTAAGCCAAATTTGGGAAGAGCACAAAGTAAGAAAGAGGAACCAGTTTTAGAAAAAGGCACAGCAGATCAGAGCAAGGCAAGCAAGCCAGACAATCATTTGCTGCAGAAAGGAGATTCCAACACCCAGTTCCTTCTAAAAGTAAGTTTGGGCAAAAAAAGAAAAAAAATTTTTTTTCTCAATGAGGTCTGTTTTGTCAAGGTCATGAAGAGCATGATGAGTAAAATATAATTTTGACTTTTGTACTGTAACCATTATGAAAAGTGACTTTCTAGTATTGTAAAAAATGACTGATTGCTTGTATATATATGTAAGCTTAGAGATTTTGGCCCAAGTGCCAAGCCCAATTAACATAGAGATTTTTTTTCTGCAGTAATACTAGCTAATTTCTTCTTAAATTTAAGGAAAAAACTGAGCTTCTGACATCTCTGGAGGTTTCAGCAAGAAAAGATTATGTAGGTCCTAAAGAATCTGCTTTGGCAAAAAGAGATGTTGAATTAGAAGTTGGACCATCAGGAAGGGTTGGAGAGGAAACTGTAGGAGATAATAATTCAGTATCTTCAGTTGTTGAAGAGCAGCTCAATAAACTAACAAGGTAACATTTTATTTACAAAAACTTTCACAATAGGAAATAAAAATCACTTAACTTTTAGCCTAACTTACTGGTAGAATGAAATTTCTGCGTGTTGGGTCTGTTAGACTTGGGTGGAAACTTGACCAAAGAGGAGGATGTATTAGCTGAGTAATTAGGGTGCTCATTCAAATGGAGTCACAAACACAAATGAAGAATACCCTACTTCTGTAGTTGTTAAAGAAAATGGAAAGAAACTTAAGTTGTAGAAATTAGCACTGCTCTGGTGGGTTTCTGCTGCCCGTTTCTTTTAACATAATCTGTTTACCCAATAGGATAAACTAGTATTACTTTTTGATCTCATATTCTGTATTTATTTGTTCTGTCTTTTTTTTTTTTTTTTTTTTGAGACAGAGTTTCACTTACTCTTGTCACCCAGGGTAGAGTGCAATGGCGCAATCTCAGCTCACTGCAACCTTTACCTCCTGGGTACAAGCGATTCTCCTGCCTCAGCCTCCCGAGTAGCTGGGATTACAGGCGTGCATTCACCACAACCAGCTAATTTTTGTGTTTTTAGTAGAGGTGGGGTTTCATCATGTTGGCCAGGCTTACCTCGAACTCCTGACCTCAAGTGATCTGCCTGTCTCAGCCTCCCAAAGTGCTGGGATTACAGGCATGAGCCACAGCGCCCTGCCGGTTCTGTGTCTTTTAGCTCTCTTTCTTCTAATAATTTTCAGTTTTGTGTTTATTTTATTTCACTTTCATATTATAGGAAAGAATGACCCAGAATTAAAAACTTACTATGAAAATTTTGTAGGTAGATAAATAAGAATTAACTCTGAATGATAAGCTAAGTAGCAGTTAATTCCTTTTTATTTTCACAGCATAAGATTTTAAAAGAATGAGTGGTGGGAATTTTTATTTTTATGACTGGAACTGGAATTTCACTCTAAAATGCATATGACCTTATTGTTATTTTGATTAAACATCTAGCTGTCCACAACTGTTAAAAGAATCAAATTACTCAAAAATTGCCCCGGATGGGAAAACCACTATCTCTTCTGCATCTGATTATGAGAGAAATCATGGTGAAAGGAGGATGCCTAGAAAGATCAAACCAAATGTCACCAGAGGTCGTGGATCAAAACGAGTTCGGGGTAAGAATTCTAAGAAGGAACCTAGAGCTCCCAAGGCCATGCTGGTGACTCTTCGGGCTTCCCAGGAAGAAGAAGATGATGCTGATGATTTTGAGTCTGACTATGAAGAAGAAAGCTATCATCTTGCTCCTGAAGAAGTAAACAAAGCTCCAGTGTTTGTACCTGTTGGTCTGAGATCTCCTGAACCTGTTTCTGCTCAGATTGAGGAAACAATGGAAGAGGTTCGGTTTTTTTTTTTTTTTTTTTTTTTTTTTTTAATTCTTGGTACTTTATCTTACTTGGCTTTCACTTCTTGTTTCTTTTAGGGGATCATTATTTCTTCTCTTAGTGATTATTAGGATTTGAACAGTTCATTTTCTAAGTAACTTCTACCAAATATAATTTGGGGCCTTGTATAACTTTTTGTGATTGCTCAGCCCCTATGGCTCAGGCCCAACAAGGGAGGCAGTATAACAACAATGAGAGAAATCTGCTTACCCTTGTACCTGTAAACTGCTTAATCTACTTTCTGATTAATTTTTATTTTTTCTTTTTTTTTTTTTTGAGACGGAGTTTCGCTCTTGTTACCCAGGCTGGAGTGCAATGGCGCGATCTCGGCTCACCGCAACCTCCGCCTCCTGGGTTCAGGCAATTCTCCTGCCTCAGCCTCCTGAGTAGCTGGGATTACAGACACGCGCCACCATGCCCAGCTAATTTTTTGTATTTTTAGTCGAGACGGGGTTTCACCATGTTGACCAGGTTGGTCTCTATCTCTTGACCTCGTGATCCACCCACTTCGGCCTCCCAAAGTGCTGGGATTACAGGCTTGAGCCACCGCGCCCAGCTCTGATTAATGTTTCAAACACTTTGGCAGGTGTTTTCTGGTTGATAGAGAAGGTAAAAGGGACATACTTGTTTTCTTTGGCTTTGTGGCTCACATCTGTAATCCCAACACTTTGGGAGGCCGAGGCGGGTGGATCACCTGAATTCGGGAGTTTGAGACCAGCCTGACCAACAAGTTAAAACTGTGTCTCTACTGAAAATATAAAAATTAGCCAGGCGTGGTATCAGGCACTTGTAGTTCCAGCAACTTGGGAGACAGAGACAAGAGAACTGAACCCAGGAGGCAGAGGTTGCAGTGAGCTGAGATTGAGCCACTGCACTCCAGTCTAGGCAATGGAGCAAGACTCTGTGTCAAAAAAATTAAAAAATCAAATAAAATTGTGCTACAATACATGTAACATAAAATTTACCATCTCTCTGTTTTTGCTTTGTTTTGTTTTTGAGACAGGCTCTCACTCTGTCACCCAGGGTGGAGTGCAGTAATGGGATCTCAGATCACCACAACTTCCACCTCCCAGGTTTAAGTGATTCTCCTGCCTCAGCCTCCTGTAGCTGGGACTACAGATGTGCACCACCATGCCTGGCTAATTTTTGTATTTTTGGTAGAGACACAGGTTTACCTTGTTGGCCAGGCTGGTCTTGAACTCGACCTCAAGCATTCTACCCATCTCGACCTCCCAGAGTGCTGTGATTACAGGCATGAGCGACCATGCCCAGCCATCTTAATTCATTTTTAAGTGTACAGTTCAGTGGCATTAAGAACATTCACATGCACACGTTCTCATGCTGTCATCATTACCATGCATCCACAGAATGGATTAATGAATCTTTTGCAAAATTAATTTAGAGATAGGGTTTTGCTGTGTTGCCCAGTCTGGTCTCAAACTCCTGAGCTCATGCAATCCTCCCACCTCGGCCTCCCAAAGTGCTGGGATCATAGGCATGAGCTACTGCATTCTTTTTTAGGATGATTAAGACATCCCACAATGAATGGTTGTCCGCTAGCCTGGCAAAAAAAAAAAAAAAGATAAAAGCTACAAACACCCAACACCTGTCCTGAGAGCCCCAGCCCTGTCCCGTCTGGCCTGGTCATTCCCTAGTCACTTCCAGCTCTGCCTTGCACCCTTGTGAACTCTTATCAAAACTGAAATTCTATACTCATTAAACAGTAACTCTCCATTCCTTCCACCCCCTAGCCTTTTGGCAACCATTTTCCTACATCTTCTCTCTGTGAATTTGACTCCTCGTATAAGTGGAATCATACAATATATATATTTTTTGTGACTATTTTATTTCATTTAGCATAATGTTTTCACAGGTCATTTATGTTGTAGCATATGTCAGAGTGTCCTTCATTTTCAAGGCTGAATAATATTCTCTTGTGTGTGCATATCACGTTTTGTTTATTCGTTTATCATCAGTGGACACTTGGGTTGCTTCCACCTTTTGGCTGTTAGAAATAATGCTGGTATAAACATAGTTCTATAAATGCCTCTTTGAATCTCTGCTTTTTACTTTTGGGGGGATATGCCCAGAAGTGGAACTGCTGGATCCTATGTTAATACTTTTTGTTTGTTTTTGAGATGGTGTCTCTGTCACCCAGGCTGGAGTCGAGTACAGTGGCGTGATCTTGGCTCACTGTAACCTCTGTTTCTCAGGTTCAAGCAATTCTTCTGCCTCAGCCTCCCAAGTAGCTGGGATTACAGGCGTCTGCCACCACACCCAGCTAATTTTTTTGTATTTTTAGTAGAGGTGGGATTTTACCATGTTGGCCAGGCTGGTCTCAAACTCCTGACCTCAAATGATCTACCTGCCTTGGCCTCCCAAAGTGCTGGAATTACAGGTGTGAGTCACTGCACCCAGCCTGGATTGTATGTTAATTCTATATTTAACTTTTAAAGCAACCTTTATACTCTTTTTCATTGGGCTGTATCATTTTACATCCCTCTCAACAGTGTACAAGCATTCCAGTTTCTCTACATCCTCAACAATAGAAGTTATGTTTTAAGTTTTGATAGTAACCATCCTAATGGTTGTGAAGTAGCTTCCTTACACTTTTGCCTCTCAGTCTTCCATTCCAACTTTGTAACTTCATAGTTTTCTGTTCTGCCTCACTTTTAAGTTATTCCTTTGGCTTACTGAGCAGCATATCTGAGTCAGTTTTGTGTAAGCATTCATGATAGTCTCTAAGTCATTTGAAACGAATCAGAGTTAACTAAGATAGTGGTGACAATAAAAGAAGTAGTAAGAAACATTAAACAATTAATGTTTAAGATAATTAAGGTAAACTTTAAATGTTAATTTAATTCCATTAAGAATTAATGGATCGGCCGGGCACGGTGGCTCACGCCTGTAATCCCAGCACTTTGGGAGGCCGAGGCGGGTGGATCACGAGGTCAAGAGATCGAGACCATCCTGGTCAACATGGTGAAACCCCGTCTCTACTAAGAATACAAAAATTAGCTGGGCATGGTGGCACACGCCTGTAGTCCCAGCTACTAGGGAGGCGGAGGCAGGAGAATTGCCTGAACCCAGGAGGTGGAGGTTGCGGTGAGCCAAGATCGCGCCATTGCACTCCAGCCTGGGTAACAAGAGCGAAACTCCGTCTCAAAAAAAAAAAAAAGAATTAATGGATCTCCTGAATCTGTAAAGTCACATTTATGAAGGGAAATTAAAACCTTTTATTTTATCCAATGTTAATAACCTGTTAAATGTTTTAGAGTAAATGAATTAATAATATGTTTGAAGCTAATTTAAATGATGCAAAATGAGGTTGTTTCTTACAATTCAAAGTAAAGAACAGAGTAAAGAGTGAATGTAAGCATTATGTGAATCCAAGAAAATGCAGAAGGAAGGGTAATTTTGTGGAAAGACTTCTGGTTAATGGTGCATGAGAGTTCGTTTAGCTATATATTTTGTGTTTTTATTTCTTTGAGTGAAGGCAAATTGCTAGTGAAAACTATATATTTTGTATTTTTATTTCTTTGAGTGAAGGCAAATTGCTGGTGAAAACTGTTATCAGAAATTAATTTCTGAAAATTAAATTCCAGACTGTATCCTTGAATTAATACAGGCTTTCTTCTTTTTAAAATTAAAAAAAAATTTTTTTTTTAAGCGGAGTTTCACTCTTGTTTCCCAGGCTGGAGTGCAATGGTACAATCTTGGCACTCCTGAGTTCAAGCGATTCTCCCGCCTCAGCCTTCTGAGTAGCTAGGATTACAGGTGCCCACCACCACACCTGGCTAATTTTTTATATTTTTAGTAGAGAAGGGGTTTTGCCAGATTGGCCAGGCTGGTCTCGAACTCCTGACCTCAGGTAATCTGCCTACCTCAGCCTCCCAGAATGCTGGGATTACAGGCATGAGCCACCGGAACCCAGCCTATACAGGCTATCTTTTTAAATAGCATTAATCATAATAATTGAACAAAGCTTTCCTTAAATTCTGTTCCTTATGACCAGTCTACTAAATGGGGAAATTCATTTATATGTTAGAAAAAATTTCCTTTAAAAAGCCTTGAAAGGCCAGGGGTGGTGGCTTGTGTCTGTAATACGAGTGCTTTGGGAGGCTGAGGCAGGAGGATCAGTTGAGGCCAGGAGTTCAAGACCAGCCTGTGCAACATAGCAAGACCCTGTCTCTACATTCAGTCATTAAATTAGCCAGATGTGTTGGTGCATATCTATAATCCCAGCTACTCAGAACGCTGAGTGGGGAGGATTGCTTGAGCCCAGGAGTTTGAGGTTACAGTGAGCTACAATTGTGCCACTGCATTGTAGCCTAGACAACAGGAGGAGAAGGAAGTATTGAAATACAATGCAATGTTTTTCAGCCATAAAGGAATATAAATTATTGATACGTGTCACAACATGGTTGAATTTTAAAAACCTTATGCCAAGTGAAAGAAGCTAGTTACAAAACATCACATACTATATGATTCCATTCATATGAAATGTCCAAAATAAGGAAATCCACAGAGACAGAAAGTAGATTAGTGGTTGCTTAGGGATTGGGAGCTGGGGAAGAAGGAGATTAAGCGAGAGATAGCTAATGGGTATAAGGTTTATTTCTGAAGTGATGAAAGTGTTCCACATTTGAATGTGGTGATGATTTGCATGTATCTGTGAGAATAGCTCAAAATAAATTGAATTGTACACCTTAAGTGGGTGAATTGTATGTTATGTGAATTATAAGTCTTTTTAAAAAAATAAACTGTATAATGCTTAAAAAAACAACTTAAATTACTTTATAGAATATTCCCTCTTCCCATCCAGTCCCAACTCTTCAAAAAGTATTTTTCTTCTCAAATCACCTGAACTTTAAAAATTTTTAAATCATATTTCTTTTTCTTTCTTTCTTTCTTTCTTTTTTTTTTTTTTTTGAGAGAGGGTCTCACTATGTTGCCCAGGCTGGAGTGCAGTGGCACAATCTCAGCTTGCTACAACCTCCACCTCGCAGGCTCAAGCAGTCCTCCCACCTCAGCCTCCTGAGTAGCTGGGACTACAGGTGCACATGACCATGCCTGGCTAATTTTTTGTTGTTGTTGTTAATTTTGGTAGAGACTGGGTTTCACCATGTTGCCCAGGCTAGTCTCAAACTCCTGAGCTCAAGCAGTCTACCTGCCTCAGCCTCCCAAAGTGCTGGAATTACAGGTATAAGCCACGGCTCCCGGCCTATTGCTTTTAAATTCATTTTTTAAAGAGACAAGATCTTGCTATACCAGGCTGGCCTCAAACTCCTGGGCTCAAGTGACCCTCCCCACCTCAGTCTCCTGAGTAACTTGAACTACGGTTCCCTGCACTCGCTTGAATTTTTTAGTTCATTCCAGTCCTACTAGAAACTATCAAAGATTTTTCTCTAAATTTTGTATCTGAGGAATCAGATGTGGCACATACAAATGTAATTATAGCAAATATGTTGGCTGGACACAGTTGCTCATGCCCATAGTCCCAGCACTTTGGGAAGCCAAGGTGGGCAGATCGCTGAGTGCAGGAGTTCAAGACCAGCCAGAGTGAAACCTGTTCTTTACAAAAAATATAAAAATTAATCAGGCATGGTGACACATATCTGTAGTCCCAGCTACTTGGGGGTGCTGAGGCGGTAAGATTGCTTGATCCTAAGAGATCGAGGCTGTAGTGAGCCCTGATGGTGCCACTGTACCCTGGCTTGGATGATAGATTGAGACCATGTCTCAAAAAAAAAAAAAAAAATATATATATATATATATATATATATATGTCTTGAAGGCAAATTCTCAGACTTGACTCTGTACTCACAGTTTCTACTCACCCATACAACCTCTTATACTCTTCTTTCTGTTGATAAGACAGTAGGCCTGGGCGTAGTGGCTGTCATCACACCACAGCAGCTGGGGTGACAGGAGTGAGACCCTGCCTAAAAATAACAAAAGAAAAACAAAAAAATTAAGACAATGAGAACCAGAGTGTATTATATATATTCTAGTAGGTAAATACCTTTTTAGTGCTCAGATTACAGGGCTCTTTAACAAATAGGACTGAAAAATGAAGAATAAATGTGAGTGAACTTCTTATTTTACGTGGCTGATGCCCTGGCTATCAAAAATCATGCAGGCTTTGGGGTTGTGGGAGAGCGGAGTTGGGGTAGTGGTGGTGGTATGATAAATATTTGTAGGGGGCCTTCAACACATTATAGATAGCATTTATGACAGTGTATTGTTAGTTGACTACATGTATAATTTTCTGTAGGATCGTGACTTCATTGAGGATAGGGACCAAACTTGTCTTCTTTGACTTTATATCCCTATACCCCTAGCCCTTTTGTTTTTAGGAAGCTCTCTATAATTGTTAACAGACTGATCAGAGAAATTAGGGGAAAGTAAGGCCGAAGTGAAGAAAACGGAAAATGAAATGCCAGGCAGTAAGAAGATGAGTCTTAGAAAGCTTGCTTACTGGTTGTAATGGTCACAGCCCCCTCAAAAATTTTAAATGTTTTACTTTTGCCACGTTGCTGTCAGTCAATATAATAATTACTCCTTTTCATTTTTTAAGTTATGTATGAATATGGATTATTTCTTTATTTTAGCATTTAATCTTATTCATGTGGAAGATGAGGTTTTCTTTTGCTCTCCATAATATGCCAAAATGAAATGATAAAATTTATTTTGACAGCTTGAAATAACTGTGAATGTCCCAGATGTAGGATCCATAGCTGTTGTTGAACATCAGCTCCCAAACACAGATGTGACTACTGAAGAAATGAAACAAGAGAATTTGAATGCACCATCATTTGTAAGTATCCATTTTAATATGTTTTGGCCTTTTATTCTTTGTTTACTTGGAAAAGACTGGAGGTTTATTTTGATATCTTTAGGTTTACAAACAATTCTTAGCTAATTTCTCTTATATAAGGAGCTGTTAGTCTGAATAGTTAAAAAACTAGTGAAAGCATTGATTTTGTTTGTGGGCAGAGCTCTTAATATCCTCAGACTTTTACATTAAAATTCAATTGCATTAAATTTATGCTAAATGTAAACTAGTTAAAATACATTTTGTTGCATTTTATTTGGTACTCTTCCATTATTGGTATTTATTTGCCTTTGCAAGTAGAGGCTTGAAATTGTAACTTTTAAAAAAACAGCTTTATTGACGTATAATTCACACACCATATGATTTACCCATCATTTAAAGTGTACAATTCAGTCATTTCTAGTGTTGTGTAAACATTATCATAGTCACTGTGAGGATGTTTTCATCACCTCAAAAAGAAACCTCATTAGCAGTCACTACTCATTTTTTCTCAAACCTCCCTGGCCTAGGGAACCAATAATTTGCATTTTGCCTTTATAGATTAGCTTGTTCTGGACATTTCTTAGACATGAAATTATAAAATCTGATCATTCCTGTCTGACTTCTTTCGCCTATTGTAACATTTTTACTGTTCATTTATGTTGTAGCATGTAGTAGTACTTCATTACTTTTTGTAGCCAAGTAATGTTTCATAAGGATATGCTAATTTGGTTTATCCATTCATTCATTCATGAATATTTGGATTATTTTGATTTTTTGTCTGGTATATATAATGCTGCTGTAAACATTCATGTAGAAGTGTTTGTGTGGATATATGTTTTTATTTCTCTTGGGTACTTTTTTTTTTTTTTGAGGTGGACTTCCTCCCAGGCTGGAGTGCCGTGGTATAATCTTGGCTCACTGCAACCTCCGCTTCCCTGGTTCAAATGATCCCCCTGCCTCAGCCATCCTGAGTAGCTAGGATTACAGGCATGTGCTACCATACCCATTGTATTTTTAATAGAGATGGGGTTTCACCATGTTGGCCAGGGAAGTCTCGAGCTCCTGACCTGTGATCCGCCTGCCTTGGCCTCCCAAAGTGCTGGGATTACAAGCATGAGCCACCGCACCCAGAGTCTCTTGGCTACGTTTCTAGAAATATAATTGCTGGGTCATATGGTAACTCTATGTTTCATCATTTGACCAACTGCCTAACTGTTTTCCGAAGCAGCTATACCATTTTACTTCCCCACCAACAGTTTATCAGGGTTCCTGTTCTTCCATGTTCTTGCCAGCACTCCTTATTTGACTTTTTGGATTTTTTTTATTGTTTTTTTTTCAGACAGCCTTGCATTGTCACCCAAACTAGAGTGTAGTAATTGTAGCATACTGAAGCCTTGACCTCCTGGGCATAAATGATCCTATCCATTCAGCATCCCAAGTAACTGGGACTATAGGTGTGTGCCACCATACCCAGCTTTTTTTTTTTTTTTTTTTTTTTTAATCCCAGCTACTCAGGAGGCTGAGGCAGGAGAATTGCCTGAACCCAGGAGGCGGAGGTTGCGGTGAGCCGAGATCGTGCCATTGCACTCCAGCCTGGGTAAGAAGAGCAAAAACTCCGTCTCAAAAAAAAAAAAAGAAAAATTTGGAGGCAACTTTTCATTAAAAGGCTATCAAGTACCAGCATTCTTACATGTTGATAGGCTGTTAAATACTTCCACAATTTACAATTTAATAGCATATATACTACATACTCAAATTTTCAATCTTTCACAGCACACTAACAAAGTTGTTAGGAAAACAGGACTACCGCAACCAAAGACTTAAAGAGCACACACAATTCTGACAGGGAAAGCCATGATCAAGGAGTGGTTTTCTTTAGGAAGCAATTTTACTAAAAAACAACATGGGCCCAGGTGAGGTGGCTCATGCCTGTAATCCCAGTATTTTGGGAGGTGAGAGGATAGCATGTGTCCAGTAGTTCAAGACTAGCCTGGGCAACATAGGGAGACCCTCTCTCTACAAATATGTTTTTGTAAAAAACATATTTTCTAAAAGTTGACTGGGCATGGTGGCATGTGCCTGTGGTCCCAGCTACTCTGGAGGCTGAGGCAGAAGGATTGCCTTGGCCCAGGAGGGTGAGGTTGCAGTGAGCTGTCGTCGCCACCATTGCACTCCAGTCTGGGCATCAGAGCAAGACTGTTGTCTCCAACAAAACAGAACCAAACCATGGGAATAAAATTTCAAGACATCAGATATAGGACTGTGACTCCATATTCCAGTTAATATGGTGGAATGTTAAGCTGATACCCAGGATAGTCAGAGCCTCCCATAATTCAATATCCCACACTATTTCTGATTGCACCAAAAAATATACAATGGCAAATGATTTTTACCTCTTGAAAACATTTACACTTAAAAAATGGAATGAGGTGGGATTCCCTTCTTCTTTTTTTTTTTTTAAAGACGAGGTTTCACCATTTGGTCAGGCTGGTCTTGAACTCCCGACCTCAGGTGATCCACCCTCCTTGGCCTCCAAAGTGCAGGGATTACTGGCATGACCCACCATGCCTGGCCTCCCTTCTTCTTAAAAGTGTTTCTAGAGTTACTAAAAAGCTTGCAATTATGAAATAGTTTATAAAAACATTCCTCTGGAATGTACAAGAAGGGAGACAGACTGTTGGTAAGACATGCTCTGTATTAATTGGACTCGGGTTTTTTTCTGTCGGACTTCATCAGAGGTTGGACTCTCCTTGGTTTCTGTTTCTTAGTTTTATGTAGGCAAATCTAGTTTCGTGGTTAGCCACTTTGGTCTGTTTTCCCTTTGTTCCCCTTTTTTCTTTCGTTTGCACATTTTTGTCTGGAGATTTATCCTTTCCTGCTTTCTTTTTTGGCTTTGTTTCCACTTTGGCAGGAGGAGGTTTAGCTGATAGTCATACCAGTCTCATCTTGGGCTCTTTCCTTCACTGCCCTTCTGCTGAGCTGATCTTCCTCTTGGGCATCCTGCAGCCCGGCGAAGGGTGCATGCTGGGTGCCTGTGAGCCACACCATGCTGAGGTCTTCTCAGAGCTGGGCGGTCTGGCTGCTACCACTCATCCCATCCAGTCTTATCATTAAGTATGATGTTAGCCATGGGTTTTTCATAGCTGTCCTTTACCAAGTTAAATAAGTTACCTTCTATTCCTAGTTTGTTGAATGTTTTGTCGTTAAAGAGAGTTAGAATTTGTCATGTACTTTTACTTTGATCTATTGAGATGATCATGTGAATTTTGTTTTTTATTGTATTGATTTTTGGAGGTTAAACCAACCTTTGCTTCCCCAGGATAAATTCTAGGGTCGTAATGTCTAATTTTTATACATTGCTGGATTCAGTTTGCTCCTATTTTATTGATGATTTTTATATCCATATTCATAATAGATATTGGTCTGTACTTTTCTTGTGATGTCAGGACCTGAAGTCCTGCTCCCCTAGGGAAGAATGCTCTCCAGGTGGGAGCTTGGGAACAAGGGGCCTTGTGTTTTTTGGTGCAGCAGTTTGAAGTGAAGTCTCTGCCACACTGAGCTGAGAGGAAAGAGAGAGAGAGAGCAGTTTTGGTTCACATAGACTCTCACCTTTGTTAGCAAATTTTCAGATTTTCTTGAATAGGTATTTATTTATTTGCTTTTTGTCATTAGGATCATTTTCAGAGGCTTTCAAACGTTTTGTTTTTTAAATCAGTTTCCCTAAGGAGTGGGTCAATGAAGCTTCTCAAGTTGTCGCCCTTTACATTGATTTTATAACTTCTTAATTTATTAAAATGCATTTAAGTTTTAAGCTACGTAGTAGTATACCAATTTTGCAATACCCTTCAGGCCTTGGTTTCCATTGGGTAAAAATCGGCAACAGATATGACTAGAGTTGAAGGATTATGAAAATGAAAAAGTAAAGTAAGAATGGTAGATGTATATAGCAATATGATCAGAGTTAAAATTTGCACATAATACAGAAAAAAAGATAAAATCAGGAGCAAGAGACACAAGAATTTGGCCTTTAAATTAATTTCTGTTCTTGCTGGTGAAATTTGGTGAATAATTATAAATTAAGACAAACCGCTCTCTTCCTTTCTCTGCCATCGCGGTTTGTGCTTTACCCCGTTTCTCGCCATGTCTTCTCACAAGACTTTCAGGATTAAGCGATTCCTGGCCAAGAAACAAAAGCAAAATCGTCCCATGCCCCAGTGGATTCGGATGAAAACTGGTAATAAAATCAGGTACAACTCCAGAAGGAGACACTGGAGAAGAACCAGGCTTGGTCTGTAAGAAATTACGCATGCGACGGCACCCATGCTTACGCTGCCTGAAGGTCACGATCGTGTTACCAAACCAAGCTATCTGGAGACGTGTGAACAGATTCCGTTCTGTATCTGTTATGAAGGCATTAGTTAGTACAACCCACAGTGCTTCCATTATTCATGTTTAAAAAAAAAAAGGGTTTTGGTTGCCTGGGTTCAGTAATAAATATGTGAGACCTTTCACTTCTAAAAAAAAAAAAGACAAACCAGTTTACACTGTTGTAATGAAAAGTATGGAAAGACCTCTAAAAATGTAGTGCATGTTGAAAAACAGAACATGTTTGGGTAAATATTTAAGATGTTAATTAATTTTTTCTTTTTTAGGAAATGACCACAGGTGAACATATCCAAGATGAACCAGGTAACTGTTATCAAGGGAACTGCTAAGACTACCTTGCTTAACACTAGTACAATGATATAATAGGGGGATAATAAATGAATCAGTTTGCTGGAGAGTTTTAACCAAAAGATTCACCTACTAATTATGTTATATCTGTGAGAAATGTGGATTCTTAGAATGTTATTTTAGAAAGTGAATTAAAAGTTAAATGTTTAAATAAGAAGTATTTGAGCATTTCCTCTGGATCTGCACAAATTGGGGAGCATTTTCCTTGAAGATATTATTTAATGGGAGGGTGGCATGGTCAGTGAGTCAAAACCAACAGTGATGATTTATTTATAGCTATCACCTGAGCAAAAGACTACCCTAGTAAAGGAATAATGATTCAGAGGATATTGGAACCTACTACTAGGAGAGAAACACCTCAATTAAAAATCTTTTTTAAGTCAACAGATTTCCAGATTTGTTCTTCTGTTTTAATGTCGATAAATTTCCTCACAAGGTACCAATGATGGAAGCACCGAAGCTGCAATAACTTTACTTACAATGGGAGATCTAGTATTGCAGTCAGAGATCAGTACTGAACAGGATGATGGTAAGAATGAAAGCTAAGTCCTACCAAAAATAGAAACTTCTAATATCTAACTTTTAGGAAATTATACCCACATTTAGTAATAACCCTTTTACATTTGAAGTTGTCTTCATTTTGTTGTTCTTCCGTAAAAGGTGGTATGTGTGTATTGATTCACCTGTTATTTTACTACTGTTTAGGTGTAGCGACAGCTCATTCTAGATCGTGCACTTGGTTTATTAAGAATAATTTGTATTCATGGAATAGTTGCCTAGTGGATACTACCTTTACCATCATGAACATGATTGGTTAATGAGCTCATTGATCACTGATCACTTTATACATGTGTCTTATAACAAAGGAGTTGCTCCTTGGGATGGTATTCACAATTAGATGACAAATACAGCATAAAGAGGCAATAGAACTCATTGAAATAATTTTAAAATAATTTAAACTGTTCTCAATCTGGACAGAGCCAAAAGATATATCAACCAAGATTCTTAATTTATCAGACGGAAATCACAGACAAGTAATAAATCTTTACCATCTCAGTTTTTTTTTTTTTTCTTTTTGAGATGGAGTCTCGGTCTGTCATCCAGGCTGCAATGCAGTGGCGCGATCTGCACACTGCAACCTCCGCCTCTCAGGTTCAAGTGATTCTCCTGCCTTAGCTTCCCGAGTAGCTAGGATTTTAGGTGTACACCACCACACCCAGCTAATTTTTGTATTTTTAGTAGAGACGGGGTTTCACCATCTTGGTCAGGCTGGTCTTGTATTCCTGATGATCCGCCCGCCTCGGCCTCCCAAATTGCTGGGATTACAGGCATGAGCCACCGTGCCTGGCCAATCTCAGTGTCTTTTAACTGCATGAAATGAATAATTATATTATTCCTGGTAATTATTTTGCCTGGTTATGAGTAGTCTACCATTCATTCATTCATTCATTCATTCGAGATGGAGTTTCACTTTTGTTACATAGGCTGGAATGCAAGGCACGATCTTGGCTGTTTGCAACCTCTGCCTCCCAAGGTCAAGCAATTCTCCTGTCTCAGCTTCTTGAGTAGTTGGGATTACAGTTGCCTGCTACCATGCCCGGCTAATTTTTGTATTTTTAAAAGAGATAGGGTTTCACCATCTTGGTCAGGCTGGTCTCAAATTCCTGACCTTAGGTGATCCACCCGCCTTGGCCTCCTGAACTGCTGGTATTACAGGTGTGAGCCACTGTGCCCAGCCTCCATTCATTTTAAGTATTAGACTTTTAGGCTGAACATGGCAGCTCATGCCTGTAATCCCAGCACTTTGGGAGGCCGAGGCTGGTGATTGCTTGATCTCAGGAGTTTAAGACCAGCTTGAGCAACATGGTGGTACCCCGTCTCTACAAAAAAATACAGAAAATGAGCCAGGCATGGTGGTGCACACCTGTAGTCCCAGCTGCTGGGGAAGCTAGGTGGGAGGATCGCTTGAGCTCAGGAGGTTGAGGCTGCAGTGAGCTGAGATCATGCCACTGCACTCCAGCCTGGGCAACAAAGTAACACCCCATCTTAAAAATAGATAGTATTAGACTTTTAGGCTTGGAGACATATTTATCAGGAAAATCTCTTGATTTGTGTTCTGTGTGGGGCTCCTTTCTTAGTGGGAGAGTATTGCAGTGGAACCTGTCAAAAATGTATGGAACATAAAGTATATATAGAACATAAGGTTTTAAAAATTGTAAATGATGGCAGTGCTATCTAACTTGAAATCTATCTGAGATTATATAATTACCGAAAGTAACAAAAAGACTCATTTTTACTTATAATTGAATAAAATTTTAGTCTATAAGAATTATTAGGCTCGGCCAGGCGTGGTGACTCACACCTATATAATCCCAGCACTTTGGGAGGCAAGGTGGGTGGATCACGAAGTCAGGAGTTCAAGACCAGCCTGGCCAATAAATGGTGAAACCCTGTCTCTACTAAAAATACAAAAATTAGCCGGGTATGGTGGCGCATGCCTGTAATCGCAGCCAATCGGCAGGCTGAGGCAGGAAAATCACTTCAACCCGAGAGGCAGAGGTTGCAGTGAGCTGAGATCGTGCCATTGCACTCCAGCCTGGGCAGCAGAGTGAGACTCCGTCTCAAAAAAAGAAAAAAAAGGAATTATTAAGATCACAATAGGTCAAATCCCTGGCATGAAATAGGAGAGCATAAATTTAAATTTATAACCAACAAGAGCAAACTTTTATTATATTTATATTTTTTTATCTTTTTCTATTGCTGCTGTGCAAATAAAGCAAACTTTAATAATACAGAATTTTACAGTTACTAAATGTTGAGGAATTTATTTTGAGCATCTGTAATTTGGTTTGTTTTAATTTTCTGTTTTTTTTTTTTCTTCAGTAGGAGTATGTATACTTCCTCATGTTCATTCAAAGGATAAAAGCCATATTCCTTTTAGTCTAGATAATGTAAATCACAGAATTGTTCATGAATGTCAGGAGCTTTCTTCACCTGTCATTACTACATCTCTTGCATCATTTGAAGAAAACAAGATTGTATTGGAGGAGCAAAGTTCCAGAAAAGAAATTAGTTTAATGGAGAACGTAAAGGAGAATGCTACACCAACCAGGTTTATTTTAGTATTATTTTAGTATTCAACTAATACATATTAGTAAAACCGCCATCAAATTAGTTAATAGCTTTGAGTAATGCTTGTAAATGTGAAGTAGGCAATGCTAATTTCTTACTCTTTAAAGATTGATTTTGATTTTAGGTTAATGGTTTGCATATTTAAATTATAGTAGTGAGTGTTGTGTGTCTTTGAAGCGTTAATGAAATAGTTTTATGTAAATGGTCTGTTTTACAAATACAGACTAAATTCTCTTCTCAAGACCTCTAGTAAAGTTACTACTTTGTAGTTTTAGTATTAATGCATGAACACTTGTAGACAATGTGGCATCTAACAGGTTGGTCATTTCACTTTATCAGTGCTAGGATAGATGGTATTAACGTGAAAGAGCAACATGTAACGTGATTCATAAATTTCTCTATCTTCTGTTTTTAGGAATACAACTTCTAAAGTGACCAGTAATTCGAGAATAAGTAGATTTGCTAAGCCTAAACCAAATCTTGAGAAGATTTTAGGGACCAACAGGTTAGATGATTATCAGGAAGTTTCCAGTTTGTGTGTAACGAAAGGGGAAGAACCGGAAGCTCAAAGAGGTAAATTTTATTATTATTATAATATATATATTTTTAAATATATATATTTTATTGCACTTTAGGTTCTGGGGTACATGTGAAGAACATGCAGGATTGTTGCATAGGTACATACATAGCAATGTGGTTTGCTGCCTCCATCCCCATCACCTATATCTGGCATTTCTCCCCATGTTATCCCTCCCCAACTCCCTACCCTCCACTGTCCCTCCCCTAGTCCTGGATAACAGACCTCAGTATGTGACGCTCCCCTCCCTGTGTCCATGTGTTCTCATTGTTCAGCACCTGCCTATGAGTGAGAACGTGCGGCGTTTGATTTTCTGTTCTTATGTCAGTTTGCTGAGAATGATGGTTTCCAGTTTCATCCATGTCCCTACAAAGGACATAAACTCATCGTTTTTTATGGCTGCATAGTATTCCGTGGTGTATATGTGCCACATTTTCCCTGTCCAGTCTATCATTGATGGGCATTTGGATTGGCTCCAAGTCTTCGCTATTGTAAACAGTGCTGCAGTGAACATATATGTGCATGTGTCTTTATAACAGAACAAGTGTATAATCCTTTGGATATATATACCCAGTAATGAGATTGCTAGGTCAAATGGAATTTCTCTTTTTAGGTCCTTGAGGAATCACCACACTGTCTTCCACAATGGTTGAAATAATTTACACTCCCACCAACAGCGTAAAAGTATTCCTATTTCTCCATATCCTCTCCAGCATCTGTTTTCTAATGATTGCCATTCTAACTGGTGTTAGATAGCATCTCAAAGTAGTTTTGATTTGCATTTCTCTAATGTCCAGTGATGATGAGCATTTTTTCATATTTTTGTTGGCCTCACATATGTCTTCTTTTGAAAAGTGTCTGTTCATATTTTTCACCCACTTTTGAATAGATTTGTTTGTTTTCTTATAAATTTCTTTTAGTTCTTTGTAGATTCTGGATATTAGCCCTTTGTCAGATGTGTAGATTGCAAACATTTTTTCCCATTCTGTAGATTGCTGATTCACTCTAGTGATTGTTTCTTTTGCTGTGCAGAAGCTCTGGAGTTTAATTAGATCCCATTCGTCTATTTTGGCTTTTGTTGCCAATGTTTTCAGTGTTTTAGTCGTGAAGTCCTTGCCTATGCCTATGTCCTGAATGGTTTTACCTAGGTTTTCTTCTAGAGTTTTTTTTTTTTGAGATGGAGTTTTGCTCTTGTTGCCCAGGCTGGAGTGCAATGGCGCAATCTCGGCTCACTGCAACCTCTGCCTCCTGGGTTCAGGCAATTCTCCTGCCTCAGCCTCCTGAGTAGCTGGGATTACAGGCACGCGCCACCATGCCCAGCTAATTTTTTGTATTTTTAGTAGAGACGGGGTTTCACCATGTTGACCAGGATGGTCTCGATCTCTCGACCTCATGATCCACCCGCCTCAGCCTCCCAAAGTGCTGGGATTACAGGCTTGAGCCACCACACCCGGCCTTCTAGAGTTTTTATGGTGTTAGGTTTTATGTTTAAGTCTTTAATCCATCTGGAGTTAATTTTAGTGTAAGGTGTCAGGAAGGGATCCAGTTTCTGCTTTCTGCATGTGGCTAGCCAGTTTTCCCAATACCATTTATTAAACAGGGAATTCTTTCCCCGTTGCTTGTTTTTGTGCAGTTTGTCAAAGATCAGATGGCTGTAGATGTGTGGCGTTGCCTTCGAGGCCTCTGTTCTGTTCCATTGGTCTATATCTCTGTTTTGGTACAAGTACCATGTTGGTTTTGATTACTGTAGCCTTGTAGTATAGTTTGAAGTCAGGTATCATGATGCCTCCAGCTTTGTTCTTTTTGCTTAGAATTGTATTGGCTATGCGGGCTCTCTTTTGGTTCCGTATGAAGTTTAAGGTGGTTTTTTCCAGTTCTGTGAAGAGGGTCATTGGTAGCTTGATGGGGATAGCGTTAAATCTATAAATTACTTTGGGCAGTATGGCCATTTTCACAATATTTATTCTTCCTAACCATGAGCTTGGAATGGTTTTCAAAGAGGTAAATTTTATTCTCTTAGAAATTGCAAAATCATTTTGACACAAGAAATTACATTAACATTTCAAAGAAATATTTGGTCATTAAATTGTTTTAACTTATTATAAAATAGTTTCAAATTAAAAAGTAAGATGGGCTGTAAAATAAATATCCATACATCTACCAAGTGGTTTTACTAATTGGTACCATTTTGCTGATTTGTTTGATCAATTTTTTGTCCTTTTATTCTCTCTCTCTCTCTCTCTCTCTCTCTCTCTCTCTCTCTCTCTTTCTCTCTCTCTTTCGTTGACCCTTGAAGTAGGGGCACTGACCTCTCCATTCAGTCAGAAATTTGTGTATAGGCTGAGTGCAATGGCTCACACCTGTAATTCCAGCACTTTGGGAGGCCAAGGTGGGAGGATGGCTTGAACCCAGGAGTTCAAGACCAGCCTGGGTAGCACAGACCCTGTCTCTTATGAATTGAAAAAATATGTATTTATGTATAACTTTTGACTCCCCCAAAACGTACATACTAACGGCTTACCATTGACATGAAGCTTTATTGATATGATAGTTAACACATATTTTGTATTTTATATGTATCATATACTATATTCTTATGATGAAATAGGTTAGAGAAATTTTTTTTTTTAATTTTCTTTTTTCTGTTTTTTTTCAACTGATGTCCTTGAGCCATAGAGAAAAGAAAATGTTTTTAAGAAAATCAGGCTGGGGCTGGACACAGTGGCTCATGCCTATAATCTCAGCACTTTGGGAGGCCAAGGCAGGCAGCTCAATTGAAACCAGCCTGGGCTGAGCAACAAAGCAGAACCCCATCTCTACAAATTTAAAAAATTAGCTGGCCCGGCACGGTGGCTCAAGCCTGTAATCCCAGCACTTTGGGAGGCCGAGGCCGGTGGATCACGAGGTCGAGAGATCGAGACCATCCTGGTCAACATGGTGAAACCCCGTCTCTACTAAAAATATAAAAAATTAGTTGGGCATGGTGGCTCGTGCCTGTAATCCCAGCTACTCAGGAGGCTGAGGCAGGAGAATTGCCTGAACCCAGGAGGCGGAGGTTGCGGTGAGCCGAGATCGCGCCATTGCACTCCAGCCTGGGTAACAAGAGCGAAACTCCGTCTCAAAAAAAAAAAAAAATCAGCTGGGTATGGTGGCGCATCCCTGTAGTCCTAGCTACTCAGGAGCCTGAGTTGGGAGTATCACCTGAGCCCAGGGAGGTTGAGGTTGCAGTGAACTGTGATCATGCCACTGTACTCTGGCCTGGGCAACAAAGTGAGACTCCATTTCCAAAAAAGAAAAGAGAAAATCAGGCTAGGCATGGTGGAGGTGCACACCTGAAATCCTAGCTATTTGGGAGGCAGAGGCAGGAAGATCACATAAGCCCAGGAGTTTTGAGACCAGCTTGGGCAATATAGGGAGACCTTGTCTCTACAAAATAATTTTTAAAAGCCAGACGTGGTAGCACATACCTGTGGTCCCAACTACTTGGAGGTTTGAGCTTGCAAGATGAAGGCTGTCGTAAGTTGTGATCATGCCACTGCACTCCAGCCTGGGCAACAGAGCAAGATCCCGTCTCAAAAAAAATATAAAAGGAAGAAAATTATAAGGAAAAGAAAATACAGTTTCAATACCGCATTGTATTTATCAGTACCAAAAGTTTATGTCATCTGTTTATAAGATGAAACATCTGTCTGAAATGGTGGGCAACCACAACTGCAGGTGTCAATCTGTAATACATATCAAGCAATTCAGCTTTTTCTTAAAATGTTACAACTTTTTTCTATTTCTTGGGAGTGCTTCCAGCATCATTAATGGTACTTTGGATGGGTCCCATGGTGTTATTCATGGTATTGCACTAAACATGTGTATTTAGTGTTGCACTAAACATGATATAAAACACGTGAGAACCACAAATGATCATCTTTTCTAAAACGTCTCTCAACATGTAGGCTCAAGTTACCTCTTTTGTATGGAAGACTTTTTTCCCCATTTGTGATATTATTCTTTGCAGTGCAGCTCCTTCCCCAAAACTTCCTCTAAAGTGGAACTAGCCAAACCTCCGTGTACCCACCTCTAAGCCTCTTTTGTATGTGAGTTTCTAATTATTGATGCTAGTACCATAAAGTAAAGATACAATTGTAGCAGCCTGGAGTGAAATATTTGCAGAGCAGGATTTATTAATCATCTGTTTTACTATTCAAAAATCTGTTAGCCAGAACTTTCTACCATGTGTGTAAGCCTGATCTGTGGATTAAGAGAAGTTTGGAAGAGTCACTATATAGGGATCTTCCTTTTAAGATGAAATATGATTCTAATATAGGGATTTTAGCTGTATTATTTTGGTCTATATCTTAAGTGTGCTTTTTGTTTAAGAAACAGAGAAAAATGCTTCCAAAGCAACAGAATTGGAAGATAAAAACCTTGGACCAGTTACAGCAGCAGAGAATAAGGAGCAGAGCAAATTGGCATGTGTGCATGGTATCAAAGGGACCAGTATTCCTCAAGAAGTAAACCTAACTGAAAGGTAAAAGAGGGAAGAGATTCTGAGATTCACTTTATATTGTTTCATATGTAGCCCTTGAATTGTGGCTGTAAGAATTTGAAAAAGAAGTTTTGTTGCATTAAATATGTTTTAAAAGTTTGAAAACCATTGAATTACATGATCTTTTACACACCTAGCTCTAAAAATACTTCCATGATTTGCCTGATTTTAAATGATGTACTAAACTGTCTTTCAGAAATGAAAATCAAGAAGAGAGCTTTCAAGAGGTTCACATGTTTTCAGCTGCTCCAATTGCTTCCTCTGAGACAGGGCCCAGCACACTTGGTTTGGATAGGGGTCTTGGTGAAAATTCTGTTGAAGATCCCCAGATAAAGGACCGTAAAGGAGGCAGTGTACTTACACTTCCTGTGCCAGAGGTAAAAGAATGTACAGTATAATAAGGGATAGCAAGGTGTTTTTCTCCGTTTAAAAAAAATAAGGTATAATTTACATACAATAAACTTCACCCCTTTTATTTTCATTTTTTATTTGTTTTAATTAACATTCTGTTGCCCAGGCTGTGGTATGATCTCAGCTCACTGCAACCTCTGCCTCCCAGATTCAGCAGATTATCCTGCCTCAGCCTCCCAAGTAGCTTGGACTACAGGCATGCACCACCATAACCAGCTGAGTTTTGTTTTTTTAGTAGAGACAGGGTTTGCCTTAATGGCCAGGCTGATCTTAAACTCCTGGCTTCAAGTGATCTGCCTGACTTGGCCTCCCAAAGTGCTGGGATTACAGGTGTGAGCCACTGCAACCAGGTAACTTTACCCTTTTTAGTGTTCAATTATTCAGGTTTTTATAAATGTATGCAGTTATATAACCACTATGTGAACAGTTCAATAAAAAGTTCTCCAGGTGAGAGAAGCCTTTGACTTGAAGAACATGCATACATTATCCAGTTAAAGGGAAAGGAACATGTGTAAAGAACAGATGTGGACTAGGTCAGTGGCTCACACCTATAATGGCTTAAAAAAAATAAAAATAAAAGCCAGGCATGCTGGCATATGCCTGTAGCCCCAGCTGCTCAGCAGGCTGAGGTGGGAGAATCACTTCCGCCTGGGAGGTAGAGGCTGCAGTGAGCTGTGGTTGCCATACACTCCAGGCTGGGAGACAGAGTGAGACCCTGTCTCCAAAAACAAACGAATATGAAACAGCATGTAATCGTGTGAGTGGAATATTAATGAAGGAAGTGATTAGAGATGAAGTTAGAAAGGTAGCCTGCAGACAGATCATAAAAGGATTTTTATTACTTGCTAAGGAGTTTGGTTACATCTAAAGTTACAAGATTCCTCACCCCACCCTGACTTTTTATTTTTACTTTTTATTTTGAAATAATTTTAAACTTAGAGAAAAGTTGCAAAAATCTTAAAGAGTTCTCCTATACACTTCACTTTGATTCATTAATTGTTAATACTTTGCCTCATTTGTGTTTTTACTCTGTCTTGCTCTCCATCTGTATAGATACATACTTGGCTCAGTGGGGAAGCTTCCCAGCACTTTGGGAAGCTGAGGTGGGCAGATCACCTGAGGTCAGGAGTTCAAGAACAGCCTGGCAGGCAAGGTGAAACTCTGTCTTTACAAAAATACAAAAATTAGCCAGGTGTGGTGGCATGCACCTGTTTACCCAGCTACTCCCGGGAGGCTGAGTTGTGAGAATTGCCTCTAGCCAGGAGGTGGAGGTTGCAATGAGCCATGATTGCACCATTGCATTCCAGGCTTGGGCAACAGAGCAAGACTCTGTCTCAAAAATACATAAATAAATAAAACGGAATCATTTGAAAGTAAGTTGAGCCCATAAATACTTCATCTTGTATCTAATAAGGACAAGAAAATTCTCTTACAGAGAAAGGACAAGTACTGTTGTCAAACTCAGCATTACTGCGCTATTTAACATTGTCTCAACAATATGTAATACACAGTTTCCATTCCAATTTCCCTAATTGTCCCAATCTTCTCTATTATAGCTTTTTTCTTTTCTTTTTGAGACGGAGTCTTACTCTGTCACTCAGGCTAGAGTGCAGTGGCACAATCTTGGCTCACTGCAACCTCCACCTCTCAGGTTCAAGTGATTCTCATGCCTCAGCCTCCCAAGTAGCTGGGATTAAAGTTGTGTACTATCACACCTGACTAATTTGTTTGTATAATATTTTTAGTAGAGATGGGGTTTCACCATGTTGGCCAGGCTGGTCTTGAGCTTCTGGCCTCAAATAATCTGCCCACCTCAGCCTCTCAAAGTGGTGGGATTACAGGTGTGAGCCACCACAACTGGCCAGCTTCTTTTTTTCTTAAATTCAAGATCCAATTGGAGCTCTCACATTGCATTGATTATTATTTCTCCCTATTTTTCTTTAATCTAGAGTGCTTTTTCCGTCTTTTTATTCACAAAAGAGAAAGAACAAGAGAAGTTTAGACCAGTCTAGGCTGGCCTACAGTCTGGATTTCTTTTTTTAAATTGCGTCCTCATTACTAGATTTAACTTAAATATTTTAGGGCAAGATTACTATATAGGTAATGACATATTCTTCCATTTACATCACATCAGGAGGTACATAATGTCATTTTGTCCCATTATTAGTGATGATCACTCATTACTTGGCTAGAATGGTACCTGCCAGATTTCTTCATTATAATGGCATCTTTTTCACTCTGTATTAGTAATTTGACAGATGAGACCAACCCAGCAAGCTGTCACCCTATAGTTTTAATATCCATTGATGATTCTTGCCTTAATCAATTATTGACATTGTTTGTTGCAAAATGAAAGTTTTAAGATTTTTTTTTTTTTTTTTTTTTTTGAGATGGAGTCTCACTCTGTCACCCAGACTGGAGTGCAGTGGTGCAATTTCAGCTCACTGCAACCTCTGCTTCCCTGGTTCAAGTGATTGATTCTCCTGCCTCAGCCTCCCGAGTAGCTGGGACTAGAGATGTGAGCCATCATGCCTGGCTGATTTTTATATTTTTAGTAGAGATGGGGTTTCACTGTGTTAGCCAGGATGGTCTCGATCTCTTGACCTCATGATCCGCTTGCCTTGGCCTCCCAAAGTGCTGGGATTACAGGTGTGAGCCATCATGCCCAGCCAAGTTTTAAGATTTTAAGCAGTAGAAGCCAGGCATAGTGTCTCATACCTGTAATCCCAGCACTTTGGGAGGCCTAGGTAGGTGGATCACTTAAGCCCAGGAGTTGGAGACCAGCCTGGGTAACATGGCAAAACCTCACCTCATCGCCCCAAAAATACAAAAAAATTGGCCAGGTGTGGTGGCATGCACCTGTACTCCCCACTACTCAAGACGTTGAGGTGGGAGAATTGCTTGAGCGCAGGAGGCCGAGGTTGTAGTGAGCTGAGAGATTTTAAGCAGTAGAGAATTACAGTCAGGACTGTATTTTAGAAAAACAATGTTTGCAGTTTTTTGGAAAACAGATTGGAGGGAACCATACTGGATGCAGGGAAAGCAATTGTCACCTACTAATAGTACAAAGGCTGGTGTGATGGGAGTAGAGAAAAATTGTGTGGTTTGAGTCTTCCTATCCTGTCACTTCAAAAATCATTTCATAAAATGCACATATTTAACAATTTAGTTAGGATTCCTCGTATTTATATTTATTTAAATGAATCAGAAGTTTATTGGAACAGTCTAAAGCTTTAAACACTTGATAACTATATATGGTTAGATGTTGTTAAGTTAATCTCTTCAGTATATCATATTGGCAGGAAAACTTTTCAAATCTAAGATTTGGCCAACTTCACTCTTTCATTTTAATTTTTTATGGCAGTATGCACCAACAGGTATTCCAGAAGTCCAACAAGAGAATATAATCAATCCTCAAGACCTAACAGGTATGATAATATGCTTCAGTGACATGTCGTAGAACCTAATTGTATGATTTTTACCCCTTATTTAACTATGGGAAAACACAAAACAATTTTTATTTTAGTCTATGCTGGCCTTGAATTTAAAAACTTTTATAAAAACACTTTGAAGTATTTTTTGTATCAGTTTTATTTCTTAGAGACATAAATCTTCTCCGTAGTATATCATCTTTATCCTTTATGAAATTACTTCTTGGGCCAGGCATGGTGGCTCACTCCTTTAATCCCAGCTCTTTGGGAGGCTGAGGTGGGCAGTTACTTGAGGCCAGGAGTTCAAGACCACCCTGGCCAACATGGCAAAACTCCATACTACTAAAAACTCCACCTGTACTAAAAATACAAAAACTAGCCAGGCGTGGTGGCACACACCTGTAATCCCAGCTTCTTGAGAGGCTGAGGCACAGTACTGTGCAGACATAAAAAACGGTGAGTTCGTGTCCTTTGTAGGGACATGGATGAACCTGGAAACCATCATTCTCAGCAAACTGACACAAGAACAGAATATCAAACACCCCATGTTCTCACTCATAGGTGGGTGTTGAACAATGAGAACATATGGCCACAGGGAGGGTAGCATCACACACTGGGGTCTGTGGGGGGGATCTAGGGGAGGGACAGTGGGAGGTGGGGAGGTTGGGGAGGGATAACATGGGAAGAAATGCCACATATAGGTGATGGGGAGGAAGGCAGCAAACCACACTGCCACATGTGTACCTATGCAACAATCTTATATGTTCTTCACATGTACCCCAAAACCTAAAATGCAATTAAAAAAAAAAAAGAATCGCTTGAACCCAGGAGGCAGAGGTTGCAATGAGCTGAGATTGTGCCACTGCACTCCAGCCTGGGCAAAAGAGCGAGACTCTTTTCTCCTTTAAAAAAATTAAAAAACGAAGGAAATTACTTCTTTTGCTTTAGGCTGTTGGGGGGTTTGGATGGGGAGCATTTATTTAGTCTTAATAAGTTGTCCTGAGAATGTCTTTTTAGAAATGAGATGAATTAATGATATTCTGTTATTTCAGAGTTGAGCTTTTTGATTACTAACTTTTAAACTTTGATAGTGAATCTAGTTGCTAATATATCTCAAGATGGAGAAGATGAACAAGCATTTATTTTAACTCTGGTGGAAATCCCAACCAATGCAGTAGAAGAATTTACTGATGCCGCTGCACAGTTAATGCCAAACCCTTTACTGCCAGCTCCCATATTGGTCAAATCCATGAATACTGAAGAAGGGGTGATGTGAGGTAATGAATGAGTGAAACTTTTTGCTAGGTGGAAAAGTGATTTATTTATTAAATAGTATTGGTTGAATAAACCATTCACCAATATTAGTTGTTATTGTGGAGATCTTATTTAGCATTTATGTGGTAAGTTAGAGAAGAAATGTAATGTGGTAGATTTTTTTATCTGATAAAGGTGCCATTTAAATGTTCCATATATTAGTTTTGTATGAAACTTGTTTATTATTTTAAGTTACTTTGAAAGCTAAAGAAATTAATAGTCTGGATCATAATATGATACCTGTTAAAAGTGTGGTTACTTTATATAGATACATATATATGAAACTGTGAAATACACATTCACAGAAAGTTGTGAAAATAATACAGTTAATGGTAAAATAGAGATTTTTTTATATAATATAAAAATATATGTGATGTGTGTGTGTCTGTGTGTGTGTGTGTGTGTGTGTGTGTGTGTGTGTGTGTGTGTGTGTTTTAAGAGACTTGCCTTTGGTGGCCAGCCTAGAGTATGGTGGTGCTATCATAGTTCACTGCATTCTGAAACTTCTGGGCTCAAGATATCCTCCTGGCTGGGCATGGTGGCTCATGCCTGTTATCCCAGCACTTTGGGAGGCTGAGGTGGGCAGATCACGTGAAGTCAGGAGTTGAGGACCAGCCTGGCCAACATGGTGAAGTCCCATCTCTACTACAAATGCAAAAATTAGCTGGGCATGGTGGCATGCACCTGTAATCCCAGCTACTCGGGAGGCTGAAGCAGGAGAACCACTTGAACCCGGGAGGTGGAGGTTGCAGTGAGCTGAGATTGTGCCACTGCAATCCAGCCTGGGCAAGAGTGAGAGGAAAAAAAAAAAAAGAGCTCTTCCTGCCTCAGCCTTTCATGTAGCTTTTCAGCTACAGGTACGCACCACTGTGCTTGGCTAATTTTTTAAAAATTATTTTTTTTGCAGAGGTGGAGTCTTGCTCTGGTACCTAGGCTGGTCTGGAACTCCTGGCCTTATGCATTCCTCCCACTTTGGCCTACCAAAGTGCTGAGATTATAGTCATGAGCCACTGTGCCTGGGTATTCTTGATACTCTTATTTTAATTCTTTATTTGGAAGTGTTAAGTTGTATCTTAATCACCATTAATTAAGATAATTGTGTATCATGTAACATTAGAAATTGAAGCCTTTTACCTTTTTTGGTGGGGGTGGGCAGACAGTCTCACTCTTGCCCAGGCTAGAGTGCAGTGGAGGGATCTTAGCTTACTGCAACTTCCGTCTCCCAGTTTCAAGCGATTCTCGAGGCAAAGCCTCCCAAGTAGCTGGGACTATAGGTGCGTGCCACCACACCCGGCTAATTTTTTGTATTTTTAGTAGAGACAGGGTTTCACCATGTTGATTAGGCTGGTCTCAAACTCCCGACATCAGGTAATTCACCCACCTTGGCCTCCCAAAGTGCTGGGATTCAGGTGTGAGCCGCTGAACCTGGACTAGATTAAAAGTTTAACTTTACAGTCAGGGAAAATACTGTTAAATATTCAGATTTAATTCAGCATTGCAGAATTTAAGTTATGACCCTTTAAGTATGAATGGAGCCCAAAACTGTTAATAGCATTTTGATGGCCATGGCCATGTATCTGTTAGTTAATTTGGAGTTTTTTGGAATTTTCATTGGAATACTCCAGCCTTTAACTTTATTATTGGAAGGATTTCTAGGATCACGAAAAAAAAAGTAAATAACTTCTGATTTAGAGATTTAGTATGTATTTCTTTTCTATGCAGTATTTGTTTACCAGCAACTTCAGTTGGTCAGGATGCCATGGGTTTATCTATTTCTGGAAGAGATGATTCTAAAAAGCCTTCTGATAATTTGGATCTTGTATCCAGGAAGAGATTTCATTGCAGGCTTGATGAAAATGACCACATTCCTCCTGCCAAAAAATGTTTGCTCGCTTTAAGAGATGATTGCCAAGAATATACTTCTGAGGTAAGATAGAATCATTAAGTAAATAATAGATGGCCATATTGCAACAGATCTGTTTCTATTTTCCCCTCTATTTTCTTTAAACTTTTAGATATACCTAAAGATAGTTCTGACGCTTATCATAAGTTATTCAAGTAAAACTGGTTTTGGATTATCACTTTTAACCAATGGTAGATGAAAATTGATGGACAGTGCCGGGCATGGTGGCTCAAGCCTGTAATCCCAGCACTTTGGGAGGCCGAGGCGGGTGGATCACAAGGTCAAGAGATTGAGACCATCCTGGTCAACATGGTGAAACCCCGTCTCTACTAAAAATACAAAAAAAAATTAGCTGGGCATGGTGGTGCATGCCTGTAATCCCAGCTACGCAGGAGGCTGAGGCAGGAGAATTGCCTGAACCCAGGAGGCAGAGGTTGCGGTGAGCTGAGATCGCACCATTGCACACCAGCCTGGGTAACAAGAGCGAAACTCCGTCTCAAAAAAAAAAAAAAAAAGAAAAGAAAATTGATGGACAGTAATCAAGAAATTTATTCCCAGCTCTGTGTTGGTGGCTAAAAATAAGACAAGCATTACATATGTCTAGATCTTGGCTCTACCACCTAGTAGTTGTAGCACCTTAGGCAAGATACTTCACCTCTCTCTCTCTGATAGGTTTCCTAATGTGTAAAAGATGATACTAATACCATCATCATCGTGCTTGAAGCTACCCATTGCTTTTAGGACTAAACCCACAGCTTGCTGATTTTTGCATTATACTTGTCTTATACTTCCCAGTTCCACATCCCAAACCTGAACAGCTAAAATCTGAAATGCTTCAGTGAGGATTTCCTTTGAATGTCTTGTCAGCACTCAAAAAGTTTAGAATTATCGAGCATTTCAGATTTTCAGCTTTGGGATGCTCAGCCTGTACAAAATTCTAGAATGCACACACACTGTATTCAGATAGAAGACATTTTTTATTTTCTGTAATCAGATTTATCAGTCTTTTTGTGTATGGCCTCTGGAGATTATGTTATACACTGGAAGTCCTCTGAGACTTAAATTTTCTAGTTAATAATTGTTAATATTACCAATTTGTTGAGAATTTGTTTTGGTATAAGGAATAAGGCCAAGTTAATTTTCCTTATATGACTTTCACCATTTACTGAGTAATTCATCTTGTTTCCACTGATAGGAAATTCTACTTTTATCAATAAGATAGTAAACCTTCTTTTTTTTTTTGATATATTCCTAAACTTCCTTTTCCTTTACAGTGATTCATCTATTTGTTCTGGGGCTAGAATCATACTGTTTGAATTTGTAGCTTTATAATGTACTTTGATATTTATAGGGATAGTGTCTCTCCCAAACCCGTACAGTTTTCTTCTTTTTTCAAGTTTCTCATCATTGCTTCTATGTTCTAAAGTTAATATAAATTTTAGAATTAACTTGTTTAGCTCTTTAAAAAAATTATATTGGTATTTATATTAGAATCATTAACTTGACAGATTAATTTAGAGAAAATCGACACCATAATTATAATATTGAATCTCCCTATTCAAAAACATGGTATGTCTATCCATTTGTTTAAGTCATGTTTTGTGTCTTTCTATTTTATGGTAAACTCGTCTTCATCTAGATCTTACATATTTCTTATAGGTTATCCCTATGAGTTTTATCTTTTTTGTTGCCATTATCATTGAGTTCTTTTCTGTTTAGAGAGCTTACTGAGTTCCGTCATTGTATGCAGTAGCTTTTCAGCTGATTCTCTTGGGTTTGTAGGTAAACAGACATATCATCTGCAAATATAATTTTAATTTTTCTATATATATATATTTTTTTCTGAGATGGAGTTTCACTCTTGTTGCCCAGGCTTGAGTGCAATGACTCAATCTTGGTTTACCACAACTTCTGCCTCTTGGGTTCAAGTGATTCTCCGGCCTCAGCTTCCTGAGTAGCTGGGATTACAAGCATGTGCCACCATGTCCAGCTAATTTTGTATTTTTAGTAGAGATGGAGTTTCTCCATGTTGGTCAGGCTGGTCTCGAACTCCCAACCTCAGGTGATCCATCCTCCTCAGCCTCCCAAAGTGCTGAGATTACAGGTGTGAGTCACTGCGCCTGGCCAATTCTACTTTTTATAGCTCTAATTTTTTTCTTTTGTAATTATATTGGGTAATATAACTCAAAAATAATGTTAAAAAGTGGTCCCAATAGTGCATATCTTTTTTTGGTATTTCTGATTTTAATAGAACTTCCAGTGTATACTATATAGGATGCTAGCTTTTAGATTGCAATAGTTATATTTTATAGTGTTAAGAGAATGTCTATTCCATTTTATAAGTTTTTTTTTTTTTCAAGAATGAACATTATTGGATGCCTTTTCTGTAAATACTGATGATTTTTCTCCTCAGAGCTGTTGGTTTGTATTAGATTTCATAATGTCAGACCATCTTTGCATTCTTGAAACAAGTTCTACTTGATTGTGATGTAGTCTTTTGAAGTGCTGCTTGTACTATTTCTTTGATACTTTTGCACTGATATTGAGACGGATTATAAAAGGCATTTGGCAGCTTTCTCTCTTCCAGTGGGCTCTGGAACACTTTAAAATAGTAGCAATATTTTTGCCATAAATGTTTAGCAGAATTTCTCTTAGAGCATTTTGGGGGATACATGCTTTCTTTACTTAAAGAAAAAAGGAAATAAAATTAATTTCAGTTTTACTTGATAAATAGATTTCTAAATTTTTTTGTAAATTTTCTTAAAACAGGTGCACTCAAAGGAATTAACAAATGTTGGGGAAACAGGTAATTGAAATATATTTTAACATATTGTGTTTTCTAAACTCCTGATTATTTGGGATGTACCTTGTTCAAATATGAGATTGAAGCTGAGTATTACTTTTCTCTAAGAGTAGTACTTTTATTATCAGCACTTCTTTCCTACAAAGGCCTTGGATTTGGCAGTTGGGGAGGCAGAGGCAGCTCTTTTCATCCGGTCATCCGTTGAAGACTATGTGGCTACAAGGATTTTCTGCATAAACTCAACAACTACGTTTTAGGAGTTAGCCGAGTAATGGGTTTTTTGTTTGTTTGTTTCCCTGAGACAGGATTTCACTCTGTCACCCAGGCTGGAGTGCACTGGCATAAACACAGCTCACTGCAGACTCCACCTCCCAGGCTCAAGTAATCCTCCCACCTCAGCCTCCTAACTAGCCAAGACTATAGGCATGCACCACTATGCCCAGCTAATTTTTGTATTTTTTGTAGAGACAGGGTTTTGCCATGTTGCCCAGGCTAGTCTTGAATGTATTTTTTGTAGAGATGGGTTTTCACCACGTTGCCCAGGCTGGTCTTAAACTCCTGGCCTCAAGCTATCTGCCTGCCTCAGCCTGCCAAAGTGCTGGGATTTTAAGCATGAGTCACCACCTGTGGCCCGTAATGGCATTTGTAGTAGATTCTTTACCCTGAAAATTAGTTTAGTTTTAGAGATCTTTTCAAGCTTAAGCCACCTATGGAGGCTGAAAAGATCTTAGAGTCTTATATTTTTATAGGAATCTAAAATTTCTGTGGGATATTAAACCACTTAGGGTCTATTTCCCTCATAACTAAAACCACCAGTCACATTTATCGTGTGTTTTGTACAACTCTTTATTTTTTGTTTTTGTTTTTGTTGTTTTTTTTTTTTGAGACAGAGTTTCACTCTTTTTACCCAGGCTGGAGTGTAATGGCACAATCTCGGCTCACCGCAACCTCCGCCTCCTGGGCTCAGGCAATTCTCCTGCCTCAGCCTCCTGAGTAGCTGGGACTACAGGCATGTGCCACCACGCCCAGCTAGTTTTTTGTATTTTTAGTAGAGACGGGGTTTCACCATGTTGACCAGGATGGTCTCAATCTCTCGACCTCGTGATCCACCCGCCTCGGCCTCCCAAAGTGCTGGGATTACAGGCTTGAGCCACTGCGCCCGGCTATTTTTTGTTTATTTTATGACATTATTTTTATTTTCTCTCAAACTTAGGCTTATCATTCACACCTATAGTCGTTGCTTTACCAATGCAGTGGCACTCAAGAATAAAAAATGTTGCTGATGGCATCTTATAGAGTTACAAGATAGAAGAGTTTGATAACCTATTATGGTTCTGGTTCTTTAAAGACACTTTATAATGGGCCAGGCGTGGTGGCTCACGCCTGTAATCCCAGGTGTGATACTTTGGGAGGCCGAGGTGAGTGGATCACCTGACGTCAGGAGTTCAAGACCAGCCTGGCCAACAAGGTGAAACCCCATCTCTACTGAAAGTACAAAAATTAGCCAGGCGTGGTGGTAGGTGCCTGTAATCCCAGCTACTTGGGAGGCTGAGGCAGGAGAATTGCTTGAACCTGAGAGATGGAGATTGCATCAAGCCGAGATCACATCATTGCACTGTAGCCTGGGCAACACAGCAAGACTCTGTCTTAAAAACAAACAAAAAAACCACACTTGGCCAGGTGCAGTGGCTCACGCCCGTAATCCCAACACTTTGGGAGATGGAGGTGGGTGAATCACCTGAGGTCAGCAGTTTGAAACTAGCCTGGCCAACATGGTGAAACCCTGACTCTACCAAAAATATAAAAATTAGCTAGGCGTTGTGGCAGGCACCTGTAATCCTAGCTACCCAGGAGGCTGAGGCAGGAGAATTGCTTGAACCTCAGAGGCAGAGGTTGCAGTAAGCCCAGATCATGCCATTGCACTCCAGCCTGGGCGACTAAGAGCGAAACTCCATCTAAAAAAAAAAAAAAAAAAAAAAAAACCCACTTATAATGGGTTAAGTGCAGTGCAATCGCAGTACTTTGGGAGTCCAAGATGGGTAGTCACTTGCAATCGCAGTACTTTGGGAGTCCAAGATGGGTAGTCACTTGAGGTCGGGTGTTCAGGAGCAGTCTGGCCAACATGGTGAGACACCATCTCTACTAAAAATACAGAAATTAGTTAGGCGTGATGGCGTGCACCTCTACTCCCAGCTACTCAGGAGGCTGAAGCAGGAGAGTCACTTGAACCTGGAAGGCAGAGGCTGCAGTGAGCCGAGATCATGCCACTGCACTCCAGCCTGGGCAATAGAGAGAGACTGTCTTTTTTAAAAAAAAAAAAAGAAACCACTTATTATGTTAACACAATCTTAGACTTAATTGTCCCAACTTTGACTGTGAAACTGTAGTATGGTTACAGTTTCCAGCCTCGAGAGATGTTCTAAGATTGCTCCCATCCATCTGCTCTAATAAAAGCATTAAGCAAATTACAACACAGTGAAGTTTTAGTGAATTTGTTGTGTGCTATCTTTAATTGGCTTGTTTCTTTTAGCAAGTATACTTATTGACTTAATTCTCCCTTTATAGAGCTAAATGCTTTGAGAACAAGGCGCTTTAGTTATTTTGTCCTAATTTTTGGCTACTTTGGCTTTTGTCTACTGTTTAGTTAAGGAAAGAGAGCTCTTTAGCTAAACTTGAGTATTTGAGAGTCTGTAGGTTTTACTTTTCAGGAGACCACAGACACCCAAGTTACCACCTATATTTTGGATTGGTTTAGCTGCTTAATTTTAACGAACCTTAGATTTTTTTAGAGAGTGATCACTTGTCCGTTTTGATTGCTGAAGAAATATTTCTGGGAAAAGATTTTCTAGGCCAAAATATATTGATATAACTATTTTGTTTTTGAGTGCAGATGCTGTTAGCATATCTTTTAACCAATTATTATATTCTTAACAATCTGAGTAACCACTAATTCTAATTTAGCTTACTCTTATTAGAGTAGGTTTCTTATAGAATACCATGCATTTTTTTTTTTCAAATGCTGGGGTTACATGGAATGTATTAACTTCAGTATCCTTTCTTTCAACTTGTTCTCTCTTTTGAAGGGGAGTCTCCCAAGGGACAAGATATTTTTCTTACCTCAGGAAGCACACTGACAACTCCAGAACATCAAAAAGAGCAAGTTGAACCAGCTTTTCAGAGTATAGGATCTAGATCTCCTGATACATGCAGAGACAAGAATGTGCCTCAGTTACCTCAGAATGAAATGATTGTGTCTGATAAGGAAAAAAGAACTGATGCTGCTCCTAAGTCTGAGCAAATGGATAAAACATCATCTACAAAAGCCCCACTATCCAGGTATCATGAAAAAATCTAATAAATGTTTCTCTGTTGTAATAAATATAATCTATACAGAACAGATATCTGTATACATAAAGATTAGATCCAGTACTAAGGATGGTGTTCAATAAACATATTCCTCCATCAGTAAAGGAAGAAGTTTCAGCCAAGGAAATATAGTAATATTGCAGATACACAGTTTGTACACTAAGAGCTTAAATTTAAGTGCTAAAACTTTTTTAGATAGAAAATCTTTAGAATATTTTATGCACTTATTTTTTCAGATTGTCCATGATTACTTTGATCATTACATATTCTACCATGTACAGTAGCTACTAATACACATCTATGTGGTATGAGACATAGGGCTGATATGATAGGGTTGTTTTATTGAAGTCTCAAATAATGTGTCATTTTTCTCCCTTGCGGCAAACCAAAGAGGTAAACCATGGCTTTCTACCTCTAAGAATAAGTGTTGGAATTTAAGCCCAAAGCCAACTTCTGTCCCATTTTCCTCATATTTAGAAGCAGTGGTTATCAGTAATTGGCTTGTCAGCAGCATCCAAAAGATGAATGTGATATTGCTGAATTGAAGGATGGTGGGGAACATATACTGGTCTCCACTAAGGGGAAGGGGTAGGGGGAAGGACACATGTAGCTTAAAAGACATACTTGATAGATCTATTGTTTTTGTTATCTAAGTTATAGAAAACAAAGCTCAGCAGTATCTTTTCTGGCCTTAGAGATGTGCTGAAAATGGAATGGGCCCAAGTACAGTGGCACATGCCCATAATCCCAACTACTCAGGAGGCTGAGGCCAGAGGATCTCTGGAGGTCAGGAGTTTGAGGTTGCAGTGAGCTATGATTGTGCCTGTGCATAGCCACTGTACTCCAGCCTGGGCAACATAGCCAGACCCATTTCTGAAAAAAGAAAAATAAAAGAGGGAAACATCAGTAGAGTTTGGATTAAAACTGGTTAAGAAGCTGTGTTCTAGAGCAGAGGTCAGCACACTTTTTGTAGAATGGCATTCGTACATATTTTAGGCTTTGTGAGCCATATGGTGTCTCTTAACTATTCACTTCAGCAGTTACAGCACAAAAACAACCATAGACCATATGTAAACAGATGAACATAGCTGTGTGCCAGTAGACTGTACTCACAGAATCAGGTTGGGGGCTCCATGTGGCCTAGAGAGCAAGCTGTGCTGGCCACTGTTCCACAGCTTTGCTACTCAGTGTATTCCTTGCACCAGCAGTATGGACATCATTTGAGAACTTGTTCAAATGCAGGACTCAGGCCATACCCACTACCAAATGTCAGAATCTTCATCTTAATAAGATCCCCAGTAATTTGAATGTCCTTTTAAGCTTGGGAAGCACTGCTCTAGAGTAAGCCTTGACCATTATCACAAATAGATGTCATGGCATACTGGTAATGGGTATGCCAATTTAGCATTAATGGAAAGAAGGTGGTTTGGGGTTTTTTTTTTTTTCTTTCTTTTTTTTTTTTTTTTTGAGACAGAGTTTCGCTCTTGTTACCCAGGCTGGAGTACAATGGCGCAATCTCGGCTCACCGCAACTTCCGCCTTCTCAGTTCAGGCAATTCTCCTGCCTCAGCCTCCTGAGTAGCTGGGATTACAGGCACGCACCACCATGCCCAGCTAATTTTTGTATTTTTAGTAGAGACGGGGTTTCACCATGTTACCAGGATGGTCTCGATCTATTGACCTCATGATCCACCCACCTTGGCCTCCCAAAGTGCTGGGATTATAGGCGTGAGCCACCACGCCTGGCCAGTTTGGGGGGTTTTGTTTTGGATTCTTTTGTTTTGAGTCAGAGTCTCACTTTTTTTTTTTTTTTTTTTTTTGAGACAGAGTTTCGCGCTCTTGTTACCCAGGCTGGAGTGCAATGGCGCGATCTCAGCTCATCGCAACCTCTGCCTCCTGGGTTCAGGCAATTCTCCTGCCTCAGCCTCCCTAGTAGCTGGGACTACCAGCATGCGCCACCATGCCCAGCTAATTTTTGTGTTTTTAGTAGAGACAGGGTTTCATCATGTTGACCAGGATGGTCTCGATCTCTTGACCTCATGATCCACCCGCCTTGGCCTCCCAAAGTGCTGGGATTACAGGCGTGAGCCACCGCGCCCAGAGTCTCACTCTTGAGGTTTAATAAACATACTCCTCAGTAATGTAAAAGAAAGTTTTGGCCAAGGAATACAATAATATTTCAGATATACATTCTGTACAATGAGAACTTAAATTTAAGTGCTGAGACTTTGTTCATTTTAGATAGAAAACGACAAAGATTATTTGACGTTGCCTGAGGTTCCCCAGGCTGGAATGCAGTGGTGGACCATAACACACTGTAACTTCCTTTTTTTTTTTTTTTTTGAAATGGAGTCTTGTTCTGTCACCTAGGCTGGGATGCAATGGCCTGATCTTGGCTCACCACAACCTCTATTTCCCTGGTTCAGGCAATTCTCCTGTCTCAGCCTCCTGAGTAGCTGAGATTACAGGCAGGTGCCACCACGCCCAGCTAATTTTTATATTTTTAGCAAAAACGGGGTTTCACCATGTTGGTCAAGTTGGTCTCAAACCCCTGACCTCATGATCTGCCCGCCTTGCCTCCCAAAATGCTGGGATTACAGGCGTGAGCCCCCGCGCCTAGCCAGCTCACTGTAACTTCTAATTCCTGGGCTCAAGCGATTGTCTCATCTCAGCTTCCTTTCTGAGTAGCTAGGACTACAGGCATGCGCCACTACACCTAGCTAGCCTTTTTTTTTTTTTTTTTTTTTTTAAACTAGAGATGGGGTCATGCTAATTTTGTCCAGGCTGTTCTTGAGCTCTTGGCCTTAAGCGATCCTCCCACCTTAGCCTCATGAAGTAGAAGCAGGTATTAAGAATGTGTCTTCCTGGATATTCTTGAATATATTTACATTTGTATTTCTAGACCTGGCAGAAGACCCCTGGGATTTTTGTCTTTAATATGTTCAAAGAATAATTTGGAGTCTGATGAACCTACTCAGTTTCATAATAAGAAACGCCTAAAGCCTCTTATACCTGCATTAAGACAGAAATTTAAAAGATCCAATCCAGTTAATGAAAGCCAGAAAAAAAATGGAGAGTCCTCTGATCCAGTTCCATCTCCAAGTGTTATTAATACTCAATCTGAGAATATTAGCAGTTCAGCAACTAAGGTATGTGATAACTACTATATTTTATTGTTTGTATGAGATAGGTTGGATATAAGACTCAACTAGGGAGAACATAGTAATTTGTTATTTTTATTTGATGTCAGAAATTATTTTAGAGCCCCATCCTTCTCTCCGCCATATTCCTCCATAATGGAAGAAGCAAAAGTGTTGAGTCAGGAAGTTGCAGTTAGGTTAGTACAGAGCCATTGAACTAACCATAAATAGATACTTAATAGCCATTCCTTTAATCCAGAGACCCTTCTGATTTGTGGAAGCAAAAGGAAGCAGTGCTGACACCCACAAGAATTTAAGGAACTATAAAGCTAGAATTTGTTCACATGTTTCATTTCTGTGTCTCCTGAAGCTGTCCAATGGCAAGTACTGGGATGGAAAAAAACTGTAAACCTGTATCAAAGACTTTGTAAAAGTATTGGGGTGACTTAAGATCTTAACAAAGAAAAGGCTGGTGAGCGTTTATTGAATAGCATGAGCCTTTGAAGGGGGTACTGTTGTAATTAACATCTTTAAACTTTTTTTAAAGATTTCATATTATTTACTAGAACTGTTTTCTGAGACCAAGATTTTACCAGTCTTGCTTATCATTGCCAAAGTTGTGGGGGCTTTTTGGTTTTGTTTTTTTTTTTTTTGAGACAAAGTCTCACTCACTCTGTCACCCAGGCTGTAGTGAGTGCAGTGGGTGATCTTGGCTCAGTGCAACCTCTGTCTCCTGGGTTCAAGTGATTCTCCTGTCTCAGACTCTCAAGTAGCTGAGATTACAGATACATGCCACAATGCCCAGCTAATTTTTGTATCTTTAGCAGAGATGGGATTTTGTCATGTTGGCCAGGCTGGTCTCAAACTGCTGGCCTCAAGTCATCTGCCAGCCTTGGCCTCCCAAAGTGCTGGAATTACAGGTGTGAGCCACCTAGAAGTTATTATATTCAGGGTAAAAGGCCTTTGTCATAAATATTGCAATTTTTTTTTCTCTGTATGTCATCGGTCTTTTGATTTTGTGTAAGGTGGTTTTTGCCAAGCAGACATTTTTTATTTCTGTTTAGATTAATGTATCAATCTTTTATTTTATAGCTTTCAGCTTTCAGGTAGTTTAAAAAGGCACTCTTCCCAGCCAGGTGCAGTGGCTCATGCCTGTAATCCCAGCACTTTTAGGCCAAGGCGGGTGGATCCCCTGAGGTGAGGAGTTCAAGACCAGCCTGGCCAACATGCCAAAACCCTGTCTCTACCAAAAATACAAAATTTAGTTAGGCATGGTGGCATGTGCCCATAGTCCCAGCTACTCAGGGAGCTGATACCCTGGGAGGTGGAGGTTGTAGTCAGCTGAGATCATGCCACTGCACGCCATCCTGGGCACAGAGCCAGACTTTGTCTCAAAAATAAAAATAAAAAGATGCCCTTCCCTACCTACCCCCATCCAGAATTATAGAAGTGTTTTTCCATGGCATTTTTATAGTAGAGTTTTTTAGAAATAGTTTTACATTTAAATCTTTTGATACATCTAGAATTTGTTTTGGTAAGGTATAGGTCTGACTTTTTTTCTCCCTGAGATGGTTAAATAGATGTCCAACATAATCTATTTAATAATCAAATAACTTTTTTTGAAATAGCACTTTTATCAGATGCTAAATTTCCATATAGATTGGGGTTGTTTCTAGTCTTCTGTTTCATTGATACATCTATTATTCCTGTGCCAATACCATGCTATCTTCATTTATTTGTAGGTTTGTGAGTATGCTAATTTCTGATAAGATATCTTTATATATTTTCTTTAAGTGCTGTTTTGTTTCATGGATCTGTCTATTCTTATGCCACTAGTCAATGTATTTTTACTTTAATTACAGATTTAACCATATTATATTTTTCTTTATTAAAATTTTTCATGGAAATTAGGATAAAGTAATGGATTATGGGTACACTATAATTTGCCTAATTATATCTAGTTTTGTATATTTAGTTGCTTCCAATTTTGTTATAACTAATGCTACAAAGGTTATCTTTGTCATAAAACCCTTACCATGTTTAGGATTATTTACTTAGTATGACAGCATAGAAATGAAATTTTTAGGTTGGTGATTGTGAACATATTTAAAGCTCAATATTTATTGCCACATTGCTTTTCACAGATCATATCAGTTTAGACTACTATATATACACACATACACATATATGTAAATGTTATATTACAGTTTTATTTTACTTTATTTTTATTACCTTTTTAGGTTTCTTGTGATCAGCCCTTACTGAAAGGATATAAAAGTGGCCAAAAGTGGGCCCCTGAAGGGGAGCCAACCACAGTCTCTGAATATTTCTTCAATGATATCTTCATTGAAGTGGATGAAACAGAATGAAACAATCTTTTGTCTTTTTCTTTTTAAAATTAAGTCTAGGATTTCCAGAGTCAATTACATCAACAAAACAGTATTTAGAGCAAAACATCACTGTCTATTTTTCTTTAGGTTGATTTTGAATATTTAATGAGCTTGATTTGAAGCTTTTATAATCAGTGGAAAACATTTCTGAGGTTCCTTTCATTCTAATTGTTTCAGCATTTTGCAAATAGCAAGTGATTAAGACTGCTTTCTCAGACAGAAGTAATAACTCTTGTTTACATTTTGACTCTTCCTATGCTAAGCACACATGGACATTTGGGAATGTTGTGGATATATGTCTCTGTATGAATTGCAGTGCAGGCAAATTTGGGGGTTGATTGTATCATATTTAACACTCAGCAACTTATTTTTTCTTTTTTTTATTTTTTACTTTTATTTATTAATTTTTTTTCTTTTTTTCGCTTAGCAACTTCTTTTGTGAATTTTTTTTTTTTAATTTTTAGGGGGAGATGATGAAGGAAGAAGGCCTTTTCAGTTGCTTCTAAGTACAGTCATGTATCACGTAATGAGTCAGTGATGGACCACACATATGACAGTGGTTTCATACAATTAAATGGAGATAAAAAATTCCTGTCACCTAGTGACATAGCCACCATAACACAGTGCATTGCATTTTTATGTTTAGATACGTTTAGATACACAGATGCTTACTATTGTGTTACAGCTGCCTACAGTATTAAGCATAGTGACACACTATGTTAGAGGTTTGTAACATACGATCACCTAACAAGGCATTTCTTAGAAAATATAGTTAAGGGACACATGACTGTATATGAAAACAAATTTTCAGACTCCAGTTTAGTATGGTAAATGTTAAAAAACTTTTCCATTATCAGCTGTTTGTCTGACTGAAAAATACATATTTTTCTAATTCATTGTGATGTAACATTAGTCCGTAATTGAAAAACTAGTATTTAAAGATAATTATTTATAAAGATGACACATCAAAGAGCTTATTTATTTTTAAATTTTTATTTAAAAGCATATTGTTTTAGCTCTTTTTACCCTCAGATTGTAGATAAAGAAGACATTAACAAATTTATGTTTGTTTCTTCTTTCTCTTTAATTTTAAAGATATTTAAAATGATATAACTAAAAATGGTTGGCTAGTTATATGTTTTGAATACCTTTTTTTCCCTCAGTTTAGTATATTGACTTTGTACTGTGAATTTTTCTGTTTTTCTTATTTCTTGGATAATCAGGATTTTCGTGAGGGTAAGGGAACTCAACTTTATGAGACAAATTTGCATACAGAACTCAATCTCCTCTATACACACTCAGACATATATTAGTTTTTTAAAAGCCAATTTCTTAATAGTTTTTTTCCCGTTAAATTCTCAAGAAACACTTAGATTGGCTGGGCGTGCTGGCTCACGCCTGTAATCCCAGCACTTTGGGAGCCAGAGGCGGGCGGAAATTCTCAAGAAACACTTAGATTGGCTGGGCGTGCTGGCTCACGCCTGTAATCCCAGCACTTTGGGAGCCAGAGGCGGGCGGATTACCTGAGGTCGGGAGTTCCATACCAGCCTGACCAATATGGAGAAACCTCATCTCTACTACTAAAAATACAAAATTAGCCAGGCATAGTGTGACACATTCCTGTAATCCCAGCTACTTGGGAGGCCGAAGCAGGAGAATCACTTGAATCTGGGAGGCGGAAGTTGCGGTGAGCCAAGATTACGCCATTGCACTCCAGCCTGGGCAACAAGAGCAAAACTCTGTCTCAAAAAAAAGAAAAGAAAAGAAAAGAAAAGAAAGAAACACTTAGATCTTTAAGCATGGAACGTAATCGTGATGTTAAAAACAGAAAATAAGACTTTATGAAGTTAGCTATTATCCATGTAAATTTAAGGGTTTTTTTAAATTTCAAGATTTGATGATTTGCACATGTAATTCTATTATCTACCCAAGCAGATTGAACAGCAAATTTATTTTGATTTTATTTGAAAAACCTCTTGGATTGATAATATATTAGCTCAGGAGTTGGAAACTTTCTGTAAACTATTTTGGGCATGCAGGCCAGGTGGTCTCTCTGGCAGCCGCTCAGCTCTGCAATTTCAGCATGAAGGAAGCCATAGACAGTATCTTTGAATGAAGGCCTGTGGCTGGATTGGCCTTTTAGTTTGACCCCTACCCCAAATTGTCTTACCTAAGGTGCTGATATCTGTATGTATGAATTACTTGTCACTGAAGTTATGAATTGTGCCTAAAAGTTAAAACTGTATTGATTGTATTATGTAATTATCAGTATTTCAATTGGAAAGATATTTTAGAGTCTAGATAATTATGTTTTTATATTGAAAAAATGGTGGCCAGTTTTTAAATCCCCTAATAGAATTATGTCTCAGCAGGTATAATAGTAATGCTAATTTATTGAAACTACTGCTGTTAGAGCTATTCTTACTGACTTTTAATGAAATTTGCAGCTTAGCATTTTGTCTGAGACAAGGCTATATGATTCTAAGTGGAAATTGTAAGTAGCCATTTATTTCATGATTAATATGTCACAGAAATCATGGTAGTAAATCACATTGCTATTTTAATGCCCTGTTTTTATAAGTTTTTAAAATTCATATTCTGAAAAGATGTCATTCTCTTACTGTTAGCTTGGGAGTTAGATTCCCGTGATTAACTATTATTTAGCCTTGGGTAATATTAATTTTAACTTTATCTGTCTCTCTTTATAATAAGCTAGTTTTATGGAAGGTTGAATTTCTCACTGTATAAAGAATACAGGAACTCGTATTAGAGAATCAAGTCAGCCAGCTAAATTATCCTATTGGTATATCCTTAAACCTAATTTTGGAAAAGAGAAAAGTTAATCAGTGTATTTACCTTATATGGTAGAAAGAACTGTATTAGGTCTGATTCATGTAAAGAAGATGTTGCAAAGAATTTATTTTATAAAGCTTCAAGGAGATATGAGTAAAGGTTTTTATCTTGACTTTTTCTCCTGAACACTTACGTCTTAGCAAGTGATCAGCATGAGGGTTTGAACACCTAGTGGTTGAGGCATGGCAGAAATATTAATATCCACTGTTTACCATCATGTTATTTGAAACAAAAGTGACCATGTTTGCTATTTTGCTTGAGGAAGTCTTTGACAAAAAAAAAAAGCAACATCATGTCATTTATAAATTTTCTTGTTCTAAAGAAAGCATTTATATATATATATATACATATATAAATTATGTAAATAAAAGTTATTTTATACCATTGCTGTTGTGTTTTTTTAAGATAACTAAATAAAGAATTGGCCCTGGTATTGTGGCTTACACCTGTAATCCCAGCACTTTGGGAGGCCGAGGTGTGGGTTTGCTTGAGCCCAGGAGTTCAAGACCAGCCTGGACAGCATAATGAGACATCATCTCTACAAAAAAATTAAGAATCAGCCAGCTGTGGTGGGGTATGTTTTGGTCCCAGTTACTCAGGAGGCTGAGGTAGGAAGATTGCTTAAGCCCAGGAGGCTGAGACTGCAGTAAGCTGTGATTGCCCCACCGAACCCCAGCCTGGATGACAGAAGATGACTCTGTCTTCGGTGGGAGGAGAAAAGTTTTTGACAGGTGTGCATGTCCTTATGTTAAAGCTGTAGGAGTCTGCACTGTGATTGTTCTATTGGGAGAGACTCCATATAGCATCTCTGTTTGCTATAGCACTGCATTCTGAATCTGCTGCAGAGCCCTGGCTTACATTGGGTTCCACTAACAATTGGCAGTCTTAAGGGCTAACCAGTAAATAGGTTAGGGTAATATTCCCAAATAAATTTTATCTCAAATTCAGAGGGCCTCTTCAAACATTGTTGCCTCTGTCGGCATGGTGGCCAGTGCAAGGTACAGGATCTCTATATCCTTCTCCCACTGCCTTTGTTTAAGAGATGGGGTCTCACTTTGTCGCCCAGGCTGGAGTGTAGTGACATGATCATAGCTCACTGCAGCCTTGAACTTCTGGGTGCGAGCAATCCTCCCAGGCAGGTGAGCCATCATGCCTAGATAGCTTGTTTCTTCCCTTTAAAAATAGATACCATGTCCTCAGACCACTAGACCCTTAATAGCTTTGCCTATGTGGCAGGCTCCTGAACTTTCACAGGATTTACCTCCCAACTTTTTGTACATATATGTCTTCCTAAGACATCTAGGTGCTTGCTAATATCTGCTTTCCAGCTCCAATTAGCATAGTGTTATCCATGTCACATTTCATTCTGGCTTGTCAAAAATCAAGAAAATAAAAGTCTCCCCAGACTATACTGTGAAAGACAGTAAGACAGTAAAATCAGCCGGGCGCAGTGGCTCAAGCCTGTAATCCCAGCACTTTGGGAGGCTGAGGCGGGTGGATCACGAGGTCAAGAGATCGAGACCATCCTAGTCAACATGGTGAAACCCCGTCTCTACTGAAGATACAAAAAAATTAGCTGGGCATGGTGGCACGTGCCTGTAATCCCAGCTACTCAGGAGGCTGAGGCAGGAGAATTGCTTGAACCCAGGAGGTGGAGGTTGCGGTGAGCCGAGATCGCGCCATTGCACTCCAGCCTGGGTAACAAGAGCAAAACTCCGTCTCAAAAAAAAAAAAAAAAAAAAAGACAGTAAAATCAGTTGTCCCTGCCACATAAAAATAGAGGTTCTTTTCATTTTTCTTACTGGAATGGAAAAGGTTGCATTTTTTTCATGGCACTAACTTTATTCCAGGTGTTAGGAGTTGTGTTGATTTTCTCTAATAAAGGTACCAATCTTGAACTGCAGCTGTGATTAACATATTCATCTGTTAAATCTGTGAGTGTTGATTTTCTCTAATAAAGGTACCAATCTTGAACTGCAGCTGTGATTAACATATTCATCTGTTAAATCTGTGGTAACTTATTGTCATTCCCCAAGACCAGTGGTTCCCAAACTTTATCGTACATCAGCCTCAAGCTTTAAAAAGTCTGTACGTCGCAAGTTACATCCCATATTGTTAAATCAGTGTCTTGAGTGCAGTGGCCCATGTCTATAATCCAAGCCTTTTAGAAGGCTGAGGCGAGACATAGCAAGACCTCATCTTTACAAACAAAAACTAGCAGAGCATGGTGGTATGTGCCTGTGGGTCCAGCTACTTGAAAGGCTGAGGGAGGAAGATTGCTTGAACCCAGAAGTTCGGGGTTGCTGTGAGCTATGATCATGCCAGCCTGGGTAATAGAGTGAGACCCTGTCGCTAAAAAATATTAAAACTTAATAGGGCTGGGCACAGTGACTTACACCTGCAGTCCTAGCACTTTGGGAGACCAAGACTGGAGGATCGCTTGATCCCAGCAGTTTGAGACCAGCCTGGGTAACCTGGCAAAACCCCTCGTCTACTAAAAATGCAAAAATTAACCAGGCGTGGTGGTGCACACCTGTGGTCCCAGCTACTTCAGAGGCT